CTTAGCATAGTGATGAAGGGAAGAATATGATGCACCAATGACGGTTCTTTTCTTCTTCGCCTTCGTCACTCACACTCTCTTCACATTTTCTTGAGGTTTTTAGAAACACCATTCTTTTTTAGACCACATGGTCTTGTTTCCTATGATCACCCGCCTTTTTCTCTCACTATCTTTCTCTCCCCTTCTTTTCTTTCTTTCTTTCTTTTATTAGGGCTGGATTCTGGACGGCAAACGGATTTGGAGAGGAAAGAATGAAATTGTACGAAAGCGTGCGTCGGTTGTTCTTTTCTCTTTAACTTGAAGAAAAATTGCTGCCTGCACGGGTTTTGTTTTGTTGGTGATGATGATATCCTGGTTGTGTGTGTGTGTGAGCTGCTGTGTTCACACACCTGAGGGAGGCTTTTTGATACTTTTCATTTCTTACACTTTCTTCGTCTTCTTCTTCTTCTTGTTGGTGCCCTTCTTTTTTGGGGGGAGTTTTATTAATTTAGATGATGATGATTTATGCTGATGAGAATCTTATTTACTCCTTTTGTGCCTTTTTGCCGTGCCGTGTATCTATGTGTTGATGAATGAAGCTCTTTTGGTAAACGTTAAGCATATGCTTGCTTTTAGGTTTGTGTAAATGGTGTTTTTATTTATTATTAGGTAAATGGAAAGATCTCGTTTCACATATTTCATTAATAAAATCAAGCATAACAACCCGGAAAAGAATCTGCCCGCTCCTCACAGCCCATACGCCTGCTTAGCCGTACCCCCAAAGATCATGGCGCGATCCTCATCGCCCAACGACGCCATCCAGCACATCTTCTCGACGACCTCCCTCCACTTGGGCCACGCCTCGCCCTCTCCATCACCACTCTCGTCCTCGTTCTTGTCGAAGCCGACGGCGCAGACGGGCCAGTCGCTGGCAAAGATGATGCGGGACGGGCCAAAAGTGGCGAGGACGACGCCGAGCCAAGGCAGGGTGGACTGGAAGATGTGGGAAGGGTCCTGCTCGCGCAGGGCGGGGGTCATCTCGGCGAAGCCCCCGGAGAGCTTCATGTATGTGCGGGCGCATTTGCCGAGGGAGAAGATTGCGGTGCGCCAGGCGGTGAAGGAGGGGTCGGAGGAGACGTTGTAGACGGTGAGGTCGGGCTTGCAGAGGTGGTCTGTTTTATGTAATTAGATACGTTATATATGAGAGATGGGGGGGGGGGGGGGAATGTTTGTGTTGTGTTGTAAGGTGGTTTACTTACTGATGATAAAGGTGACTTTTTCGTCGTCGGGGACGCCCTCGTGTGCTCGGCCAATCATCTCGACCGTCTCCTCAAGCTGCTTCCGGCCTCTGCGGTGCTGGTCGATGGCGACTTCGAAGACGAAGCCGCGTTTGCCCAGGTACTTGAGCCCCTCGATGAACTTGTCCTCGAGCATGGTGCCGTGCGGCTTGTCCTGCAGAAGGTACCTAAACCCCTTGATCTTGGGCCACGCCTCTCCAGCTTCTTCCTCGACTCTCTTAAGGTACTTTTCCATGACGGCCTCTCCGCACGGCACGGGGGCCCAGGGCACAATGGCGAGACATAGCGACTTGTCCTCTGGGGAGTGGCCCTCGCCTTCGAGGGGGGTGCCGAGGGCGACGCGCTTCAGCCAGCGTACCTCCTTGAGGGGTCCCTCCCAGCCGGCTTCGGCTTGGGCGTCGTCGCCGGAGGTTATGGCGGCGAGGTCGTTTTTGCGGTCTGTCTCGACGAAGATGAAGCCTAGGAGGGAGGGGGCGGAGCGGGCGGCGTGCTTGAACTGGTCGACGGAGAATTGGCCGGCGAGGGGGTGGTCGGGGGTGCACCAGGCGAGGTTGGAGAGTTCTGATTCGGGGTAGATGTGGATGTGGGCGTCGATGATGGGGAGGATGAGGCGGTCGTCTTGGGAGGAGGCCATGGTTGGGGGAGGTCGGTGAGAGATTGATGTTGATATCGGGTGTTGTTGATTTAGGAGAGAAGAGGTGTGTAGTATTGTTGATGGAGGTTTACTTAATTCGAGTGTAGAAGAGGAGTATGGAAGAAGAAGAAGAATGAGGAGAAATAGATGAAAAAAGGAGATGGAAAGAAGCTGAACCGTATTAATGCAATGCAGCCGGCCACATCACGAGCTCCGTCACTCTCTCACTCTCACTTTGCTATCCCAAAGCTCTCCCCTTGTCCCCTATTTATTTACATACTACCCCGCCATGCTAAGAATGCAGCTCCGAGTGGGGAGTGGCTCTTCAGGGGTGGATTGTTTTTTGATAGCGGAGAACAAAAAGATGCAGATGCAGGAAGCAAGAGAGTGGGGGGTTGTTAGATAGTTTTTCAGAGGGAAATGGAAGAGAGGTTAAAAGGGCAACGGAGCCGAGATGGATTTTGGTTTGGAGGACATTAACCCGAGGAGCCGGAGGCCACGATGGGATTGGATTTTTTTTTTATTAGTGGAGGTGAGATTTTGGAGAATGACGATGGCTAAGAGTGACGGACTGGTGGCTGATGGGGATGGTGGCGCTTGTTTTGGGGGTGGCGGGTACGCTAGGTGTATTTGTTTAAGGCGACGGGTATTTTTGGTTGATGGTTTTGGGGGTTTAGGGATGAAGATGAACCGAGACTATTGATGGATTGCTTGGATGGGAGAAGTGGGACACGGGATATAGTGTATGCTGTATTAAAGAGAAATAGATAGACTGCCTAGATGGGATGCGTGTATAAGATGTAATAGTCTACGTAACTGTAGCGAGAGAATGCGTATTGGCTGGTATAACAACTGGTTTGGATATTGTTTGCATTGTGTCGTACTTACACATATATAATCTACTTGGTGCTTCTTCTTCTTCTATCTATATCTCTCCTTCACAATGAATTCTCAAGCTCAATCAGCCCTCCCACCGCCACGTCCACCTCGCCATCCAGCTTGGCCGCATCCACGGTGCTCCCCAACGGCCTCCTGCTCCGTCCGCCGCCGTACCCATAGTACTTTTGCAACGCCGCCTTGATGCCCGCAATCCCCAGCTGGACAAGCGCCCAGTCGGCCCTGCTGAACCTCGTCTGCAGCTCCTGAGCCTCCTTGAGCTTGCCCTCGTCGTACAGCCGCAGCATGTGTTGGTGCGTCTTGGGCAGCAAGTTCGCCGTGGCAGCAATAACACCATGAGAGCCGCCGACCAGGCCGTGCAGGAAGAAATCCGTCTTGCCGGCGAAAGCAGCAAAGGGCCGGCCGATGCGCGGGTCGTGGGCGATGCGCTGCAGCTTGCCCATGTTGCCGCAGGTGAGCTTGACGCCGACAATGTTGGGGTTGGCGACGGCCAGGTTGATGATCATGTCCGAGTCGAGGTCGATGCCGCCGGTGACGGCGGGGAAGTTGTAGAGCACGATGGGGATGGGGGAGGCGGAGGCGACGTCGTTGAAGAAGTTGAAGATGACGGGCTTTTGCATTGCGCCGACTGATGCTTCGTTAGCAATCATTCTCTACCCTCATCACCATCCATATCTTCTATAAACTCACCCCAGTAGCTCGGCGACAGCACCAGCGCATAGTCGGCGCCCGCCTCCTTGGCCTCGCGGCACAGCTGGATCGTCTCCCTCGTGCTCTGGACGCCGCATCCCGCCACAATGACGGATCCAGGCTTGCCGTGCTCGTTGAGGACTTCCCTGGCCAGCCTCAGCACCTGCTGCCGCTCGTCGTGCAGCATGTGCATGGCCTCTCCGTTGGAGCCCTGGATGACGAGCCCGTCGACGCCGCCCTTGGCCAGGCGCGTGAGATGCGCTCGGATTGCATCAAAGTCGATTGTCTCGTCGGGGTTGAAGAAGGCCACGGCGGGGACGTAGATGCCGCGGGGAGGGCACGGGATTGCTGCGGCCATGGTGTGTTTGTGTGTCTGTGTCTACGTCTTTGATGCTAATTTTTTGACCTGTGTCTTTTCCTTGGCCTGAATGACTTGATATACTGCTTTTGCTGCAAAGAAAATCGAGGAATCGGGAATCAAAGAGTCAATTCGGGATATTCAATGAAGCTTCCCTTCGGCTTAAGATATCCCACCTGTCCCGCACCGATTGCGGAGACCATGCCGCCTTGTAAGTGCTAAACACACCATCCCCCTCCATCCCCCTCCATCCAGCAATGCGCAGTAAATAGCGGATTTTTATCCTGCTCAGCTTGCCAAGCCAGAGTGTGAATGGCTCATCTTTCTGCCGCTCCAATTACCACATAATAATGGGCATTTGCACCTATGAGCGTGAAGGAGTCGCGCCTTTTCTGGTCGTCGTTGTGTTATGTATGTGCTTTTGTACCCCGCTGACGGAGACGGAGGTCGAGTTCCGTCTGCTGTTGCAGTGTGAGTGAGAGCAGACGGATTAATGGGCGTCGCACAAGAGGTGATGAAAAAGAAAGAAGAGTATGGAATAGCTGAGTTGAGTTTACTCCAATGAAGATGTCGGACAGTCCTTAAGCTACATACATGACTTAAACATGCAACCAAGGGCACGCACACAATAAAAACCACGTGCTGCGGCATGTGCTCTCAAAAAGTCTCAAGCTGCCATATGCCGACGCCATCTGCCTTAAAAACATGCCGCAACAATTCTTTGGTAATCAAAAAGCCCTAGAAAACATCGGCGATAATTAAAAGTATGACGCTCTCAATATCGCTCACCTCATAGGCTGGCGGACATAACGCAAAATAGGCTAGACCCTTAGGATTGCCGGCAGCATCAGCCGAGATCCGGGACGCCAGGGGCCGTCTTGGTCCATCGGTCGAGGTTTAAACGCCGAAAGGGTATGATGGCGATAAGACGCCAATAATTCGGGGTTGAGCCTCAGCATTTCGGGGGCGGCGTCTGTGACGTCGTTGATGGAATGAGCTGGAGATGGAGCTGGTTTGTAAAGACCGATGATGGTGTTTCGCTGTGATGGATTGATGGATAGATAAAGGCCATGAGTTGGCGCTTTTGTGACTGGCTTTTTTGTTCAGCATCATCAAGCAACTTTAGCATCACTTACAACAACTCTCAGAGCATCTCTGCATATACAACAACGAGATACTTATACAAATCTTCAATTTACACTCTAACCAAAAAACAAACCAAATCAATAACAACACCAACAATGGCTATCCAACCCGTCTGGTTCATCACAGCCGCCTCCTCTGGCTTCGGCCAAGCCATCGCCCTCTCAGCCCTTCGCCGCGGCCACACCGTCATCGCCACCGCTCGCAACGCATCCCGCATCCAAGATCTCGCCGCTGCAGGCGCTCACACTCTTGCATTTGACGTAACCTCGCCGCTGTCCACCATTGAGGGCGTGGCCAAGCAAGTCTTTGCCGAGCACGGCCGCGTCGACTATCTCATCAATGCCGCTGGCTACATCCTCGAGGGCTCCATCGAGGAGGTTAGTCCTGAGGAGGTCTATGATAGCTTCAACACGAATGTCTTTGGCACCATGAACACTGTTCGAGCATTCTTGCCGCATATGCGTGCGCAGCCTTTGGCTGATAATGGCGTCCGCGGGGTTGTCGCTACGTTTGGAAGTTTGGGTAGTTGGCGTGGTTCGGCGGGTTTTGGAGTTTATTCTATGACAAAGTGGTGCTGCTCTGCGTTGGGCGAGTCGTTGGCTGCTGAACTCGAGCCTTTTAAGATCAAGGCGACGGTTATTGAGCCTGGATACTTCCGCACTGGATTCTTGAACCCGGGTACGAGGGTTTCGTCCAAGGCACGGGTTGATGCGTATGAGGATGAGAACACGCCGACGGGCAAGACGAGGAGGGCTATTGTGAAGACGGATGGCAACCAGCTTGGTGATGTGAAGAAGGGGGCGGAGGTGATTGTCGATATGCTGTCGAGCACTGGTGTTGCGAGTGGTAAGGAGCTTCCTGTTAGGGTGATGCTTGGGAGTGACACGGAGAAGGTTGTCAGGGATAAGTTTGCAAGCACTATTGGGATTCTCGACGAGTGGAAGGAGGTTATTAGGAGCACTGATTCTCCTCTAAACTGAGGTGTTTTGGACGAGTACGAGATTGAGGAGAGAGAGAGGCGGAGCTTGGGTTTTCTGTTTTGCATAATGGCTCATGGACGTGGGCTTAGCGTTGGACATTACGATATAATAGCATATAGAAGATAGAATCCAGTCTTTTTTTTTGTATCTACATGTGTCTGGTGGTAGAATCTACCTTGCATGTTAATTCATAACCCAGTTTCACCCATATCCGATTCCATTTGCAATCAAAAGGTCCCATCATTTCCACATAAACTCTAAGTCATGCTGAATACAAACAAAATGATAGTAAAGTAACAAAAACAAACTCCACGCTCGTGAACCTTCTTTTAGAGACCCAATGCGCCTCGCAGAATCTGCATAAACTTCCAAACGTCTTCGAACCGGCTGTACAGCGGCACCGGCGCCACGCGCAGCACGTCCGGCTTCCGCTTGTCGCACATGACGCCGTTCTGCTCGAGGGCCTGGGCAATGTCGTCCAAGAGGCCCTCTCGCAAGAGGACACTCAGCTGCGTGCCGCGCTGGGCGGGGTCTCGCGGCGTGATGATCTTGAAGAAGGGCTTGGCGGCGTCGGTCTCGGCGTTGATCTGGTCCAGCAGGTGCTCTGCGTAGGCGGTCAGGACGAGGGCCTTGGACCGGAGATCGCGCATGCTCGTCTTGTTGAAGATGGAGAGGGCGGCGGCGACGCTGGCGAGGTCCAGGGCGGAAGGGTTGGACACTTGATATCCGGCGGCGCCGGGGGTGGGCACAAAGGTGTTGGCCATGTTGAAGCGGACGCGCTTGTCGCCACCGTACCAGCCGGACAGACGCGGGCGATAGCTTGGGCTCTCCGAGTTGTCGACAAAGTCGACCTTGCCGTAGCGTTCGTGCACAAAGGCTCCCGCGGTGGCTCCGGGCCCGGCGTTGATGTACTTGTAGGTGCACCAGCAGGCAAAGTCGACATCCCAGTCGTGCAGCTTGAGCTCGACGTTGCCGGCGGCGTGGGCGAGGTCCCAGCCGACGACGATGCCTCGCTCCTTGGCGTAGGCGGTGATCCGGGGGATGTCGAACAGCTGGCCCGACCAGTACTGGATGCCCGGCAGCAGGATCAGGGCGGTCGAGTCGGCGTGGGCGTCGATGGTGGCGAGCACCTTTTCCGTGGGGATCAGATAGTTGTCGTCGGGCTCAATCTTGATCATGCTCTCCTCAGGATTCAGCCCGTGCCAGACAATCTGGCTCTCAATGGCGTAGTGGTCGCTGGGGAAGGGCTTCCACTCCAGGATGACCTTGTGCCTCTTGCTGTCGGGCTTGTAGAAGCTGGCCATCATCATGTGCAGGTTGACCGTCAGCGTGCTCATGTAGACAATCTCGCTGGGCGAGGCCCCCACGAGGTCGGCCGACTTGTTGGCGCAGTCCTCGGCCATGTCCTGCCACTGCACCAGCGGCGACTGGCCCATGTCGGTGAAGTGGCCGTTGACGCCCACCGACGCCCACGTCTCCAGCTGGGCGTTGACATAGTCGCGGACGGCCTTTGGTTGAGCGCCCAGCGAGTTTCCGACAAAGTAGATGCCCTGCTCAGTCTCAGCGCCATTGACACCGTTGGTGCCGTTGACGGTGCTCTTGGTTTCACCTGCATTACATGATTAGCATTTCGTTCGTTTGAGTTTATGTCAATACGCAGAAGGGATGAGATATGAGATGAGTGAGTGTTCAATGGCTTTGGTGCTTATGCCTGAGCTGAACTTGGATTGGCGCCCGTGATTCTGCTGCTTACCAGGAATTGAGCCGTCCAACGCCCGCTTCTTCAACGAGGCCTTTGTGGGCAGAATAAACTCATCGCGAAGATGCCGCAGCGAGTCCTGGGAGTCGAGCTTCTGGGCAAACTGCAGCGAGTTTGCGTCCGCGGGGAACTTGGGAGGGGCGCCGCTGCGAAGCCGCTCTACGTATGCCGGCAAGTCCATTTTGCTGAAACTGCTGTAACTGTAACTTTTGTTGTTGATGATGTTGCTGCCAATTGCTCTATTCCAGCTTCTGAGTGAAACCAACGCACGCCTATTCAAGACTCTTGTTGTTGACGGATGCAGCTTGGTGAGGACGTGAAGAACCATCGTCTTTCTAGTAGTTGCGTTTTGGTAATCACACTCACTTTATCTTCCCCAGAGCCCAAAGAGCGCTTCGCTGTCCCGCTCTGATCCGCGTCCTGCCGTAAAAAAAGCCCCGGCGTTTATCGATTGCAAGGGGAGAAAAAGGGCGGCCGATAAAAAAGAAGGGTTGCAATCCGTGGTTCCGCATTCCGAGATCCCGCCATCCGAACTTCCGTGTCCGATGTGCCGCGCCAACGTTTTTCGATATCTGAACACAAGAATTTGCGGCACCGGCGAATCAAAGAGACGCACAGACAACGAAACTTGCTGTTTTAGGCCTCTAGTGTTTTACACGTGACTAAGCTTGAGTTGCCGTGAAAGTGCTTCCGTGTCAATTGTCACATTTGCTATGGTTTATGACGCGAATTTGTGTCATGTAAGTCAAATGACATATACAGATACAGTAATGTATACACTGGACTAACAAGTGCTTATTCTAAACTTTGCTTCATCTCAGCCTGGATTTCGACTTTGGCATCTGGAATAAAGGCCCAATCTCATGGTGATGCTGCTTCTTCATATTCGTATTGTGCTCTCATGCTGAAGGATGAATGCACGTGAATGATGAGACCCTCATCTAAAACAACATCGATATCCAAGAGCCTCAATGCTCCGAATAAGTGTAGTCAACTGTCAATGCCCTTTCCGGCCGGTGTGAAAGCCGAGTCTACCCCTTGACAGCTCCCGCTTCCATGGCGCTAGTCTCCGTGGATGGAACACGGATCTTCGGATGTAGACGGATCGAAGGATAGGAAACCATCTCCCTCCCCGTATCGTGATCCAACTCTCTCCTTTTGTTAGACTAGCTGCTGGATTATGCTCCGTACTCCATAGAATGGACCGGGCTAATGACGAATCTTGACAAAGAGAATGATTACTTTGGACCATTCCGAGTGTCCACATGGCGTGATGTTTTCCTTTCTTTTCCTCTTCATCCGCTAGGGGAGTCCCCAACTCCTCAACTTCTCCGATTAGGGTCATATAACACCACGCTCGCTCGGTCCAGAAACCAGGTCTCTAATCAAGAGAACACAAGAGAACACAAGAGAACACAAGAGAAGCCAACAGTCTCATCTCTGCTTCATTGCCTCATATCATCCACCAAACCGACACGATAGAAGACGAAGATCCTGTTTCAAACCATCAGTATCCATCATGTCTCCCCACGCTATCCGTCCAGAGGCCTTGAGCCAAGAGCAGACAGACCTGTCCAAATTTGCCGTCTCAAGACACGCCTTTCTCCCCGAAGACAGCCCCCCCAAGATGTTATCGGATTCGTACTATGAGCCGTGGGAACTCGTCGCTCACAATCTGCCAGAGCTGATCAAGGCTGGCCGTATCCATGATGCCATCAGGGAACTTCCGATCCTATCAACTGACGGCCTCAAGTCCGAAGCTGAATGGCGGAGAGCCTATGTCATCCTGTCTTTCTTCACACACGCATACATCTGGGGTGGAGAGGTACCTGAACAGGTATGATTGATACCCTGCACAATCTTTGATCGAGACTTGTATGCTGACACAAGATTCTTGCCAGATCTTGCCACCTTCAGTGACCGTTCCGTATCTCCGTGTCTCCGCTCATCTTGAGCTGCCCCCTACCTTGACCTATGCTGGCGCCAATCTTTGGAACTTTACCTGCAATGGAGAGGACTTTTCCGACCCAGAGCAACTCAGTACCTTGCTGTCCTTTACCGGAACCGAATCCGAGTCCTGGTTTCTGCTAATCAGTGTTGCCATGGAGGCCAAAGCTTCTTCCATCATTCCCATCATGACTCGCGCCATTGAAGCCATCAAGGTCCACGACTATCAAGTCATCATTAAAGCATTGGAAGAGCTGAAATCACACATCGAAGAAGTTGGCACTCTCTTGGAGAGAATGCACGAGCGCTGCGATCCCATGACATTCTATCACCAGATCAGGCCATTCCTTGCCGGTAGCATGAACATGGAGGCTGCTGGTCTGCCCAATGGTGTCTTTTATGACGAAGGAAACGGCAAAGGCGAGTGGAGGAAGCTCAGGGGCGGAAGCAATGGCCAGAGCTCACTCATTGCATTTTGGGATATCGTCCTCGGCGTCATGCACAAGGGCCACTCAGACAGCAAGGGAAGCTTCCACGAAGAGGCCAGGGATTATATGCCGGGCCCTCATGCGAGATTCCTGGTGCACGTGGCTCGCCTGGGCAGCATCCGCAAGCTTGCACTTGATCTTGAAGATCCTCTGCAGGAAGAAGAGCACCGACTGAGGGCGGCTTATACGTCTGCAGTAGAGACTTTTACTGCATTCCGACAGAAGCACATCAATATCGTGACGAGATACATCCTCATTCCCTCCAAGCAGCCGTGGACCGGACCGACCCGCGTGAACCTAGCGAGCTCTTCATCGGAAAAGAAGGGAGAGGGGCTTACTGGCACTGGAGGCTCCCAGCTCTTCCCGTTTCTGAAGCAGTCGAGAGACGAGACTACTGTTGCGGGCAAGCTCGAAAACTCGAAGCCATGAACGAATTGGCCGAGGAATTGAAAATTTCAACAATGATAGACACGGGCGGGCGTTTTGGGTATTATGACTTGATGTTTCCTTTTCTTTTCTTACAGGCGGGACAGCGAGTGATGGTTATGATTTGGGCTTTTGGTGCCCTACTGAAGTGAGAGGATACATGATACAGGTATACGAGCGATTGATATGGAAGGTTGGAATAGAGTTGCTACGTTCATGAGCGACGAAGCGAGGGGCACTGGATATAGAAGGATGATGTAATACGTGTATAAAGGAGTGAAGATATTCGTATATAGCAGATCAATAGTCTATAGGCAGTCTAACCAGAGAATTCAACACCTCTCCCCACAATCTCATGCAGAATCAACCGACAACCACTCGGCATCGGCGCATCAACACGAGACCATGATGAGTCCCAGCTCTGGCCTATGAGTCAGTGGGAATGAACCAGAGCCCCTCAGTGGCGCTGCTGCTGCAAAAGACTCATACGATGCACCATGTGGAGCTGCTAGTAGCATTTCTCGGTTGCATGCGTCTCGTGATCGATTGCTGCTCTCAAGAAAAATTAAGCAGAAAAAAAAAGAAAACGCAAAAGACAGGCCGTCATCCAGAGGCTGCCCGATATGCACGTCACGCATCCTATGAGAGGGCAATCTGCAGTCCAAAGTGGGTGGCGCTCCAGGCTGTGGAGGTGCGATGCCCCGCCCAAAGTTACAGGCGCTGTTAGTGCTCCGAGGCCACTGTGAGCTGCTGCACAACAGCGCCCAGCACCGCGCTAGCCGGCCAATTAGCGGTTTGCCAACGACTGAAAAACAAAGAGCGGTGACGATTGACGGTTTTTTCATTTGATTCGCATCGCGGCATCTGGTCCCAGGTTCGGGCCTAGACGGGCTTAGCCTCTCCCCTTCGTTGCCTCCCTGCGAATCAGATCGCAGACCCCACACAGATGGTCCAAGAAAAAAAAAAAAAGTTTGGGATTGCAGTTCTGGCAAGAGGTACCTGGTACAATGTACTTGTCGCGGGGCCTTCAAAACTTTTTTTTTTCCCATTCGATTTTCCTCCTCCCCTTTGCTGCATCATCAGCAATCAGCTTCAAGCCCAGACAACGAAGTCGCCCTATAGCCCAGGATTCAACCCTCAGAGCACCCCCCAGTCAGAAACTTCGTCGAGCCACAATGCCTTCGGCCGTCGCTGAGCTGTAAACGCCCACTGCGGGCCGTGCCCATCACGGCTCGCAGTCCAGCAGTTCAACGAGCCTAATCAACCAATTCGTCGACGATAGTTTTTCAACAGGCTTTTCCCGCTACAGAGCTCGAATGCTCTTCCAAAGCCCGTCTCTGAATCACAAATCCTGCCAGTTGCCCGCTTTGATAGGGCCTTCAACGTCTCAATTGCTGCAAAAAAGTTTTCAACAAAACCAATCTTGACAGCTATCACATCTCCTTCCCTCCTTCCACCCTTACTACTACTACGACAAAAGCACCTTTACCCTCGACCCCCAATACGCCCAACACTACGTCTACTTGTACTCGAATCAAAAGTTCAGCATCAAGCATTGAAAAGTTATAGACCACATTTGTACTGAATCGACCTGTTCAACCTTTTATTGTTTTCAGGGGAAGAGAGAGAAAAAAAAGGCTCTTTATCACGGCTAAAGTGCTATCAATTACCGACAGGAGAAAATTTCCTTTACTCAAAAAGTTTTATCTGATAACGGGACTACACAAAATGTCTCGCAACATTCGCCAAAAGTACCCCGCAACTGCGGCCAAAGCTCAAAAGCGTCGTCGTGGCTCGGACACATCGTCATCCCTTGATCTCTCCGATGAGTCGGGCTACTCAGCCGTCGAAGACATTAGTGACTCCGAAGACAACGATGAGGAGGATGTAACGGCGGTCGAGGAGGCAATCATAGTCACAGAGGGCAGACCCCGTTCCTCTAACGCTCCTCGACCGCAGTCGGATGAAGAAGAAGAGGAAGACGGTGACGGTGACGACGACGATGCTGGAGAGGAAGCCGAGGATGAAGACGATGATGCAGATGTCCTCCCAGATGATGGGGATGATGATAATGCAAGCTGGGCCGGCATCTTGTCCGACGTCGACGACGGCAATGCATCCGATTTCTACCATGATCCCAACGCTTTTGCTTCAGATCCCATTATAGAGCGCCATGTTCGCTTTGATGTGCCGGACAGCGATTCTGATTCTACCGAAACAGAAGATGACCACGCCGATCTATTCCCCGATATTTTTGTCTCGCAAAACTCACTCGATCCCTCGTTCCGTAAAGAGCTTGAGCACGACCCTGATGAATCGTCCGGCTCCAATTCCTTTTGGGACTACCATGGCCAGTACGAGGAAGAGGAGGAGGAAGAAGAAGAAGATTCTGAATCAGACGCCGAGGAAGTCGTTCGACAACTCTCCGATGACGAAACTTCACCTGCTGCCATGCCCACCCCTAGCGCTGCTAGTGTGGTTGAAAATTTTACTCCCACCTTTGAAGAGTCTCTAGAACTGGATGGTTATGAGTGTGAGTATCATCATTACACAAGGTGGAAACCGGCCTGCCCCTGTACCTTCTTGCTAACATCGATGGCTCAGCTGATGGCGACACAACTGATGAAGAAGACATTCCTGAACCTGTCATCCGCAAGAGGGCTCGACGTCAGTCTAATACAATGAGTGACGAAGCATCAGACTCGGAGGCAGACTCTCCTGTCAAACCAGAGCGTGGCCAGCCTCGCGTGGGCCGCTTCAACCTAGACCGGTCTGACAAAAAGCCCATTGCTGTTCTCAACCCCCTGACACGCAAGATGATGATTTTCACACCCCATCGACGACGACAGCTGGACCTGTCGCCTGAGCAGTTCAACTTCCCCTGGGCCATCGAGGATCAATCATCACCGCTGCTTAGCAACTCGGCCAACATGATGCTCAGCGCCATGTTCTCTTCCAACACCTTTGGCGACTTTGTCAATGCTCAAGCCATGGGCCCCGCCGAGGCCTTCTTCCCATTCCAATCCACGGCCAACGGAGATGATAGCTCAACATCTCCTAGCATGGAAGACGAGGACGAGGAGGACGACGAAGAGAAGCTCAACATCAATGACTTCATTACGTTTGGTGAAGCTGATGATGATGAGTCGTCAGGTGACGAAGGAAACGACGGCAATTGGGGCGCATCGCCCAAACGCCCAACCACTGCATCTGGCGAGATCCTGTCACATCTCAACTCGGATACTGTTGGCGCCTTCCGCCGGAATCAAATCAACCAACAACTGATTCTGAGCAACCAAGCGACCCAAGATTCGCTAGCCTTCAGCGGGCCATACAACTACACCGCCCTTCGGGGTTTAAAGTCGGATCGCTTTGACACTGCAGCTGTACCCCTGACTCCGGCCAGACGGCACAAAAAGCAGCTGAGTGACCGCGCTCCTCTCGAATCAACCTCCACCAAGCGCAAGGCTACGGGCGAGGCCAACGGAAGCAACCACAAGAGACACCGAAGCATCTCTTCGGATGTCAACTTCCTACGGATATAAATAGGTATCGGAGGTTAGCTTTGGCAAACAAGGCAATCAAATACGACCGAGGACGGTGCACAAATGTGCCCCTGGCCTCAACACTTATACATTCTTTTCGGCATCTACATCAAAGCATTTCCTTTCCGTTTATTTTTTTTGAACAGCTCAAGCCAAGACACGACGTTTCCTTTGCAGCGTTTACGAAAGTTGACGTTTTCTATGTTTGGTAGACGGCAGGATGTGTGGCCTTGGAAACAAGCTATGTGGTGGTCGGGATACTAAACATGGTTACAGGAGAATCTCTGTGGGAACAAAAGCATTAGAGGTTTCACGTTTACCCAAAAGTTTTTTTTGTGTGTGCTACCCAAGGACAATGCAAGGCTTTGCCCTGGGTGTTTATAAAAGCTTTCCCCTTGCTATGGCCGCGAACTAATGACTTAATGCCAATCGACGATGGCTGATGTGAAGATGAGTCCGTTGCCTCACTCGAACTACAACTGTCTCTTTGTATTCATGACGGTTCTACATTTCCTTTTTGTTTCCTTTGCTTCGTTTCTGTATTCTTGCTACCGTTTCTGAGTGTGTATGTACGAATTGAATCGAAACAGTTGAAATTACTTTTCTTGCATTTACTTTTGATGTGCGTGTGTGTGTATGTCTCTCGCTTACCCTTGTAATGTCTAAGGTGACATTGATGAAAAAAGGGCACAGGGATCGATCTCACTGAAGCCGTGAATTTTAAGTCTCAATCCCTGGCAAAAAGTAAAAAAGACTAGCAAGGGTGAAGCCGATCTCATGCAGCGATTCAACAGGATCGAACAAACTCGAGCTTCCAAAAGGGCAAAAAAAGAAAACAGCCTAGTCCGATCTAGCCAGGACTCGAACCTGGAACCTTTGCCACCGGAAAGCAACGCGCTGCCATTGCGCCACTAGACCAATAGTTGCTATGTGGATTTCTTATTTGGTACTATATGTGGCTTGTTCGATTATGCAACCCGTTCGATTTTCTTAAGCAGTAGCCGAATTTGCTAATCGGCCTCGGCTATCGTCATTCATTTTCCAAACCCGCGATTTCAAAGCAAACTTGAAGATTTGTGACAACTTACAACTGAACTGCCCACAATGTCGCTTTCTGTTGGAGCTTCTCTGCGCCCTGCGGCTTTCCGCTGCGTCGGTGCTGCGCGCATGCGATGCGCTTTTGGGACCACGGCGTTTCGAAGGAGCGAGAGCTCGACGCCGGGGGAGCTTGGGGTTGGAGAACTGCAGGGCGCATCGTTTCGCATTGAGCCTCTCCGGAGGGTTGGCGAGGATGCTTCGACTATGCGAGCGAGACTTTTATGTATGTGCTAAAGAAATCTACAATGTGTTTTCCACGTTCAACTGGCTAACCTCTTGTTTTAGACCAATCTCGGAAGCGCGGAACCCTCGAGTCGGATCTCTTACTGTCTACGTTTGCGTCACAGAACCTGCCCACCATGACACCTGAAGAACTACGACAGTACGACCTCTTCCTCGACGAGAACGACTGGGACATATACTACTGGGCGACGCAGCGGGAGCCGAATTCCACGACGAACCCATCCGTGACGGCGAGTCCGGCGAGTGCATCGGCGAGCGAAGGGTTTGAGGCGAGAAAGCAGGATGAGTTGCCTAAGAATCCGCCAAAGGGGGAGTGGGCGCAGACGGTGGGCAACTTTAAGCCTGCGTATAGGCCGGTGCCGCAGAGGTGGAAGGATAGTGAGATTTTGGAGAAGTTGAGGGCGCATGTGAGGAGGAAGAGTGTGAATGGGGGGGAGGGGACGGGGATGGCGTTTATGCCGCCTTTGGAGTCGTGATTTTGATATGAAGGGGTTGAGAAAGAAAGACAGAGAGAAAGTTGTGATGATTAAAAGGATTTTGGGTGGGAATGTTACGATAGGGTTTATGAGATGTGTATAACAGACAAGATTAAATGACTACGATTGTCGGGAATAGAATAAAGGATCGTGGATCTTGTATGATGAATTGATGGAGTCCGATTGACAGGCTACATGATACTTCGTGGACTTACACGGTTGCTTTGAAGAGAATATCTGGTGTGAGGTATTCTATCATCCCGAATGAACACCCCAAGTGAACATCTCGAATGACCTGAAGAAGAGCGGTTTTTTTTTTCTTCCATTTTAAGTGACCAATGAATAATTTACATAGAAGAAGGGGGTATATTCGTCTATACATGAAACTACAATCCTGCGTAGGAACTCTACGAAGGTGAATCTCTACTCCAGGGTGGTGTAGCTTAAGCTTTTTCGACTAGACAAGGAAATGGCCGACTGACTCATTGATAGGCTGAATCTTCATCCTGTGACTCAACAAACGGCTGTAACAGGCCTATTTTCGTCATGATACATGCCGCCACGTCGCGCTTGAGCATGGTGTCGGGAGGGAGGGTGTGATCCAGAAGGGGGTGGCTCTTTCACAGCATTCTTAACTCCTCCCGAGGCCTAGAGACGAAAGACTGAATAAATTTCCACTACCTAACACCCAGAATATAGAGAATTCACATTACACGCCCCCCCCCCCCTCCCCTTATCGACCAGGTGTGACTGCGGCTCAAGTGGATTCTTTCACAGCATTTTTAACTCCCCCCAAAGGCCTGGAGACAAAGTACACCAAGCCGACTGTCTATTGCCTAACGACCAGCATCCAGTGCTGCCTCACTCCACGTGAACTAGACAGAGGCAAGCGCTATTGAGTGGCTTTTGACTACTGGTCCTTTGTGTAATTTTTCGTGTAGCTTGTGAGCTACTCTAGTTTGATGCTCGATACAGAGCCCCTTTATTGGGAATGCGAAGCCAGAAGTTGATGCGATAAGAGCCAATGAACAAATAAATTACAGTCAAGAGAAGAATATAGCACAAGTGTTATGTCCTTTATCTCCAGGTGTGCACGGGCGATGTGAGTGGTGGAAGTTGCATGAAATCGGTGTAAGTCGGATGGATGGCTCTGCTGCAGCTTCAGCATCCGAGATATATATAAAAGTGGTAGCAAGTACCGTTGACATGATGTATAACAGTGGAGAGAAATTACTAGCTTGAACATGTATATTTGGAGGAGTAAGATCGATGCTGGAAGGGGTTTAGGACGTGCGTCTGGGAGTGAGTTGTGCATCTTGAACCCTTGTCTGATTAGCTGCGGGTGTTTGGGTTTCCTATCTTGGGCCGCTGAGAAAGAGATGGTGGAAGATCTCTAGTGGTGGGTATAAATAAACATGCCTTGGTTGGATACAGTTTGGATGTGAATATCGAGATATGACTTATATAGTATTGACCATCTCTTTAATATTGTATTTGTAGAAATAGAGAAATACACTGGGGACATACACACGTGTACATGTATGCAGTATGCAGAGAGACGCCCTGCATGCGGAGCGAGGCTACTCCTATCTTGCAGATAAAAGTCATCGTGTTATCACTTGTCGTTTAGGTGAGACGGGGGCCTTCACCGTCACCATCAGCCATGCATGACTCACCTCCCCAATCTGAAAGCGTTTCTTTAGGTGTGCGCAGGATGCGAACGTTTATTCGTTGGTCGATTATCTGGTGGCAATCCGGTGGTGTTGCGGGACGGCTACCCTGCAGTAATTGATGATGTATGTGTGGGATTTTGGGGGATCTATGGTCGATTCCACAGATCGGGAACGTTTGTTCAGATAGTTTATGATCTTGGCCATGGTGCATACCTAGGTATATTACATGTTGATGAGTAACCAGGCGCTGGTTATATGTTTATAGGCAGGTACAAGAGGAGAGTAAGATAATTGCCTTTGTTTTCATGAATCTTTATGTTTTACCAATGCGATGCGTTTCATTTCTCTACGTATCCCATCATGTTATAGATATGAATCGCTATAAAGTTGTCTCCAAATGGTAGTGTTGCTGGCAATAGTAACATGCTTCAAGTCTCTTTTATTGCAACATATTGTAACCATCTATTCATCCTATGTTCTCAATTGTAGTTAGACAATTTATGTGATAGCATGTTCAGCGCCTACTCTATACAACATGTAATTCCTACTTATAAAGAGATTCGATGAACAGTCCCGTCTTCCCACTTTCCGGCAATTGAAACACAATTACCGCACTCTGACTTGTGTACATGTAGTGTTAATAAACTGCTTCCCTATCGTCTGACGGCCATTGCTTGGTATCCAATCTTCGACCCTGGCTGTCAAATATTCTTGCAAAACTCAGCTCCGAAAAGTCACTCGAATATTGTCACCTGATTTAATTTGGATCCTAAGAGGAGGAGTAGGGAGATCTTCTTGGGGGGCTGCATCTTGTCTCTCGTCAGGGCGATCCGAACGACCTCCTTCACGTTTAGGGTTCAAATCCTGTCTTTCGTAAGAATGACTCGGGCGATTTGAACGACTTTGTCCACGTTGAGGGTAAAAGTCCTGTCCCTCCTGAGAACGACTCAGGCGGCCTTGTCTGTGTGTAGAATCTCGCCTCCTACGAGGGCTATCTGATCGATTTCGGTTAGGGACGGGATCTCGTCTTTCGCGAGAACGACTCAGGCGACGTTGTCTGGGGATAGGATCTTGTGTCTCGCGGGGGCGATCCGAGCGGCCTCTTCGTTCAGGGGTTGTTCGAGCACCCGAAGCCATTAGCTGTTCAACCGGCGTAGAACCTGTTGCAACTGAGCTTTCAGCAAGTAGAGAAATGAGCCTGAGCATTCCCATAACTGCATCATCGTCGCCGGGCATTTCTAATTTATAAGAGGTGTCTCTGAGATAGTGCCCTCTAATTTCTTCGATTTGCTTAAAGCCAAAAGCTCTTTCTTTATCGTTACGAAATAGTGCAACATGAGGAAACCCTAAAAGCCCATCCCGAAAGTTATGGTTAGTGAGTGCCGATAGATACGTGTCTGATGATACAGTCTTACTCTTGTTTTTATAATAATCCATAAGCTTGGACAGCAACTGGATTTGATGAGTTATAAAGATGCGTGCCACATCTCTTTCTTCGACATCCCATTTTTCATCCCGGCATAGTCGGCCCCGTGGTATTATAGGTGTAATGCAATCTGTCAACAGTTTGAAGTCGATATCGCGATCCTGAAACCAAGGGTCGCGTAAAAAATGCCGATAATCATAAAAAAACCTTTCGCCTTGATTGAGAGCTCCTGCGAGGACGTCAGAAAGAAGAGGCATTTTGTCTGGAAGGGTAATGTCTGCCTTGGACGATTGTCTGAGGGAGCAGGAGATAGACACTCCTCTCTCATTATGATTCAGTGTTATTGATACTAATTTATACAGGTTGTCTAAAAGGACTGCTGAAGACATCTGCCTGAACAAGAGATCGAAGGAATGAACAAAGAAGAAAAGCCGACTTACTGAACACTGTACGAAAGCCTTTGATAGGCTAATTTTGGGGTGTTCCTCTGAGTTTACTGTCAGTTTGTGAGAACGTCGTTTCAATGTTCTTCCTACACACCGATGCTATTGGGTGCATCTGCTTTGCCCCTTAAGCCTCAGCGGCTGTGCCAACAAAGAATTTGCACATGCGACGCTTGCGTGTTCTACCGCGCCTCAAACGATGATACCACTGAACAAGTATTGCACAGCTAATGACAAGCGCCGGTCTTTGTTCTGAGTGCGTTCATCAAAGCCAGTCTGCACTTGTGGCTGCCCTCTATGGCACACGTGCCAACTAAGTGACTTGCTCGCGCTCAACTTATACTGTAAACAAAGTAGGCTTGCTGGGAGTATGTGTAGAGTAAGCGAGTATACTGAACATATTTTCTTTGTTTCCAATATTTTACGTTACACTCGAAATATTGCCCCCTTCCCCCACATGGCAAGTGGAGGACAGAAAAACCGCGACCGAGAAGATTTCGAGCATCCGCGAGTTAAATCATACGCCTATAAAAGGAATTACTATTATATCTACATTTCCCTATTAGCTATTACCAAATCTATATTTTTTTTTAGTAACTGCTACTAAATTTATATTTTTTTAATAATAGCTAAGTTATATCGTGAAGTCCCGGTGTTGGTAGAACAGGCGTTCCTCTGCAAAAGCATTACTCGATGAGTTGATTAGGTGCATATATTGCTGAATATATGTAACTAGGTATTTATTTTGCGATCTTGCTTTTTCTGACCTCCGCTTGCATGGTTCACCATAATGAGCGGACTTGATCTTTCTCCAGATGACATACTGTTGAAGCATATTTTCGACGAAACATAGAAATCTTTCACATTTTCTCATAAATGGAACAAATGTGTATTCAAGAGGGATTTTGGAGTCACAAATGCGCTATGCGACTGGTTTTAACCTTGTCCTTATGGCGTATATGACCAGCATAGGTAGCTAATATCGAGACACTCGATTGAAAGGAACCGTTAGGATTGAGAAATGAAGCATTCAGGAATGCGCTGAAATAGTTCTAAAGCGTTATGAAAGTGTACGCTGAGTTCTTGTTCTTAAATGAAGTAGACAGCTGGACTTGATTTATATGTCCGTCATCCAGTTTTGACTACATGCAGCTATAGATACCAAACGAAGCTTGTGAGTGAAAATGCTCACAAAGCTTGAAGAGGAGAGATTACTAAACGTTCCGATCATCCTTTGTTTTATCTGTGAAATCGATAGAAAGCATATATGCCACGTCATATCATTTCCCAATAGGTGCTTGGCCCATCCCGATTAGACTTTTGTCAGCTGCGAGGCTGGCAGCTTGATCGCAGCTCTGCATCTCACGTCTCTAGTTGCTTCATGTATATTTATATAAAGGACTATTCACCAAGAGAATCCTTTAGCAAAACACGATTTAAAAACTGCATCTGCCTAATAAAACGCTAAAATTATCATGTCGGACTCTCAGAAACCAGCCTCTGATCCGCGATACCCAGATATCCGGCATGTCGCTGAGGCTCGCCGCCTTCGGTCGCAAGGCGCCCTCATCATAGATGCTCTTGGAGGCATTATATTATGCCCTCTAGACACTTCTCGCGCGGATTTGCGTATCCTAGATAGCGCGACTGCTGACGGGCACCTTTTGACCTTGATCCGGAAGCAGCTGGCACACCCAGAGAGTGCAGAGTTGATCGGCACAGATATTGCAGACTACCCGCCTCTCGACTTGCCTGAAAATATCACACTCGAAAAGCAAGACATTTTGAAACCGTGGCCGGAGAAATGGGAGGCGCATTTTGACTTTGTGCATCAACGAACGGGGCTCGCCGTTACGGGCGGAATGGAGCGGGCTGTTGAGACAGTACGACGGTTCATAGAGCTGGTCAAGCCTGGGGGCTGGATTCAGCTCGTAGATGGTACCTTGATTGATCACAAAATAGCAGAAGACGACAAGGCCTGGGTGAAGCTGTTCAAGGTGCTGTCACAATGCGTGACTCTTGTTGGGCTGGACACCTCATTGGGTGTATCGACGGCTGAGATCCTGAAGAGGGCTGGAGAGGGTTTGGTGCGCAATATAGGCGAAAAGCAGGGCGTTAGTCCTTTGGGAAAGGGTGCGTCTTCAAAAGAGCTTGAAGAGCTGGGATATGTGGAATTGAAAGGAATGCATAGCGGCTTCGTAACAATGCTGAAGGGAATGCCTGAAGACAAGAGGCCAACGGCCCTTGAACAAGTTGAAGGGCTTCTGCCGGAGGTATTGAGAGAGGCTCAAGCGGGAGAGTGCGAAATGAGATGGTACGCAGCATGGGGACAGAAGATTTAAAGCTGATAAGGTCGACTGAACCTAGACTCAATCAAATGCTATCTTATGTGGTTCCATGGATTTGATGGGAGATTTGTGACAAATTTATGTGACTGTTGCTGCCCTTCAACACCGAGAGGCGAATTTATTTGTCTCAAGTTAACTGGATAGCCTCGGCTGATCAACTCACAAACCATATCATGCATAGTATCGACGGCATCAACCAATCGGCTAAGACATGAAGTATAAGGCCGTTCAATATTTCGATCTCTTAGGATCTGTCTTATTGGGATTGCGAGATTGCTGTGAGCTCCGACTTCCACAACCATATCAATGTTGCCAATCATATTGTTGAATGCCTGGCTGAAGAGGACTGGGCCGGTCATATTGAGCCCAATGCTCAGGACTCAGGAGAACCGAAGGGGCTAGCTTGCTCTCCAGTAACTGGTGATATTATGGTAATATCACAGCCCGTTTGCTTTCTCGTTGAAGCCCCAAGGATAGGCCGAAGCTTTTCAATGTACTCCTTTTCCACATGCCTCATGTGATGAGAGTGATATGCCATCGGGGCCTTGAGCTTTCCCATGACTATGTCGTCGTTCTTCAAGTTATTAGCAACCTCGTCGAGAGTATCCAAAGCACCAGAATATGTAACGTGGAATGGGCTGTTGATGCAGGCTACGACCACTTGCCCACCTGATGTGTTTGTGCTCGCGATATACTTTTCAGCGACTGCCGAGCTTACTGCAGCTACAATCATGCCGCCCCGGAGAGAGTGTAACTTTTGCTCTTGGAAACATAGCTCACCGCGGAAATATGCGACGCCGAGAGCCTCTTTGAAGGACAGGATCTTGACTGCGTATGCGGCCGCGATCTCGCCGCTGGAGTGACTAGTCACAGCAGTAGGTACGATGCCCCACGACTCTAAAAGATCAACAAGACAGAGCTGTATCGCAACGCTGATGGGTTGACTGAGTGATATCTCGGCCACGCGGGTCGTGATCTTATCTCGCATAAGTTCCTCTGGAGATGTAAAGGGTCAGTGAACGAAAAGAATAAAGTTACTACTAGGATGCTCACCTTTCAATGACCACAAGGCTCCATATTCTCTCAAGATGTCATCTGCCTCGCGAATACGCTGGCCAAATATTGGATACCCCTCAATGAGCTCTCGACCCATCGCGTGCCACTGTGTATCTGGTCCGTTGAAAACAAAGCCGAGGTCCGGCAACTCAGGAGGTGTATTGGATGGCTTTCTCGTCGGGCTGAGCAAGCCAGCGGCTAACTCATCGATATTCCTGGCGCGAACTGCGGCTACCCAGCAATGTCTTGACCGTCTCTCGGCCAGAGTAAAAGCTAGGTCTTCCGGCTTTGGCCGCGACTTGACAATATGGTGAGCAAATCGATGCATCATGGTGTTGCATGCGGTGGAGTCTTTGGCGCTCAGCAAATATACGAGTGATCGATTGCTCGTGTTTCCGGTATCGTTCGAATGGCCGTTGATGTGGCTGAGGGAATTAATGCTGACACTTGGATCCCTGTTGGTTGAAGGTAGATCTAGGATGATATGACCATTGGTTCCGTCGTCATCAAAATTGTTGACCGAGACACGCAGTGGTCTATCTAGGGGCCAAGCCATTGCAACTGTTGGCACTTTTACATTTGGGCTCGCAATTTCGAAGTTGAGATTGGGAGGGATAACCCTATGCTTGAGGACAAAGACTGCTTTGATGAGAGCAGCGATGCCGCTGACAGGCCCGGTGTGGCCAAGGTTTGTATTCACAGAGCCGATAATGGCAGGGTCTGTTTCGTCACGGCTCTTGCCAAAGGTTCTGGCAATGGCTTCAGCCTCAATAGGCCCCCCAGGAACCGTTCCAGTGAAGTTGGCTTCTACATAGCCTGCGTCCTCCATCCTGTAGCCTGCACGTTTGTAACAGTCCCGGATAAGCTGAATTTGGGCGTCTACTGAAGGAGAAGTCATGGCTGTGGTCTTGCCATCTTGGTGCAATCCAGAGTCTCTAATAACTGCGTGGACTTGGTTGCCATCTCTCAATGCAGCATCAAGGGGATGGAGTATCAAGGCAGCAACTCCCTCCCCTCTACCGATGAAGTCGTCCTGGCCAAGGAATATGTTGGCTGCTCCAACGATCGACATGTCGCTTTCGCCGGAGCGAATACTTTGGCATCCTTGGTGGAAGGCAACAATGTAGGCAGAATCGCCTGTGTCTACGGATATACTGGGCCCTCGGAGATCGAAGAAATGCGATATACGGTTTGACAGCATTGCGGTGCCCGTTCCGAACAGAGAAGAAGGAGGAAGTATCTCTGCGTCCTTATTTTGTATCTCATGGTAGTCTTTGTTGAGGGTGCCCGTGTACATTGAAGTGTTTGTGCTTGCGAGTTTCTCAATGGGGATGCCGGCTTCGCAAAGCATCACAATGTCAATCAATATCTTGTAGATACTCTATGGAAGAGAAGACCAATACCTTCTTCGGTTGCCTCGTAGACTATTTCAAGCAGGAACCTTTCCTGCGGATCAAGAGCCTGATTTTGATGAATGGTAACGAGCTAGAGTTCCTTTCAGCGCTCGTCTTGTTTTCACGTCGAGTATCACCATATCAACTTACAGCAGCAGCATCAGACTTTAAGTTGAAAAAAGCAGCATCAAATAAGGAAATATCTTGTTTCATAAAGTATCCGCCCTTGACGCTACTTCCGCCAACTCTGCCTTTGTCTCTATGGTACAGCCCTCTAACGTCGAGGCGATCTTCTGGTATGGGCGTTTGTCCATCTCTTCCGGAGACGCAGAGTTCCCATAGCTTAGATGGATTGGTGACGTCTCCGCTGAAGCGGCATGTCATGCCTATGATGGCGATGGGTGCATGGGCGGTGTCTGTCATTGCGGCGAGAAAATATTGAGAGTTGAATCTCTATCTCAAGGCTTGTTGTCCGCTTTTCTCTCCTCCACTGCATTACCGGAGTTCTGCAATCACTCACTTCTGAACGAAGTTACCATGCTGATAATTCTAATGCAAGAGTCAGCCCTAATCAGAGTGCTGCATGCCAATCTTCCCCGCTCTACTCGTTTACGATGCTGTTCAGGCTGTCACCCGTCCTTTTCTTGGCCCACCCTCATTTTCCTAGTATGCTGTAGCCATTGGTGGTCCTTGTGAATCTTTCAAGTATTGTTACTATAAGCTCATATGACACGCCAAACAGACCACTTAACGACGCCAGTGCTATGAATGAACTCTGTTGTGCTATTGGGGATTTAAATTGAAGACCATGACTATTTAGCATGAGGCCTTACTGCCACCGCCGAGTAGTAGGCTAGATAATCGAGTAGCACACATCTTCTTACCTGTGCCCGTTTCTACTTAACGAACGCTCCAAAGCTGCCGCTTTCGAATCAAACTGTAGTTTAAGTCTGGACTCGGAAAAGCTCGTCATTATGCCGTCTATATCTTTGGGTACATTGATAATCTCATTAGTTTCGAAATATTGGGTGAAATTGAATGACCGTGTCGGACTCGTGATTAATATTTTGACCATTGCTCCTACACTCTCTGAAGAGAGAAATTTGTTAATTTCCTTCACCACTTCTTTAATGTCATCACGCAAATCTGCAACCTCGTAATAATTCGTGCCGTCAATAATGATGAAGATGGGCGTCGCTTGGGGAAGTGCTGCCACTAAGTATTGGAAAAGATGCCTTTGTCGGCGAGAGCTCCAATTCGGACTGGTTCTCTTCAGCTTCTCCATGAAGTCGTGTTCGAGGCAAGAAATATTGGGAAATTTCCACTGCGCCAGAAGTTGTATCAGAAGGCTTCTTAACAAGCCGCTCGTTTTTTGCTCTCGTGAATTTTTTGAGCCTGTGTCATGCATCTGAAGGCCACAGAAATGGCTCAAGATGATCGAGCCAGTCGAGTTTAAGCTCTGTGCGAGCATAGCACAGAAAAAGGACATTGGTGTAATCCGCTCCAAGGAACCATGGCCATTGACGAGAATTGTCTGTGATCCGGTTGACGTAAACCAATGAGCGATGTTCTTATTTGTCAATAGCCACTCGACACGGTTTTGCGCCTCCGTGCCCATGGACAGTCCAGCGTTCAATACTTTTTTGAGAACTGGTTTCTGAGCAGAGTATATAGCGACAGCATTAGGATCCAGTAGAAGCAACAGATTCTTCTGCGAGATTACTACTTCTGGCTTATGTTCTAAGCTTTGACTGGCCTGACTCATTATATGCTGCTCTATTGCAGAATGCCCTTTATTATTTGTCAGCTTGCTTTTAGCATATCTCAAGCATCACGTACATTTAGCTTGTTGCATCATTTCAAAAAGCAGTGTTTCTGCGGCTTTTTTAATCCAGGCCATGTTTTGTTCGACTTTATTGACCTGACCTGAAATTTGGGATACCTGCTTGCTGATACATAGTTTGATGATTTGATCTACACGAGTTGAAGATTTACCAACGTCTTTAATCCTCTCTTTAAGAGGATTGTACGAATTTTGCTGCAAGATGGGTTTCAGCCACTCAACTTGAACGGATGTCAATAGGTGATATGGCCAAAGTAGATGCAGAAGAATCTTACACGTATGGTCTTTCATTAGCCAGTACATGATGCTCTGGATAGCGGAAAGTATGTTGCAAAATAGCTCACTGCATGCATCCTGCAGCTGATCGTCGCTTTGGTACAGCTCCAAGTATTGACCAGTAATGCCTACTTTCTCAGGTAGCTGACCAATGAGTTCGAAGGCTTGCTCCCGAAATGTCTTGGAAGCCATGCACGCCTTTTACCATGATAAGCCACATTTTAGCAATGAATCCGAATGCTTAAGGAGATAACGATATGAAGTAAGAAATATCTTGAATGTACCTTGAGGATAAACTTGATTCCTCCGCAAATTACGGAGGAGAAATCCGAATCGGGAATGAAATCAACAAATGGCTCGACTAGGTTTGACTTGTCTGCGGCCTTTCTGAACCATTTGCGTACAACTTTCACACCCGTCGGGTTACTATATGTCTCTTTGGCATCTTGCAATGCATCAAAGACTTCTTTCCAGTTATGTGTTTCTAATATATTGGATCGCACTTCGGCAATCAAGTTGGGTTTGTCTTTAAAAAAAAAGTCCACGTAGCTTGCGGCTTTTTGTTTCCTCCATGATATGGTCATGCTCTTCATCCCAAGCTAATAGAATATTTGTGATTTCTTCTTTTTTCTTCTTCGTCTCAGTATTGGTCTCTCTTTAAAGGAATTAGATTTTATTGACAAATAAGGACTTGATTAAAAGCCTACTCAACCGAAGATAAAGGAATAATAGGTTGAGGTAAAAACTGTGACAAAAATTTCTCTAAGAGTTTAGGATCCATGGTTATTGATTCCGGTGTAAGAGATAATTCATGATCATCTGGGACTAATAGCTCGCGAGGCATATTGTGTAGGTTAAAGAAGTCTTTGTAAACACTACAGGATTTCATTTGAGGTTGCGCTTCAGATAGGGATCAATAGCAAGAGAGGATATGAAAAGAAGCTCTGAGTAATCATGCGTATTTATCAGAGTTATCACTGGTGAGAGAGCCGGTTATACAGATACGAATCCCTGCTCTAGTATTTAAATTAGGACACAAGCTCGATATACCGGAAATGTAAGATGGTTGTATTCGGTGACAAAGTGGAGTGAATCGAATCAATGAATAAGGGACACGTTATCGATGTAGCTACCGATAAGATTCTTGTGTTGCAATCTTGCAAGATGTAAACGTACTGATTGGGCTCTTCCATTGTTGGGGGCGAAGGATTAATATAATTTCATTCATGTAGACACCGAACCTCACCATGATTGGTCGTTGGAATTCAGCTGCGGCGGAATGGTAGAACTCGGGATAGTAGGAGAAATAAACGCCAACCCATACCACCTGACGACAACTCATCCGATTCGACTGACTCTAGAGAAGATGATGATGTGGCTGAAAAGGGCATTGAGTCAGATGAATCGAGCGATGGTAAGGGGAGAAGCAAAAGGCAGAATAGTGATGACACAGAGGATTCCGAGGGTGGCCAACAGGCTTCTCGGAGGTCTACGAGAGACACTGGAAAGAAGCGATCTCGTGACGGGGAAAGAGATGCGAGAACCAAGGGCCGATCAAAGAAGTCAACTTGATTGACGTCTCTATAAACCTGATGCACTACGGTTGCAGCGCTTGCAGAGGGCGGAAATGATGCATACATATGTAGTTACTATTACTGAGCTTCAACAGCGGTAATACATCTTTGAGATAAGAAATACATATAAATGTTGGATGAGAACTTGAAGTTTAATGAACAGACAACACAGCATTGACAGCCTCTGGGCAATGAAAATACGAGGCTTACTAGGACGATTTGGCGCCGATCTGCAGATCTCCGCATCTTGGGTTTCAAGAGACACATAAGCATAAGCATACGCAATCAGTGGCCAATGTGCACCCAATTCGTATATCGGTGAATGATGAGGGGATACTATAGAGTATACTGGTTGCTTTTCTTGAACCCAAGGGATATAAAACCTCCATAGAGATACCTGAGTCGTAGCAGAGGTAGAATGACTGGTACATTAATGGATTCACCATTAGCTCCAATACACTGGGCTAAAGAGTCATTGGTACGGGGATAGCAGAGGACGTGACGCCTTTTCGCCTTGTACCGAGTACTGTGCGGCTCTGTATTACGACGACAAGCCCATGACGAACGTGGGGAAGAGAGGCACGAGACACCGAGAACAGAACAGCCACTCCCTCAGACCCTCCATCCTTTTCATCCTTTTTTTCCCCTTCGTCTTTTCTTTTTCCGCACTCTCAACCCACTGATCTTTTCCTCCGGCTTAGCAGATTTGACGACTGACAGCAACCCGCAATATCCCCTGGGGACTCGTGTCTCATTTCTTACAGCGACCAAAAGCCCACTGAAAATAATCCCGCTCTACCGCTACCGGGCCATCAGCGCAGGCGGATCTCTCCAGTCCAGGTGCAGTGCAGCCCGCTCGGAGGTTTTCTGTTGGCGCAAACCGGGCCTGGTGTCGTCATCGAGCCAACTCCAGATCCACTTGGCAACATTGCGATAAAGCGACTCTCGCCTCTGCGTGAGCGTTTCTTGTTTGATCTCCCTTTTGTCTGGCATCATGACCTGGGAACTCAACCGCCGACGGTTTGTCCGTGCCGTCAACAGCAAATTCATCTATGGACGTTTGGTACGTGTGCGCAGGCGGAACATGTTTTACCCTTCGAACCCATCCACCCATCCCTTGTGCTACCTACCTGCCATCTACTCAATCAACATGGATGAATAAATAAATCTGGCTGGTTTACTCTTTTACTAACAGACTCTTGCAATCACCAACAGCCTCTACTCCACACCATCATCCTCCTCATCGAAATGGCCCTCGTTGCCCGGCTGACGGCACGATTCAATTCGTACTACAATGAACGACCACGTACGTCCCCACGATCCAACACCCCGCGAGTTCATCTTCATCAGCATCCCCAATGCAGCGGCTGACCAATTGCACGCATAGTCTTGACCATGATGGTCACCAATTCGATCCTTGGTGGTATCGCCGATACCGTCGCGCAAACCATCACCTCTGTGCGTGAACGGGCGCTCAGGAAGCCAGGCGGCGTCACCAAGGACGATACCTTTGCCGTTGAGATCCACGAGCTGGACGAAAAGAATCCCTTCTACGATCGCGAACTTATTCCCGATTCTAAGAGCCTACCTCCGCCGTTTGACTTTGAGCGACTTACACGGTTCATGGCTTACGGCTTTTGCATGGCTCCTGTCCAGTTTAGATGGTTCAAGCTGCTCGAAAGGCTCTTCCCCATCACCAAAGGAAGCGCATTTGTGCCGGCTATGAAGCGAGTCGCCTTTGATCAGCTTATCTTTGCGCCATTCGGTGTGGGCGTCTTTTTCACGGCCATGACCATTGCTGAGGGAGGCGGCCGCCGTGCGGTTACCCATAAGCTGCGAGACATGTACATCCCTACGCTCAAGGCCAATTACGTCGTGTGGCCTGCGGTGCAGGTTATCAACTTTCGCTTGATGCCGGTGCAATTCCAACTGGTGAGTGGCCACTTGCACATATTATTCTGATGATGAATGAAAACTAATGCAGGGTGTTAGCCGTTTGTGTCGACTGTTGGTATTGCCTGGACCGCCTATCTCTCCCTGACCAATGCATCCGATTGAAGAGAGACCGAGAAGAGACGTACCACTTAACCACTGTAACGCAACATCTGTGATATATGAACAGCACTACAGGGTCGTATGTTGAGAAAAAGGAGGATAACAGTGGAAACATGCTAACTTGAGAAATCGGTCTGGAGTCCTTGAACCTGGGTTTGGCATCATTGGACGAAAACAGATGGAAGGATTGCTCAAGAGCAAGGTTACAATGAGATTCAGGATGGGCTTTTATGCTGCACCCAAGAGGCGGCATGCAAGGCACCGGCGTTTGGAGTTCCAACCATGTACTTTGGTTATATCATGTTGCTGTCATGTTGGAAACGCGATGGCTCGGGAAGAGTTGGCTCAATCGTTTTGTACAACAGCTGAGAATACGAAGCCAGATATGCAATGATATACATTATACACGGATTTGCATTTTGGCCACCAGCAGCTCAGTGCTCCTTGATGTACACCTTGATGGATGGCGTAACTCTAGCATGTGAATATACCGCATTTGGGACACTGAATCTACGAATGTAAGTAAACTGACATTAGTATGAGGAGCTGCTGCCGGTCATGATTGAGCTCGATGAAATGATAATATGGCCTGATGGAAATGCAATCCTGCAGCACATCAATTGAGCGCGCATATGCAGGTGACAATGGCGGCACGTTTGCGCGTGATTTTTGCCGTCGAATGAAGCTCACGTCACTCTGGCGTGGTTGAGCTGGAACAGTTGGGTGGATGGATTGGATGCACTGCATGAGCATAGAGGCTGGATGGTGCTGAGATTGTGGAATGGATGCTGAAGGGCCCCCACCACAGCTCCCTGTAAACTGATCAATCGATTGCTGTAATCTATTGCTCTCGGAACCCCACCTCTCCCCCTCCATCTGCCTATCGCAGCTTGATTGCTTGTGCGTGCTTTTTCTTTTTCTTTAGCATATCTGCTGGATTGATTGCCAGAGCAAACTCTCTTCTTCTCTTGCTTCTTCACCACGATTTCCCTAGCAGCGCGACTCCTGTTTCGCTCTACTCGCCAATTTCCCGCCAAAATGTCTCTCTCCAGCAAGCTGTCCATCACTGACGTCGACGTCAAGGGCAAGAGGGTCCTGATCCGGGTGAGTCCGAATTGCCCCGCCATTGATTGCATGGAGGGGTTTTGCTGCACCCGATTGAATGGGAGCTGCTATTGCTAGCATGGGCGTCAAAGCTTTGCTAGAGGGGAGAAAGCCGTTTGGAGATGCCGCAATTGCCATGTATGAATCTGGGCAAATGGCAGAAGATGCTGTAATATATGAAGCTCTGATCTGTACTTGACTAACACGCTGTGTTATCGCGGTTTTACAGGTCGACTTCAACGTCCCCCTCGACGAGAACAAGAAGATCACCAACAACCAGCGCATTGTCGGTGCTATCCCTACCATCAAGCACGCTCTCGACAATGGCGCCAAGTCCGTCATCCTGATGTCCCACCTTGGACGCCCCAATGGTGCCGTCAACGCAAAGTACTCCCTCCAGCCCGTTGTTCCCGAGCTCGAGCGCCTCCTGGGCAAGTCCGTCACCTTTGCCCCTGACTGCGTCGGCCCCGAGGTCGAGGCCATCGTCAACGGTGCCGACAACGGTGCCGTCATCCTGCTGGAGAACCTCCGATTCCACATTGAGGAGGAGGGCAGCGCCAAGGACAAGGAGGGCAACAAGACCAAGGCTGACAAGGCCAAGGTTGAGGAGTTCCGCAAGGGCCTGACCGCTCTGGGTGACATCTACGTCAGTAAGTACACACTGTTCAACACGATGGTGATCTATGGCCTTTGACATGTGGCTAATCTCACACGATCACTAGATGATGCTTTCGGCACTGCCCACCGTGCTCACTCTTCCATGGTCGGCGTTGACCTGCCCCAGAAGGCCGCCGGTTTCCTCATGAAGAAGGAGCTCGACTACTTTGCCAAGGCTCTCGAGTCCCCCCAGCGACCTTTCCTCGCCATCCTCGGCGGTGCCAAGGTCTCTGACAAGATCCAGCTCATCGACAACCTCCTTGACAAGGTCAACACCCTCGTCATCTGCGGTGGCATGGCCTTCACCTTCAAGAAGGTCCTCAACAACGTCCCCATTGGCACTTCCCTCTTCGACGAGGCTGGCGCCAAGACCGTTCCCCAGCTGGTCGAGAAGGCCAAGAACAAGAACGTCAAGCTGGTCCTGCCCGTCGACTACATCACTGCCGACAAGTTCGACAAGGATGCCAACACCGGCACCGCCACTGACGAGTCTGGTATCCCCGACGGCTGGATGGGCCTTGACTGCGGCGAGGAGTCCATTAAGCTGTATAAGGAGGCTATCGCCGAGGCCAAGACCATCCTGTGGAACGGCCCTGCCGGTGTCTTCGAGTTTGAGAAGTTCGCCAAGGGTACCAAGGCCACTCTCGATGCTGCTGTCGAGGGCTGCAAGAACGGCAAGATTGTCATCATCGGTGGTGGTGATACCGCCACTGTTGCTGCCAAGTACGGCGTTGAGGACCAGCTGAGCCACGTGTCCACCGGTGGTGGTGCCAGCTTGGAGCTGTTGGAGGGCAAGGAGCTTCCCGGTGTTACTGCTCTGTCTAGTAAGTAAATGACACACACTATTATGGATAAAAAGCGCGAAGAGCAAGTTGATGACGGGAGGGAATTGGCATCAAAAGGTCGGACCGGAGCATCCCGTCTCTAACGAAGAAAATCATATATACCAGAGTAGCCTCAAGGAAAAGAAAACATCGTTAATAGCATGCTAAGCCAGCATTTTCCATCTATGATATTGTGATTGGATGCATATACACGCGTGATTCACGTTTGTTGGAGCAAGTGCCACATGGAATGGACCGAGTAATGTCTTTTTTTTTGTTCTTTGGATTAGAAGACCCAATCTATATGCCTAGCGTTCCATATATGCCCATGACGCGATTTGGTTCGCCCGATCGATGTCCTCGTACGTCTCCCGCTTCTCGGTTTCACCTCCGCTTGGCCGCCTCAACCTTTTTCAGCTCTTCCCTATGAAAAGAAACACGTCAGGATCCGTGTGCCCATAAGGAGTATAACGAGAAAACAAAGAAGGTGGCAAAGTATAAAAAAAAAGGAAAAAAAGAGAAGACATTATATGTATCAACATGTATGTATATGTATCCATCTCAAACAAGACATTAAGCGGGCTTAAGCCCATGATGATTGTACCAGGTAACAACAAATAGAGCAGCGGTGACAAACAAACAACAGTGAGAAAAAGGAGAAAGAAAAGGCAATCAACGCTCAACGAAAGCGGCGACGGGGACGAAAGTCGAGCGACAGCGCTGTGAGAAGCAAGGTAGAAACTAGGAGAGAGCCAACCACCCACTTGAGCTGATTCGAAAAGTCATCGCTTGTGTCGTCGTCGTCCCAGCTCTCCTCCCACAGGTGCTTGGTTTCGCCGTTGCGCTGGGCGGCTTCGGTTTGGTCGGCGGGCCAGTCTGTTGTGTATAAGAGATGGGTTTGATTAGATTGAGTTTCTTTTATGAGTATTGATTGATTGATGCGGTTGTTGCTTTGTTATTGTGGGAGGAGGAGAGAGAAGACAAGAGAGTGGCTGGGAAGGGAAAGGGAGAGGAGGGATGGATGGATTAGTAAGTACCGTCGATGGGAAAGTCTTCGAATTCGTCGTCCTCGCCTAGGGCAAGGTGCTTCTGTTCGGGCTTCTGCTGCTCGTTTGAGGTGGACTGTTCAGGCTCGGCGACCTTGGGCTCTGTGGTGGTTGATGCCATGGTGGGAGGGTGATGATGCGGCGAGCTCTCAGCCTAGCGCTGGGATTGGAGATGCGCTTTGAGAGAGGGGGGGATGATGATGATGCTTGACCGTGAAGGGGTGGACAAAGCTGGAGATGACGATGGCGGTGATGATGCGAGCTTCGAGTGTATTGACGCGGCACACGAGGCGGAGGGACGATGGTTGGGTCGCGGTGTTTGTTGTTGCAAGGATTGGCAATGGCTCAGCTTGGTGATGTCGACTTGCGTGACGAATAGCTGCGGTTTCCTAGGAGAAGCAGCCCAGCCATAATGGAGCCTTGTCTTGTTCCAGTAAGAGTAAGGCGGCCCGGTGCGGAAGAACGCTGCGTCCGGGGGGGCATTCGATTGATAGCGCCTTAAATGAGCTGGTGTCTGCTATGAGCTGGTCCCTGCACTGCAAAGCCGTCCGTCCACTGTCCAATTGGTGCCAGGGAGTGCCGGAGGTGCCTGAGCGCTTACCGTTTTTGCCCTTTTCGGGGCGACAGGCGCCAGCGGACTTTGTACAGCGCCATCGTGGGGCGGCTTAGGGGTCTGATTTGAGCAGAGAACAGAATACACAGCAGATGTAGTTGAGTGGCAATATTTCCCATTGGGTCGAAATGAATAGGGACTAAGTTGATCTTTTTTGTTTTGCTACTTGTTACGGATGCAGCGGTAAATGCATTTTCCCTTCCATTGTTTAATTAATCCTTTCTTTCGTCGTAAGCGGGCAACGTCATGGAATAGTGCGGTGCGGTAGAGCACTCCGGATTCCGTGCCCGAAACCCAAGTTAGCACTTTAATGTATGAAGAGCCCATGTATACAGTGGAAAAAAACAAAATTAGCCTCGCAGTTTGTAGACTTTGTCCGGCATCAATGACATCGGCCATCTGGGCTTAACGGACTAGTCCGCGTTTGCTCCGAAATGCCGCAAAAGAAACGCGGCAAGTTCTCGGCCTGAGCGCTTTACCGACCGCGGAGGGACAGGAATTGATGGAGATACATGGAAGAGAGATGGGTAATAAAGCACCGAATTCTGGAATAAGGCAAATCGATTAAATACCTGGGACCTGCACCGAGTAAGCCCTGCGGACCCTTGGATTTTCGGGTCTCCACGGCTGGAAACTTGAATCCTTTAAACACTCTCAATTGGTTTTAATCTCTCTTTCTTCTTTCTCACGTGTGAACTTCTTTTTGTTCCTTCTTCAGCGTCTTGAAATAGAATAGAGGCAATCTTTTTTTCGAGTCACTCTCTTACTGTCCATTGGGCATTGCTCTATGGAACATCGGCCAGCAAATCGAAAGCGAACTGACTGAACTTGGGTCTGGCGAGGGGGTGCTTGCATGGCATAAGCGTCGTTTTTTTCCTCTTATTTTTTTTCCGGCGTCTTTATGCGGGCTTGTTAGTCGACGCAATTGTGCCCTATCACCTGTCACTCGCTCTCTCGTGGCCTCGTTACCGAGTATTTAGCTGAGCCACCATCCCTACATATTGGAAGGGTACCCGACAGAGCAGGCCAGGCGGGAGGATTTGCCTACGAATCCTTGCTGTGCGAATCTCAGCACTCAGCCTCACTCTCTCTTATCTGATATTCATACGGTCCTATCTCTCTTCCTCCGGCTGTCTCACCGCTACCGTCATCTTCACACTAACATCACCACGAATTCATTGCCGCCATGAGTCGTCTGGGTGGGTGGTTTCGCTCAGGCGGAAACTCCAAAAATGGCTCCGACACAAGCCTGTCGCCTATCGACAGCATCGCCAAGGAAAAGGAGAACCTGGTGGAGGCGATGAATTGGGTCGAGCTCATCATGAACGACGACATCGACGGCGCCTGGGAAAAGCTGCAGCTGGGCGACTCTGCCTTCCACGAGATGGGGTCCTCGGTGGCCTTTTTTATGCGCTCCGTCCTGGGCTTTGAGAAGCAGGTCATGACCGAGGCGACGGCGAGGCTCAACGAGTGCGAGAACCGGGCCTGGGCCGATCTCAAGCGGGCGCAGAAGCACGGGGCTGCTTACAATAGCAGTCAGCTCTATCCGCCTGGCACCGAGTACGAACTGATTATTGCTGAGACGCAGCTGATGGGGGCCGTTGTTGGTGTGCTGCACGAGAGCTTGGTAGAGGCCATGAGGAGTTTTTATAAGCTGCGAAAGGCGTTTCTGACATTGGATGCCATTGTTGCGTCCGAGGCAAAGATCTTTGGCAAGACGGCCACCCCGGGCTCGTCTCGGATGTCATTGGAAGGGAGCAGCTCGACTTCGACTTCGACTGGCGATACATCCTCGACGGAATCGTCTGCGAGCACGCTCAGCAGTAGTGACCTTGAAGCTTCTGCGGACAGCAGCAGGAGCCCGTCCGGACAGCAGACTCCCAGCGATCAGGCTGACACTGATTCAACGGCCCAGCAGCTGGAAAAGCTGAACCTTGGCAAGCTGGAGGATACATCCAAGCTGAGTCTGCGATCTAAAGACTCTGATGTGAGCTCGGATGTGGAGTTGGACAACCCCGTTGACAAGTTTATCCATTCTGGAGCCAACATGTGCTTTGGAGTTCTCCTGCTTATCCTTAGTCTCATCCCTCCGGCATTCTCACGCATCCTCTCCATTGTTGGGTTCCACGGAGATCGTTCACGAGCCGTCAAGATGCTGTGGAAGTCAGCGGCCCATTCCAACATCAATGGTGCCGTTGCGGGCATGATGTTACTGGCATACTACAATGGCCTGCTGGGAGCTGCAGATATTTTGCCAGCCCAGCAAGATTACGATGCTGATGCCGAGGCCGTTGGGCCGCCCATCGAAAAGTGCGAGAAGCTTCTCGCCGAGATGAGAGCACGGTATCCCGACTCACGGTTATGGCGCGTGGACGAGGCGAGAATGCTTGCCAACGAGCGCAAGCTTACGGAAGCTCTGGACCTGCTCAAGACGGGCAAGGAGTCGAAAATGAAGCAGGTTGCCGCCTTGAACAACTTTGAGCTGTCACTCAACTGCATGTTTTCTTACGACTGGGAGTTGATGCGCAGCTCATTCCTGAAATGTCTCGAGGTGAACGATTGGAGCCCTTCAATGTACTATTACATGGCCGGCTGCGCATCTTTAGAGTTGTACCGAAATGCCGTCCACTCCAGCGACAAGGACGAGGCCAGGCGACAGAAGAACAAGACCGAGGAATACTACCGCAAGGCCCCGACCGTGATTGGCAAGAAGCGACTGATGGCACGCCAACTACCCCTGGAAACGTTTTTGCAGCGCAAGATTCAGAAGTGGGAGGACCGGGCCAAGGCTCTGGGCATTGACTTGGCTGATGCTATCGGCTCCAGCCCGGCGCTCGAGATGTGCTATGTGTGGAACGGACAGAAGCGCATGGGCACGGAGCAATTGGAGAAGGGACTGGACTATTTGAACTGGGACAGATGCACGGCAAACAAGGAAGATGTCGCCAAGATTCAGGCTGAAAAGGACGAGATGGCTGTCTGGGCTGTGAGCAGGGCGTCGCTACTACGAGGCGCGGAGAAGCTGGATGAGGCGAGGGCACTGCTGAACGAGAAGGTTGTTGACCTTGATCGGTAAGTTGAGCTCTCTCACATATGTAAAGAGAAAGAAGGAAAGAACTAACAATAGTGGACGCAGATCTGTCTTCAAAGGCGCGTCTAAAGACGATTACGTCCTGCCCGCAGCCATTTACGAACTGGGCGCTATCGCTTGGGCTGAGTGCTGCAATCCTCCCGAGGGCGAGGAAAAGGAAGTCCTGGAGTACAGACAAAAGAAGATGCAGGAGTGCGAGGAGCAAATCAACAAGGTCAAAGTCTGGGAGGCGTACACCCTGGATGCCAGGATCGGCATGAGGGCGACGAGCGGATTGGAGACGCTGGCTTGGTTCAAGAAGAAATATGGCTGGTGAAGACTGGGAATTTAAACATTGGTAGGGATAACATGGGTTGGATAAATCTGGATAAATGGACTTTTCTAGATGAGGTGATATTATTTTTTTCTTTTATCACCTGGGTTGGTTGTTGGGAAATGCATACACATACGGACGGCTATCATGGCGTTTTTATGTCCCTGGGTGAGTGTTATAACTTACTCTAGAGGGACAAATGTTCAAGAGGAGGACAATTTAATGCAAGGCTAAGAGGCTGCATTGATATATAGCTGGTATTAGACGCGGCGTTTTATTTTAAATTGGGGTCACCCAAATCTCTTTGTCCATGACTTGATCTTTACCTTCCATTTCCTCATCCCCTTCAAGATTATCCTCTGCCTCGACCTCAAGGCTCTCTTTGACAATATCAAAACTATTCGAAGCAGCGATATCTTCAGGTGCCTGAGATTGTTGGTTTGGCGTCAAGTCGAGGTCAGTGTATTCCCCCAGTGTAGATGACCATTTCTCATAGTTCTTCTCTAGTTTAGCAATAATGAGATTTCTGATCAGCATGTGCGCCTCTTCTGGTCGTTCCCTTCGCGGGATGGAAAGAAGCATGCAGCCAAAAATTAGACAAGCTTCAATGGCTTCTTTGTAGGGCCTGAAGTCGCTATCCCGAAGCTCATTATCGCTAATCCGAAGAAGTAGCTTACGTAGTTTGGGTTTGTCGAGGCCCTCAGCACCCTCATAAGCCAGACTGCGCCCCAGGTGAAGCTCTAGAAGGATCTGAGCTAGTGCTAACCACATTGGATAACAAAACTTCTCGTCCTCTTCTTGTCTTTTCTGAATCCGGTTCTCTTTGTCTCCAATATCTAGACTGAATTGGATGTAAGGGCTGTGGCGAGAGTGTACTGTCATCGAGGTAGAGGTTTCAGTAGCTGGGAAGCCGATGTCCTCGGTCTTCCAGTTGAGCGGCCTCCATGGTCCGTCGAACAGATGGAACAAAGACTTAGCTAGATTGAGACCAAGAAGATACCTGTCACCAAATGAGTAATATTTGCTATTATCTGTGTCGACTTTTGGAACTTTTGGAAATGTGTGCTTATCCAGTAAGTCGCGGAGGGAGACGGACGTATTGGCCCCAGGAAAGGAGAAACTGTGCCGTTCGTGTTCATAGCGGAAGGCCTGGTAGTTGAATACCACCTGGAGGGGATATTGATAGTAGAGATGTGCTGTAATCATGGTACAAAGGTCCTTGGCCCCGTAGTCTTCATCCTCGTAAGAGAGCTGTCTGATATCGCTTTCTAGTCAGCTATTGCTAAGAAGGGCTGTGGCCTGCCCAAAATTGCTTGGGGTAGAGGCATAAGACAGTGCCTTACCTATCAACTTTGAAAAAAGCCTCTTGCCATTGCTCTGGCGACTGCGGTGGCTCAGGAGAGTAGGGAGATAAAAATAGATTAAAACAGGGGGGTGTGTGTTTCCATCGGTTGACTTGATTCCCTCAAAACTCGTGGCTTGCAACATGATCGCCTGGAGATACCCACTGGTTCTTCGGCTTGTGTCCAAGTGCTCGTACAAGTAGGTTAAATACTGCCGGATTTTGTCTGAATGATCAGTACTATGAGCACGGCTCGACTGAATAGTGGCGGCATCCTCAGATGCGGCTTCATTTTCGTCTTTCATTTTTTTGTTGATAGTTTTTACATAATCGACAATCTCCCGCGGTAAGTGAACTTGATATCCTCAGAGTGTGTATGATCAAGGACTCCCTCACTTCATCCCAATAGATGCTATTGGAGTAGTTATATATCCTGTCATCTTTCTTTGTCTCTTCGGCTACCTGCTTTGTCTTTGTTCAGCTTCTTCTTTGTTCCGCTTCTTGTTCCTTCCTTTGTTCACTCTCTAGCTGTGTTTCTTTGTTTGTTTGCCGCTTGCTACTTCATGACTGCACCGTCGTTGCCACTATAAAGCAACTCGTAGCCATGATGTCCCTGTTCACTGCCATCCAAAGTGGTGGCTTACGAGATGTAGTAGTCAAGACATCTAGATTCTTTGTCGTCTAGCTCGAGTTGCGCCAAGTAAATCATCGTGCTAATACACAGTGAGTCAGTTCACTGAACAGCTAACGGACCAACAAAGGTATATATTGAAACATGAACATGCAAAGTGTCAGGAGCTTGCGGCAAGGGGAAGAGTGGAAGAGTCAAGGCTGAGGCCCGCGCGGTCACTCTCACGGACCACACAGCTAGGGTTACACAAAGGACTGTATTTATCTCTGACCTTCCTAGAACAAAGGGCCAGCGGCTTCCTTTTTATATCTCTGTTCAGTCTCCTCAGCCACCTAGCTCGCTAGTTGAGCATTTAGACGCCCCGATCAGGGTTCAAGGAAGAAGTGAACGCTTCCTTGTGACCTGCCTCTGACACAAAGAGAGCCAAATGTTCATCATTGTTCTCTCGATTTAAACCCATTCTCTTTGGTATAGTATAATTTCATGGAACATTCTTCTTACCAGCACACCGTTGAAAGTGCTCATCACGTATCAGTTTGCAACGGAAGCTTGAGATAAACGCCACCTACAATGGAAAGCCAAGCATACGCAAATCCTCTATCCCTTCGTTTAGCATCTATAGCTGCCGACCCAAATTATTCAGTCCCTCACGACCATACCAAGGTGCCTCCCAGCACGAGGGCAGATAAGGTAGGTCGGAGTGAGAAGTTTCCTTTGCATGTGTATCGATTTCAACTTTACTGATTAGCCTACGGCATCTGAAAAAGGATATTGACGCTGGTACACAACTAACTTACGACATCACTAAAGAATGCATGGCCCTGTTTGGACAGTTTCTCCGCCAGCCCGAGAACCCGCTCACAGGTTTTATCTCTTTCTTGGAGTGGCAGTTCTTCCCATGGCCGGTTGATTTAGATGCATTCGCTCACGAGAGCGCCAGACTGGACATTAAATTGAAGCTGGAGCCTGATTTCCCACACCTCGTGATGCCACCACTAGAAATTCTCCAAAAGGACTTGCGTCTACGTAATTCTCTAACACCACGTTAATCTAAATTACATTTGAATCTAACCAAAATCGCAGTTATAGAACTTGAATCAAGAAGCTTGATTTTACATCCCAACCCTCTATCACACGGGAGGGGCAATACCAACTCGAACGATGGTCCTCCATGGCTTCTTTCGGATGCAGCTGAAGATGCTATGAAGGGCATCATCGGATCCGTCTACAGGCTACGACACCTCATTACTGGAATTATGTCACCTTTAAGAGATCATTTAATTCTCGAAGAGAATATCGTCGACTTTGCAAAGCAGCTCCCGAGGGATGGTTTCGAAGACAAGGCCCGGCTGATCTTAGAGCACAAGTTCCCAAAAGCCGAAGAGAGGCTGATCACGAAACTGGTTGAAAGCATTGCAGTTCGCCGTCATCGTATCTTGTACCAGCGCCAGCACTACAAGGAAATGAGGTATGTCTGACACCTAAGTGCAACTGAAGAGAAATCGGCAAAGCAACAGAGCCCTCAGAATCCAGTCTGCATGATCACCAAGATGTTTCAGATACTGAGTTCGGATCGAGTATTAATTGGATGTTCTTTAGGGCAAATCGGGTTGATGGACAAGATGAAGGATGCAAACAACAAGCCTCAACTTTCCTTGCAGTTGAATCTCCATGGATGGACGAGTCTAGATACCCTATTCCTCCAAAGGCAGAAGGTCTTTCCATGTCTGCCATATGTCAGATCTGGTTCCAAGAGCTGCAGGTTGTAGGCAATGAAGATCCAATGTGGTGGGAGTAAGTGCAAGCGAACCAAGCGCCACAGAAAGCCTAGCTAACCAACTATCACAGAAAACATATTGAAGGCGACATGGAATACTACGTTTGCCTCTCTGAGGATTGTGATGAGTCGCTATGCTACTTCAGAAGTTTTAATTCCTGGCTCGATGAGATGAACCGGGAGCATGTGTATGACTGTCCCGGGCTTGAGAGTGAATGGCGATGCAAAGTTTCAGAAAATTGCTCCATTTCCTTTGACAATGAAGATTCGCTCCGAAAGCATCTTGCGGACAATCACTCGACCGACCTCGAGCCAACAGGCTTACAGCTGGCAGTAGAGAAAAGCAAATTTCTCCAGCCCAGAGACTCGAACATATGTCGGTTCTGTGAAAAGTCCATCAATGACTCGGAACCGATCATCCAGCAACCCAAAACAGAAAATGATGGCTCTCATAAAGAGGTCCATCAGCGGCCCGACGGCCAGCAATCCGTAGTGGGGGCTCTGCAGAATGATGAGAACAACGAAAAGCGCTCTGTTACTAACGCCAACAGCTCCATAAGACCGAACAAAATGGATCTACGGATGGCCGCTTACATTGCTGACCACTTGAAGAGCGTATCACTCTTATGCCTTTGGGGTCTAGATTTAAAGAGAGAAGAACGGCAAGAGGAAGATTCCGGAGCAGACATGTTTGGTATATCCTGATACAGGGGAGCTCATTATAGTAATGTTGATTTAGTCATGCTTTACTATTACACGTTTAATTACTTCTTTTCGATTTTGACGTACCTAGATGAAAAGCCCTTTTTTTTTCATTTGCTTGCAAATACTTGGATAGACAACGCCAACTATGGTCACAAACGGAATCTCATAAAGCATAATGGTATCAATAGTGCTAATCATTAGACAAAAGAATCCATTCAATTGATCAATTTCCCTTTACCGCCCTCTTCCTCCCGCTTCTTCGCGTCTTCATTCCTTCTCTAAAGCTTCCCAACCCCTCTTGTACTGCTCCCGCCCCTTCGTCGAGCTTTTTCGAAGACCGTTCCTGCAAGTTGTGTTTTCCCGCTTCGTTCTTCACATCTTCGAGCACATCCCTGCCTCGACCCGTCCCATTGATCCAGTCCAATATTCCCCACGAACCATAATTCGACGTTCCCTTTCCTGCGTAGTGGATGGCTGTGCGCTGCACGATACCGCCCATGATGATTCCTGGGACAATCGTGTATCCGGACATGGCGAGGGTTTCTTCGCCAGTGCAGAGTGCGAGGACGAAGAAGTAGGTGAGGATATGAGGTCGCAGGATGATTGCCGGGAGAAACAGCGGGATGAAGCGGTAGAAGAGTAATGGCGCGGGGTGGTCGGCGAGGAGACGCAGGCTGAATGGCGCGCCGGCCTTTGCGTGAGCGTAGTTTTGGTGGCGCTGGGAGAGCCAGCGGTATGATTTCCCGTGGAGGACGAAGCGGTGGATGGTGTAGAGGAGGGTTTCGCGGGTAGAGAGTAGGACGAGGACATGTTTGAAGATTTGCCATGGGAGGGGGAGGGTCGTGGTTGTTTTGAAGACGGGATGGTTGAAGAAGAGTATGAATGCGAAGCCTATCCCGGCTTCGACGGCAGTGAGGATGGCGAGGTTTAAGAGGACTAGGCCGATGAGTCTGGAGAGTGATTTGGCGTCGCGGGGAGGAAGGGCGGAACGACCGCCGTGTTTGATGCCTTCTGCGAGGCTGGGGAGGGAGACATCGAAGAAGAGGGTGGCGAGAGACGGTATTAGGAAGAATACTATTCGGATGGCGAGGACGCCAACTGTGTGGACGACGATGGGGGGCTGAGAGAGGACGAGGGTCGACCAGGTCATGTAGAAGAAGAGGAGGTTGAGCGAGGTCGACCAGGAGGTGAGGGCTGGTGCGAGGAGATATGAGAATATCGGCACTGAGAGAAGGACGTCCATGTTTTTTTTTTTTTGGAAATATGATTTGATTTGATTTCTAAAGTGACACTGGATAGAAAATACGGTGATGGTTGAGTGTTGCTTGGTGAGAAGTTGCAGATTCCATGTGTCGCGAGTGGCAAAAGCTGTAGAGAGATGAAGATGTAGCAAATGCAGGTACAGCAGAGTTTAAAATGGAAATGGCCAATGCAGCGAAGAGATGGGGATCATGATTACGGAAGAATTCCTCTTGGTACGGATTTTAGAACAAATCTTGTTTTCGTCACTCCTCTTTTGAGTGTGAGAGAGCTGCATTGGGGGGGAGGCCTTCGATAAGTGGCATTTGGCTTGGTGATGGCTTGGTGTTGCGGCGATGACGTCGGTGAGCGCGATCGACGAAAACAGGCTAGCCAATGACGACGATGGGGAATCATGACATGTGATGGTGGGTAAAGCCAAAATTTGTGCGTTGATTGGGGGTTTTGTCTAGATTCATTTATTCGTTTCATTCGTTACATTCTTATTGGAATATAGAAAAAATAAAATAAAATTGCTGCCATTGTCCAACGTATAAATCGCAAGGTCGTTGACAGGGGATTGATTGGCGTGTATTATGACCGATGTAAGTGTGGCATCATGATGGCAATGATTGGGCTTCAAGAGATTAGAAGGTAGATGTCCTTGTAATCCGTACAGCGGAGCAATCTGGATCCTGGTCATTGTCGCTGTTGCCGTTGCTTTCCAAGAGCGGTGGTGAACCTCTTTCTCCACCCATAGCTCCCATATGTATACCAGTTTGGGATGCATTATCTCTGTAACGGGAGGAAGAATTGGCTGGAGAAGACCCGTGAGAGCTGCCATGTTCAGGACCATGGTGTGAGCTTATACCATTATAATTCGTATTGGGATTGACCTTGCAGGGTTAGCATCCTACTGTATTTGAAGGCCACATCATATGTAGCATTAGGGTACTAACCGATGGCCGCCAAAGGCTCGGCTTGGTAATTGACTGGACTGCTGAAGAAATTGATCTCGCCGACAATGATGATAGCAACCGCAGCACACCCAGACACGGGGGCCGTCGCTGCGGAAAGGAAAAGGTGGATCATGAGATTCACATCGTTCACGGTACTTTTGGTTGTGCCGCTGATGCCGGATATTGGCTTATTGGTCTCATAACTCTTGGCCCTGATGTTAAACCGTTCCGTCATAACCACCATCCAGATGACCGTGTGGATGCAACATCCGGCTGCCACGAGTGTTGTCGCGCCGAATGTGAGCGTTCTAGGAGCAGGAACCACGTAAATGTTGTTTGCTGACCCGACTCGAATTGGCGAGAACGGCCCATTATTTTCGGAGCAAACTAGCTCGCATGCTGTGTTCTCGCCGGAAGGGAATCGGTTGAAATTGCTAGATATCGGGCTGCCTTGGCCATTCTCATGACAGGGAAATGTTTGGGCTCGGAAGAATTCAATGGCCAGGCAAACAAGTCCTATAGTGTAAGGGAACCAAAGTCAGTAGTTGGTTGTCATCGAGTAGCCTATAAGCGTCAAACTGCAATAATGCGTACCAGTGAGAACCAGGCCTGCCCACATGAACATTATACGGCGACCTATATAAGTGGAATATTCATGCGACCTGGAGAGCTTGATCATCAGCGGAATAACTAGGGTGCCAATTGCGCACATCTGAAAGGCACCATATACGTCCATGTCGACAGCTTCTATAATGATGGAGGTAAAAGAAACAAGTTAGCCTGTGTTCACTATTCAGATAAATATGCCGTGTGAATGGATTAAGAATATAATTCATTTATTACTGTCGTGATGTAAAGCTGCCAAGACGATGCCATGAACTGCAGCGGAAGCTGAGAGAGGCAATGCAGTAGACAAGGCAGCACTCTTGATCCAGTCAAGCTTTCGAGCAAACACGGCTGTTGCTACGAGCACATAGAATCTATTTGCAAAGAGTTTACAAGATTAGAAGCCGAAACTTGCACTTAGCCGAGAGCATTTGAGGTGCTGGTTCGGAGTGCTTGGAGGTAGTGATTTGGTTCGGTTGTTTGTCGCATTGAGCACCTTACTTACAGGACTCTCGATCCGGCACCATATGAGCCGGATACAGGCCATGCACATATGACCTCTAGGCTGCCATTGACAGAGTTTGTAGCGGGATTTGCCGATGCAGCAGATGTCGATAGTCCACCGCTTTGAGAGACGACGGCATCACTCAACGAGATGCCCCAAGAAGGAGGCGGCATCGGTCTCTCACGTTTGCCGATGGATCCAGCGCAGCACCTCTATGACAAATGCGCAATTGTTGTGTAATAGTTATTCAACAGGTAAGTGTCTTATCCAACTATCTCTGCAGAAGCTTTACCCGACAGCTGGCGTAAGACCCCAGAACCACATGCAAGGGATGAGGTGGTGACGGGACATATTAAGTAAGACATGGAGAAATAGAACATGCCTCGTTGCAATGAGGCTCCTAAAACCCCCCCGCCAATTTGTTCAGTTGGAAGACTAGCTCCGCACTTGACAATTTGTACGAGGTGAAGGCGAAGCAATGGAAGGATTCTTCCTTGTCGATGGACACCATCCTGCAGGCAGGCAGAATGACCTAGCGGCTGCGAGAGAGTCCCGGGTGAAGGAACGCTCCATATTTTATCGGATAGATCTGCCTGCTGCAGCCGTCTTGATGAGGCATAGACGAGCACAGCCATGATTGCGAAATCTGCAGGCTATGATCCAAGCTGGCGGCAGCTGATGTTTAACGTCTGCGATATTCTCCGATATTTCATCGGTCAACGGTCGCTGCCACCGGGGCATCACCAGAGTTGTCCATAGTCTTACCACTAGTTCTATTCAGCCTTCTAGATGCTCAGTCGGCACACACTTGGGAAGAGCACATGTGGCGAAAGGTTATCGTCGGGGGGTCGCCGGGGGCCGGATCGCCCCCATCCTCGGGACATCTTATATTGGTGGTTGGTTTAGCAGATTAGCTCTGTATCGTTGTTGAAAGATTGCGTGGCTGCGTGGCAATCTAGCCGGAACTGATCGACACGCGTAGCCAAGTCCACTTGAAGGGTTGGCATTATGACGCCTGCGAGGCTATTCATAAGGCAGTGCCAATCTCTCCTCTAGCCAGATGCACGTGAAAAGCTTCTTGCATTAGCCAAGAAGGCCAAGAAACTACCCCGTGGAGATTGGGCGGGCTGATTCGAAAGAGAAGAAGAATAAGAGTTGATCGGTTCCGCTGTGCTTGGAGAAGAAGCAGGTTGACGCTTCCAGCTTCTCTTCAGAGACGTTGGCGGGGCTTGTAAGCCTCCAGCGCTGTATCTGCTCAACTCAGTGCACTGGAGCCCCGAACAAGGTGCCTGAAGCCACTGGCGGGCCCTACAGCTCCAATCACCTAGAACGGCGGCGGTGAGACACGATCAATTTTCTTCAGCGTCATCACATCTCAACTCCCCTGGCGCTCAGCCAAATTTGAGCCAACGGTGCGAAACATCGTCTGGCTCGGCGACCCTGCCAGCGTCGATATGGCACAGGATGGCGGCGATTCTCTCTCGACAAGTCAGATTAGGGATTGGCGGTCCATCGTCACGTTGATAGTCTTTGTTCTCACAAGTAGGTCGACTCGCCACCAGCACGCCTTGACATTATCACCAACGCATGTTGCTGACTTTGCCAGACATCAATGTCCTGTTTCCGTTTCATATTCCCATATACATTCCTAGAAAACTCTCAGATCTCATTTTGGATACTGTTGGGGCTCTGAGAATCATTCCAAAGCGCCACTATTGCTCTCCTCCGCTGACCGAAGAGGGCGACAGTGGCAATGTCAAGCCCTGGGTGCGGCTCAACTTTCCCATGAATATGGTCACAGCTCCTCTCATTGCGGATTTGTTTCTACTGGCAATCCTCGCCATTGGCCGACAGGAAGTCCACGATGGCACTCTTGGCGCTGACAATATTGCGCCAATCGACGTCATGGCCTTCTTCATCACCTTGGCCTACATCGCCATATCCATCGATGCCTCTGGGCTCATCAGGTATCTGGCATTTAAGGTGCTTCAATGGGGAGGTAGCGCGGGGCATCGGCTCTTCTTCTACCTCTATGCCTTCTTCTTTGCCCTGGGCAGTCTCGTCGGCAATGATCCAATCATTTTGTCGGGAACCGCGTTCCTTGCCTACATGACACGAGTATCAAGAAACATTGCTCATCCTAGAGCATGGATCTTTACTCAGTTTGCTATTGCAAACATTGCATCTGCCATTCTGGTTTCTTCCAATCCGACAAACCTCGTTCTTGCGGGAGCCTTTAACATCAAGTTCATACACTATACTGCCAACATGATTGTCCCTGTTGTCGCCACCGTCATTGTTCTCTTTCCTTTTTTACTCTACTTTGTCTTTGCAGATACAGACCTCATTCCACACAAGATCGAGATGCATGAGCTTCCAGAAGAAGTCAAGGCCAAGAAACCCGTCAATCCCAACATCCCACACGCAAGGGGCCAAACCGACGCAGATGAGGCCGACTTCGCCAATAACGAGCAAGGACAGCTGTTGTCGTTGGAGGAAATCATGAATCCGTTTCTAGACAAACCTGGGGCCGCATTTGGCACCCTAATCATGGCTGCCACCCTCATCACTGTTCTAACACTCAACGCTACAGGTTCCAAGAGCGGTGCCCATCCGGTGTTTTGGGTTACTCTACCGGCGGCTTTTGTCATGTTTTGCTGGGATCTTGGCTCAGGATGGTACCATCGAAAAGAAACGCGTGAGATTGCAAGAAAGGGTAGAGAGAAATTTGAAATTGCACGTGCTGAAAGAATCTTTCGACAAGCCGAAGAAGCGAGACAGCCACCAATTACTGAGGCCGGGCTTCAAGATTCTACAGACTATAAGAAGAACTGCTCCACTCCCAAGCTCGACTCTACAGAAATTCAATCACAAGGCCTGAACACTGATGACGAAGTCGACGAGTCTGTTCAAACAGCTCAGAACATGGGTGGAGGCAGCCCCGATTCACCTGTTCAGGCCACTCGCCACACCCCTCCCCCGACAGTTCTCTTGACCGAGGATGCTGGTGGTCATAATATTGGCGCTGTGTCGTCCACTCATATGGATCACTCGAAGCTATCACCACATGCAGATATGGATACACAGGAACAACGAAATTCGAGAAGCGAGATCAGTTCCCTGGAGGAGAAGAGCACCCTAAACCAACCCGACACAAGTTCCCCCGTTGAAGGACTTTTCGCGTCCACGTTGGAAGATGATGTGGAGAAAAGCCGTCAAAAGTCGCTGGCATCTATTCAACAGCCCGGCAAACCAGCTACTTTGATGTCTGTGGGTCAAGATGCGCTTAGGTGGTGCCAGGAGACATTTCCTACGGCCACTACTGTCGCTCTCCACTTGCCATTTGCGCTTGTCCCCTTCGCTTTTTGCATGTTTGTCCTTGTTCAAGGGCTCGTTACAAAGGGCTGGGTGCCAGTTTTTGCTTATGGATGGGACCACTGGGTTAATAGAACAGGGACAGTTGGCGCCATAGGAGGCATGGGCTTTCTCTCTGTTATCCTATGCAACGTACGTATATGCCATCTGAGATTTGGGCATGAGCTAACAACTTTGCAGTTCGCGGGAACGAATATCGGGACCACCATATTACTCTGCCGAGTTATCCAGCAATGGCAAGAGATTCATCAAAGAAGCGGTATCCCCATCAGCGACCGAACATTCTGGGCGACTGTCTACAGCATGGCAATTGGCGTCAACTATGGTGCGTTCAGCTCTGCGTTCAGCGCTTCGCTTGCCGGTCTCCTTTGGCGTGATATCCTCGCCAGAAAACACATTCACGTGGGAAGCATGGAATTTTTCCGCGTGAATATTCCGATCATTTTGATCACCATGATTGTGGGATGCACCGTTCTTGTGGGCGAAGTGTACATTATACGGAAAGAGACGCCTTACGAAATGTGAATGCCCTAGTATGAAGCATATGAATAGTCATGGAAGCGTATATATGATCACCCCAGGCATAAAGGTTTTTGTTTGGTTTGTTATATTCAGCTAGATAGATATTTCGTTTTTATGTATCCCCATTGGCGTTTTATTCTGCATTTCTGACATCGACCTTTGTGATATACATACATGCCTGTAGGTCACGAAGTGGTAAATGTGAATGCGCAACAAACAGACTTCGATCCACATCTGGAAGAGCAAACGGAACAAGCTGTTGCTCATGAACAGCATTAGTTAAGAACCAAGAGATACCCGTGGACGTCCATCAAGCTCGACAGGCCGTTTGGCCGCCACTGGCTGCACACGGTGCGTGCTTCGCGCCAGCTGCTATCTTCTTTCGTATTTCCAGCTCGTCACATCTGCTTCACCTGCTAGCCACCTGCTCACTATCTTCAATTTCACTTTTCATGATAGCGACGAAACTCAATTCGTGAATCAGATAATAACTGTGGCTGTTACCTGTGCAACTAGGATTGAGTTGTGCAGCCCAGCATTTCGTCCGTTCTTAAGGTTTGTGGCTTATCGAACAACAAACAAACGTCGTTCGATCAACACGCTCTTCTTGTTTTCTCTTCTTTCACATAATTATCACCATAACAAATCACCGTCGATTCTAATCATCACCGTATCAAAACATCATCGAATCCTATCATCCTAGTATCAAAACATCATCGGGTCCGATTATTACTACGTCAAAACACAAAGAGATTCTTTGTGGCTTGTCGATATCTCTCATCATGGCCCGTTTCAGGAAGAATCGAGCTCGCCAACCACAACCACAACCTGCAAAGCCGACGGCAGTGTCAAAGCCAACGAAATTGTCAAGGTCGATAGCAGTGTCAAAGCCGACAGCAGTGTCAAAGTCGACGGCAGTGTCAGAGCCAACGGCAGCTAGCAGTTTGTGTAGCCTCCCGCCCGAACTCTTTGACCGAATCCTCAGCGAGGTCACGAGTGGAAGTGATTTGACCTCCTTGTCTCGGTGCAGTCACGGTCTTTATTGGGCAGTTTCCGATTGTCTCTATACCAAAGCCTTCGGCAAGGAGATACCACGTAGAAGAGAGTACAATGATGAGTGCGATGATGCTCTTGCATTTGTTTTCGTCCATGCCGTCAGGCATGATTCAGGGACCTTAATAAAGTGGCTAATCTTTAGAGAACATGGCTCACGTTTAAGAGGGTAAGTGCACCTTTGACTCAATCCATTCGAAGCTTGAGGCTAATGATCATAGACTATTCCCTTGGAACAAAAACCTCACTTATCTGCACTACGCGCTGCTTCAAGATGCCCCAAAAGTCGCAATCCAGCTTCTCAAGCATGGTGCTGATCTCAACGAAAATGAAGCGCTATATCCCGATCTTAAACATCTCTATCTCGCTCTTCCCCAACTTCTTAGTAACAGGGTTGGGTCCCTTGATGGACCTCTTCGCATCGCGTGCAGTTATGCCCTCCCCAGAATGGCTGAATATCTCTTGATACGAGGCGCCGACCCCAATGCCCACAGTGATTTTGGGTTTGCAGCAATTCACATAGCGGTACGGCATAAGCTTCCCTGGAGTCAGTTCGAGCTGTTCTCCTTGTTGAATCAAATTGCAGACAAGTCCTGCGAGAGTGTTGATCAAACAAATGACTCCGAGGAGAATCAGAAAAGAGAGAAAGATCTCAACAATTTTGGAGGGGAAACAAACTCCCAGAGGATGAAAGCACAATTTGTATCCACAGAGGTCAAAGAAAAGGAATTTTCACCTTGGGGCGAACCGGAGGATACTCCAAAGAAAGACTTTAAGACGATTCAATGGGAAGCCAAAGTGCTTCAAACCGTCGAAGTGCTACTGCGCTTTGGTGCTGACTACAACCTGCTTGCACTGGATTCCTGCCATCACCAATGCGGTCCCAAGTGTTGGAAGTCGTTTTCCTGTGCTCCAATTGATCGACGAGTTCTCCATTTTGCAGCTGCTAGTGGATACGCTTCAGTTGTATCAGCCTTGGTCGAGAAAAAGGCACGTGTATTCCAGGCAGATGGACAGGGCAATCTTCCCGTTGTTCATGCCATGGCTCAAGACCACGATGAAATTGTGGCTTTTCTGTTGAAGAAAATGAAACAGTTTACGAGATTAAGATCGCCCCGCGGTAATCCAATCGTTTGCGAAACTACGAGAAGTACGGTTCTTCATATGGCTTGCCGATTTGCACATCACGCTGTGGTGAAGGATCTCATAAAAAGGGGTGTCGACGTGAATGGAGTCGATTTACGAGGCCGGACGCCCTTACACGAAGCTGTCGGACAAACCGCCCCAGATTTGGAGGAGCGTCTTGTAGAGACGCTCTATTTACTTTCCGAAAACAATGCCAATCAAGAAATCATCGATTACGATGGTAGGAGCGCGGGGGATTTGGGAGCAAAGCATAGACTTGGGGGGGTTCGGGCGCTGTTTGAGTATGCTACTATGGCTAGATATGATTGGCAGCGTCTTACCGAACCTCAGATGCACGGACGGGCGACTGCGTAAGTGTTGACGATTCATCTACAATATCATTGAGCTGGGGCTAACAAGACTTCTTAGTGCGAATAACGTGCCACCTCCGGACCCCAGCTGGTTTGTAAATGAGGAACCAGACATTCCCCCACCCATCCGTCATGACCTAGCACCAAAGAAGGCTCCCATTTGGGTCAAGAAGGAGAGTTTCCCATCGTTGAAAGGTCCCGGGGCACCGCGTAAGGTGGCCGACCCTCCTCCAAATAGGAAGCATTCGGTGACTGGTCCGCGAATGGCTCTTAAACTGTTAGATACAGTAGAGCCGGTGAAATCGACAGAGATGGCAGAGACCGAAAAGACAGCAGGGACAGAAAAGCCAGCGGGGATCGAAGAGCCAGCAGGCAATGAGAAAAACGGTAAAAAGGGAGGACGCAAGAAATGGAATCGTGTATCACTCAAATAATGGCACTGTTTGGATAGTTTTGTTTCTGTTTTGTTTCTATTTCTTTTCGATTTCTTTTCTATTTTGGTTTATCTCTTTTTCTCTTCTTTTCTACCTCACCTGTTCATTTCCCTTTCTGGCATTCTGCCCTATTACACGCAAAAATTTGCGTCCATGGTTTATAACTAAAAGTCTATGTCTATTTTTTACGCTCTAGGTCATATTGCCTCGGCAATTTTGTTTTCTCTTTCGCCTTCGTCTATAGTTTTCCACCCAGATAAATAGAATGATATCCCAGGCGCTCAAGCTCAAGCGGAAGACAGAAAAAAAAGAGACTAAGAACATTGAAGGTTTCGGACACCCACCTGTTGAATTAGACGCCTAATCTTTAAGTATCCGCTACTATAGCTATTTGTCGCTAATATTTACTACTATTTTATAGTAGAGGGCGAAATGGGTATCGCGAAAATACATAAATATAACTACTAGGCACTTATAATAAGCAACCATAGAATCGTAACTGTGGTTGAAGGCGAGGTGGGTAACTCCAGGTTTAGTTAACAAATCAGAAGATTTCAACCCCACCAATTCTAATCGCGACGCGCTCCAGCTGGATATCTCTTCCCAACTGGCAGGAATTGGGGATCTAATCTTTACCGCCACAATAATCAGCCGTACCTTTGACTACGACAATGGCCCCTGGGGAAAAATTACCGGCATGGTAGTACCGCTTGGTCGCCCTCACCATCGAGAAGAAGCGTGATGTACGCCCCGACGACTTCGATGAAGACCTCTCCGACATTGATGCGACGTCAAATCCCTCGGGATTGGATTGCGATTGCGACGGCGAAGACTGCGAATGTGATAATCAATCTTCGCATAGCTCGGAGAGATCATACAATGGATCGGATGCTGATTACTACTACAAACTCAAACACGAACGCGAAGAGCGGAAGCAGCAGTTACGGGATTGGAAGGTGAGGGATAGGGAAGAAAAGGAATACTGGCGCAAAGCCGAGAGCGTCAGGGAAGAGGAAGTACAGGCAGCTTATAAGTCTCTGCAACAAGCCGAGAGCAAAGGACACCTCATACCCCCCCTCGACTCCATCGCTCACAAAGTTTTCCACTTATATTCCCTTGACTACTTGATCACCGCTACGATCCCTTCTACTATCCAACCAAATATGCCGAATTCTATTACCTCGAAGAAGGCGATGAATGTGTGATTAAACAACCGCTTTCCAGGGAAACGAAAATTGAGGGTCAATTGTACTTGAATGTCAATTGTGGTTGCGAATTTGAATATTTCTCTCCTCCGAAGCAAGCAGGTCTCGAGAAATATAGCTTGAAGGATATCGAGGGGAAATTTGCCCCCACATTTCAGTTCCTTAGCAACGATCACTTAATCATGACCGTCTCTCGAGATCTAGTCTTCATGGATGTTCCTGGACGCCCACTTGCACCAGATACACCAGATACGTTCACATTTTACGGCGTTCGTAATGATTTCAAAGAGGAGAAACGTCGAAGGGAAGAGGAAAGAAGAACTCTGCGCTGACCATCCCCTCGTGAGACTTGGTTTGAGAGAAGCCATCCGATGGGAGCATGGAGCATTGGGGAATAAATTAAATTAATTTTAAGTTAAGTTTAATTAATTTTTTTATTATAAAAAGGTTAAATCAAGGTAGGGGTATGGGATTATATGAGGATATGTTTTATATCCTAGGCGCTTACTCCAGTTCTTACCTTGTAATTGATCTATTAGAAGATGACTTTGAGTCCCCAGCCAGCAGCCACGCCACGGGCAAGGTAAAGCGTAGCAACAGTGGCGGCGTAGAAAACGCCTGCGAAAATAATGACTCCGTTGTAGGAGCCGCCATCTGTTTTCAAGATGGCTCCCGCGATGGGAAGGCCAATGAGCACACCGAAGCTTGCGATGAAAAAGGCCGTGCCAGTCCGCTTGCCTATGTCTTCGATATTGCAGACTCGGCTAATGCAAACCGGCGTGATGCTAATCGCGGCACCAGACCAGAAACCATACAGCACGGTAAAAGAGTATATGGCGGCCTCATTGGTGCCGGCTGTATACCAAAGCGCGAATATCAAGGCTGCACATGTGGTAGAGCAGATGGCAAGTACATTAAAGGCGCCGAAGCGATCGGCAGCGTAACCTGGCAAAGCACGACCGGGAATTGCACCGACGTTAACGAGAGCGTTGAGGAGGTACGCTCGCTGAGTGGGCATACCGGCGTGGATGGCATAAGAGGAGATGTACGTATAGGGGATGAAGACGGCGAATTCGACAAGGAAGACGGCGAGGGTGGTGAGAGCATACTTCGGGTCACGAAGAGCTTTGAAGTCAATGGAGCTGCCAATACGAGTACTAGTGTTCTTGTTGTGAGGGAGTCGCTTCTTCATCAGACAGACGGAGATGCCGCCCATGACCAGGCAGATGAAGGCGATGATGCGGGTGGCCCAGGGGAAGCCGATCTGCGGGGTGAGGTAGAGGATGATGAGAGGGAACACGATGCCTCCGAGACCACCAGCGGTGCAAGCAATTCCTGTGGCTAGAGCACGGCGCTTGTCGAAGTAGTGGCCGATGATGGCGATGGCGGGATTGAAGAGCAGGGAGGCTGAGGCGCCGCCGAGGAGGCCGAAGCAGAGGAAGAATTGGTAGAATTCTGAGATTGAGAGTCAGTATGATATGAGAGTTGAGGTGAAAGGGGAGAATATACTGACCTTTGCATAGGCCGATCAGCATCATGGAAATGACAATACCGATATTCCCTGGGATTACCAGATACTTGACATCATATGCATCAAAGATTGGACCTAAAGAGACACTTGTTAGCAACACACCCATTTTAACTTACCTCACTCGCCAAGGCTCTTCTGTCTTCTGTATTGCTTTGCTTCATAAGAAACTGACATTCAAGTGTGCCAACCGAGAAGGAAACGAAGGGATGTTACATACCAACTTGCGCCCCGCAAAAGTAGAGAAAAAAGGCATAGCTGCTCAGAATCCAACCAATTGTCGATTCTGGCAGGTTCCGCAGCTCATTCTCTGATAATCTGGCCTGCAACACGGCCATGGTGTTGAGAAGCCCCATGGAGGGGATCATGCAGGCCCAAGAGCCGAGGACGACGAGCCATGCTTGGAGACCGCCATCGGGATATGTGGTTATTGAAAGGTCATCAATCGTTAGTGCCGCTATATATACAAACTATTAGTATATGATGAAACAATAAACAGAGTATGGAGTGCAGAGCAATAGAATCCGGGGGAATACTGTGGAGTCATGCACGAGGGGGAGAGAGACGAACCGGCCGCTGTCATTTTGGGGGGTATATCTAAGCACGAGAGATTCCGCAAGTCTACAAGGCACAAGAAGAAACAAATTAACAATGAAATCACAGACAAATAATGAGGTTCCCAGTTTTTAGGAAACGGGTACGGGGGAGCTTTTATTAACATCTTTCGGGCTAAGAAAAAAAAATTATGGATAAGACTATCGGTGCCGAGAGCAGGCGAGACACGCCATTCTAGGAAGTGGATTCTTGGTGTTAGTGAGTTGCACGCCCTACAGGAACCATGGCATAGAGGTTTGTAATGGAAAGTCGTGGTTACTCAGTAGCTTTGAGTATGTGGAATTATTTCAATGTGGAATTATTTGCAAGATGCGTATGAGAATGATATATACCAGCCCTTGAAGAAATATCCGATGGGCATCGGAAGGAAGAACAAGAAGCGTCGTTCATCGGAGTGATAGTAATAGCAACAAAGCCATTACGCTAGATTTGGTAGGCCGCCGGCGGCATGGGGTAAGCAGCTTTTTTTTTTTTTTTTTTTTTTTTTTTTTTTTCTCCGTCTCCTTGTTGCCTTCATTTGGACCCATCACGGAAAGCGCCGGACTCAGAACTTATGACTAACAGAAATATCGACGGGAGCCACAGCAGGATTCTTACTTGTTTTGGATGTTTTATTCCATGGCTTTGATAGCATTGTGAGTATAATGATGCATCGTTCATTGCTCTATCTCCGAAAGTGGGCTTTGTCTTGATCTTGGTTGATCTGTAATGCAGCCAACCAACCAATCGGTAAGCTAGAGTATTAGGCTGTTGGCAAGAGCTTGGATGATGCAGAGTACCCAGTTACGGAGCGCTATATTAAACAGTAGAAGGCGAAATGGACATCTTCAAACAGATATGATTATCACTAATACTTGGTAACTAAAAAAAACGTAATAAACGTAACTGCGGCTGGTTTTGCTTATTCTACGTGCTTTGTATTGAATTAGTACGGCAAGTAACCGGAACATCAACTAGCCAATTGTTCATGTAACTGTCATTTCTACAGTTTATTTCTGTTGCACATTCGAATGCCAATCGAGCTGAAATTGTACACTTAAATTACGCTTTGAGCAAAAAAGCAGTTGGTTTGGCTTATACCCGGTGATAGATGAGAGGTATTGGTTGCTGAGGTAGCAGACATTGCTCTATACTACGCGAAGGTTGGTCCCAATTACATTAGATATGAGGAGGGATATGCCTCTAAATTAGAAATTTGATTGAGATGGACTATGCAACATTGTCGTGGCTGCTACCGACGGTATGGCTCAAAGACTCGATTGAACTCGGATACATATCCGCCAGAGATAACCCCTCCACAATTTGAGCTGATCCCCGCCAACGGCGATTTGGTTCGAGATCACGCAATCGTCAACACAAAGACATCAAAATTGTCAATATCGGGAACATCGTCAAACAGTTCCGCAGCGGAAGCGTTGAAATATGGCGAGCCAAAAAGATGCCAAAAATGAAGGCCAGAGCAGTGGCGCTCCAGATCCAATGGCCGACTATAACCTTTATCGGTCCATCCAACCCGCCATCGGCATGAGGCAAGGCTTGTCAAACTATGGCGACCCTCATTTCTCCCTGTTTCTCCGCAAAGTCTTTATTAAAGCGCTAGGATACAGCGAAGATGCGCTCTCAAGACCAATCATTGGCATAATCAACACTTACTCTGGCTTCAATCCTTGTCATGGCAATGTCCCGCAGCTCATCGAGGCTGCAAAGAGGGGTGTCCAGCTTAATGGTGGGCTGGCCATTGAATTCCCGACTATTAGCATCCACGAGTCCTTTTCTTCACCTACGAGCATGTTCTTGCGTAATCTTATGAGCATGGATACCGAAGAGATGATTAAGGCGCAGCCAGTGGACGCATGTATTGTGATTGGTGGTGGGTTCTAGCTCTGTCTTCGCCAAACTCTTCTCAGTGCTTGTTTAACTGATATGAACTCTTGAACTTAGGTTGTGACAAGACAGTTCCAGCTCAGCTCATGGGAGGCATATCTGCCAACAAGCCCATATTGCCTCTAATAACAGGGCCAATGATGCCGGGAAGCTTTCGAGGTGGCCGCATCGGTGCTTGTACGGATTGTCGCAATAATTGGGCTGCTTTCCGCGCAAATGAGATTGATATCGAGGATATTTCAGCTCTGAATGAAGAACTTGCTCCGACGGTAAGATTCATTTCTCTTTGATAAGCTCTTCAACTTACAATTATTGATTAGGCTGGAACTTGTGGCGTCATGGGCACGGCGAGCACCATTGCGTGTCTCACAGCTGCTCTTGGACTTATACCGCTTCGAGGAGGCGCAACTGCTCCCGCTGTATCAAGCGCTCGACTAAGAATAGCTGAGCAGACCGGTGCAAATGCCATCGGAGCAGCTAAATACAAGCGCACACCTCAGTCGATTCTCTCTGAAGCATCGTTCCACAACGCCATCACCGTTTTGCAAGCAATTGGAGGCTCAACCAATGGTATAGTGCATCTACTCGCCATTGCAAATCGACATCCTGATGTTTACGGCAAGATCACATTGAAGACAGTAGATGAGATAGGAAGGAAGACGCCGTTGATTGTTGACCTTAAGCCTAGTGGTGACAATTACATGACAGATTTACACAATGCTGGCGGCATTCCTGCTCTTTTCAATACTTTGCGGCCTCTCTTGAAGTTAGATGCCCTGACAATAACGGGAGAAACACTTGGCCAAGCTCTGGATGCCGAGAATTTTCGCTCGTTTCCGTTTTCTACGCAGATTATTCGGTCATTGGACAATCCCTTGTATCCATCGTCAAGCCTAGTGGTGCTGTATGGCAACCTTGCTCCCGATGGCGCCGTTATCAAAGCTAGTGCCAGCAAGTATCGCCATCTACTTAATCACCGAGGGCGAGCCGTGGTATTTGCCGGCCCTGAAGATCTTGCTAAGCGTATCGACGATCCGGATCTCGATGTTGATGAAAATTGCGTTTTGATCCTACAGGGTATAGGACCTATTGGCTTCACAAGTCCGGGGATGCCAGAGGCAGGCCTTATACCCATCCCACGCAAGCTCGCTGCTCGTGGGGTCAAAGATATGCTGCGGTTGTCGGACGGGCGCATGTCTGGCACGGCGGGAGGTAGCATTGTGTTGCATATTTCGCCCGAAGCTGCTTTGCCAGAAAGTGTTCTCGCCATTGTGAGAGATGGTGACATTATATGCTGTGATGTTGAAAGCAAAAACCTTCAAGTGGAGATTGATGAAGATGAGATTTCCAGAAGGATAGCGGATAGAAAAGCTAAATTGGATGGAGGGCTGAATGCTCGGGGACCTGCAGAATCTAGGAGACGACCGGCTCGTGGATATAGAGGTCTGTATGAGAAGAGCGTAATGCAGGCTCAAGATGGCGTGGATTTTGACTTCTTGACTGCCAACGGAGCAGGTCAATAAATTTATACACATATGTCAGGAGGCGTTAATTATTAGAGCTGCGATTCATTGTGCGCCCAAGGATATCATTCATGGCTGTATGCTCTAGTAGACGTGAAGAGGCAGCTAAAACCGCTCGTCGCTTCAGGATCAAACAGAAGCCCCTAATTCGCGCTCAAATTGATCAATAGCTTGTCTGATCGAGTCTTTCCAATCATAGGCCTGGAGTTTGCCTATCTTTTCTCTGAGATATATGCCATAATTGTCAAAATCGGTTCCCATCTCCTCGTGGCGGCCCTGCGACATGATTCCTATGGTGCGACTCTGGGCAACTATCCACTGTGTTCTTGGTCGTCGAATATCACTATATGCCTTGAAAGCCGCCTCGAGTAATTTCCGCCTGGTTGTAGAGCCTTCGGACGCACCTAAGCGCTCTGTAGCTGATTTTAGGAGTTCCGCTAGGATCAATGCCTCTTCAATACCCATACCAGCTCCTGATCCAATATGAGGCGTTGACGGATGAGCAGCGTCTCCTGCGAGGACTGTACGCCCATAGGCATAGGACGGGAGTGGGTGGACGTAACTGTCAAATAGAGCCCAGCGGTTGAGCTTATCCGGCAAGGCTTTAATCACGTCCTTCACACAAGATCCAAACTGGGAAAAGGCCGCCTCAACATCTTCTTTGTTTCCCTCAGACACTAAGCTGTCCAAGCTGAGCGAGTCTTGTTCATCGTGCACATAAGCCACCACGTTAAGGAATGGGATGCCCCCTGGGCCGAGAATTGCGTACGTTACCATGGACGCGCCTTGACCCAAATACCAAACGGGGTCTTTAACAAGTTGGCCTAGGGCTGCTGTGGCTTTGTCCATGGTGATTAGGCCGCGGTAAGCACTCATGTTAGAGTAATGGGCGAAGGATGATGGATTGTCTGAGCCTCCGACAATTTGTCGAACACGAGACTTGATACCATCGCATCCAATAACTAAAGACGGTGAAATAGAAGATGGATCAGTATTTTGGCATAAACTCATACGGCGGTATTCATCTCGAACAATGGCACGCTGATCATCATACCTGCGTCGGCCTCAGCTGTAGTACCATCAGCAAACTGAAGGAGAAGTTTCTCATCATCTCCCCTCTCAACAATTGACTCTATGCGCTTTCCTAGCTTGATACGCTCTTTGGGAATAAGCTGAAGCAACCCCTCTACCAGTTTAGCACGGTGAGCCGCATGGAATTCGTACGGCGAGATCACTAGATCGTACAGCTGATCTGAGGGGCGAAGGCTTAGATCGTCCCTGGAACCATTGACCAAGTTGATGTTGCTCATCAATTTTGAGACTTTGAGTAAATATTGTGTAGCTTCAGGGTGCAAAGCTGCCAAGGATTGGGCAATGGTGGAAGTGATTGTGATGCCAGCCCCCATCTCTGTCAATTCGGCTGATTGTTCGTATATAGTAAAAGGAATGCCTCGGTCTAGAAGGCCAATCGCGACGTGGACGCCCACAACGCCTGCGCCCACGATGGCTATGTCGAAAGATGGACGATCCCCTTGGCCATCCATTGTGCTGAGAGAATTGAGTTGCGATATCGAAGTATACAGTAATGCTGAGGTAAATACATATATAGAGAGAATGTTGGGAGGACGAGGGTGGTCATCTTATATATTAGATTGCATCTAGCCAGGGTGGCTTCCTTCCTTAGCGTCAGGGCCAAGCTGCATGAAGCAACCCATTTATTCCATTTATTTGATTCGATATATTCACTTCATTCCGATCCATGTGAGCAGCGGATACCCGAATCTGAGACACTAACTATGCTTATAGCGGCAATTATAGAGCATCGCTGATCTCAGTTTTTAGGCTACTTGTAAGCATCTAGGGGATCTACCGGCGCATTACTAGGGTTAAAGGAGTAGCTGATCATGGTTATTCGGTGTAAATAAGAAAACTAGCAGCGATTTAGTGTAAAGCAACCAGGGTTGGTATGTACTAGGGCTCACGGTGAGAGCAAAGAGCGTTACATTGCTTAATGACCGATTTTCAGCTCGAAACTATAAGCATTTAGAAGATGCCAAGGATGCATCTAAAATATCACAGGGATTGTCCAAATAGATTGACGCTCTCTTTGCCACGTGGGAAGATGACACTGGACAATGATTGATAGCTAATAATGTGGGATTCGCTCATGTTTGATCGACATGGCTAGGTCTAGCCAAGACTTCGGAAGAGTGAAATATGAAGCTGCCTACACGTACCTGGTGAGTACATGTAATCAATTTTCGGCGATTTATTTTCCAAGATTTTGAGAAGCTGAACAATGACGGTGAGCTTATTCTTTACCCCAACAACTGGACACAAAGTGGGGATGAGAGACAGCCATCAATGCCTGCGGGATTAATCCGGCCTTGACAATCGTGCGCAGAACATCTCAAGATACATTGGTTACCCTAAGACGCCAGTTCTTAATTTGAAAATGGAGGAATTCAGTCTGTTGGTTCTTTATTAACTTTCCGCTTGACGTCACTCGATTTATCAACTCTTTCGGGGGGATATCGAGCCATATATCTCGCAGTAGTAAAGGCGACAAATTGCCTCAGATTCAACCAACGACGAGGCTTTTATTCGCTCAACTCCAGTAAGAAGTGAACAACTCTCACCACATTCCATTTGCGAAATCATTATCTCTTTAATGTTGACAGTGATATTCGCTCTTCAATATGCATGTACATGTAATTTTCAAATTTAAGTAGAGGTGCAGGGTAGGCGCATGTCCGTGTAAGTCGGATGGTGTGCCTCCGTCGAAAGCACTCACAGACAGTCCAATCCCAAACAACTCCATCCCCCTCCTCTCCTCGGAGCCCATCCCTCTTGCGCAGGGTCAACCACGATGCCGAGTGTCCACTAAGCCACGTTTGCATAAATTGCTTTGGAGCCGACCGTTGAAGAAGAGTGGAGCAGGGGCCGGTACCACGAATGGTGATCTCCCGTGTAAGCAGGGCTTGCATACCGGAAGCCCCGTCTTGCTCGTTGCAGACAAAGAGAGTTTCAACTGGCAATTCGCCCTGTCCGAGTTGTTGAAAAGCCTAACGCTGAAGCCACAAGCGGCCTGCTAGAGTGATGGGGCCAATGGATCCGCCGTTATGGAGAGGAGAGAAGATTTCCGATATACCGTGGTTATGACAAGTTTGAATTTAGCAGAGGCTGTGCGGAGAAGATGTTCCGAAAACTCGTTACGTCATCGCAGAGTAGATAGGGGAGGCCACGGGAGATTATGCGATTTGATAGAAATAGAAATGGGTGGAAACCAACAAGGGCCAACTCTAGCATCAAATTCCATGCTGATGCTCAAGCCCGTACGGTACGCACTTTGATGAACGAAATGGGCGTCCGCGATGACGGGCCAGTTGTCCAAAGCATGATTTCTCAAGGGCCTGGAACCTCCGGCCACGGCCGCAAGGACGCGGACATGGACGTGAACATGAGGACGAGCCCCAGCGTGGGCAGTCATAGTCTTAACCATCCCATGACAAGCACAAGCACCACTACAGACACAAGCACAAGCAATGACACAGACTCTTCGGACTTGACGAGCGCCATCTGCGATCTGTCGCCCGTCCCCACGCTCATCGTAGCGCCGAATTACCGCATCCAGCGGGTGTCCAAGGGTGTCGTCGATGCGTGGCATCGTGGCCGGGACGACTTCCTCGGCAAGGATCTCTTTGGCGCTCTGTACGGAGGCTCGCCGCTGGAGCGCTTCGATCGCATCCCGCTGGCCCGCGCCATCGACGTCGCTGTTACTGCCCGCAACTTTCGCCTGTGCCATGCTGCCTATACTTCCCCCCAAGGCGTCTCGTATTCAGCGCGCATCATCCCCATCTTCCGCAGGGACGAGATGCTATCGCTGGTGCTGGAGTGGGACGAGATCGAGCCCAAGACGCCTGACATTCGCGGCGAGGTGATTCAGCACGCGCTGTCCGTCGACGAGGTCTTCCGGCTGCTCATCCAGGCCGTCAAGGATTATGCCATCTTCCTGCTTGACACACGCGGCTATGTGGCCACCTGGAATACCGGCGCCGAGTTGCTCAAGGGCTACAAGAAGGAGGACATCGTCGGGCGGCACTTTTCGACCTTCTACGGCCAAGAAGATCTCGCGGATGGAAAACCCGAAGCAGAGCTTATCACATGCTTGCGCGAGGGCAGGGTGCAAGATGAGGGCTGGCGCTATCGCCAGGATGGGAGCCGGTTCTGGGCCAACGTTACCATCACGGCCATCTATAGGAACGGCGTGCATGTTGGCTTCGGCAAGGTGACGCGCGACCTAACCGAGCGCAGAGAAGCCGAGCTGAGACTCATCGCCGCATACGAAGAGAGCGCCAAGCTGAAGAACGACTTTCTGGCCAACATGAGTCACGAGATCAGAACCCCAATGCACGGCATGCTCTCGGCCTGTACTCTTCTCCTGGACACAAACCTAACGGAAGATCAGCGCGATACGGCCAACATCATTTCCGAGTCGGGCCAGGTTCTGCTGCAAGTCATCAACGGTATTCTCGACTACTCCAAGCTTGCCTCGGGCAACTTCTCTGTCAACACGGACCTAGTTGGTGTCGTAAGCATACTCACATCTGTCGTGCGCAATGTGCAGATGACGCTGCTGCCGGGCGTCTACATAAAACTTGTCCTGTCGCCGGAACTGCCCAGATCCGCACAGGGAGACCCTCTTCGCTTCCGTCAGATTTTCCAGAACATCATCGACAATGCCGTCAAATTCACGGAGAAGGGCTCGGTGCAGGTCGCCGCTTCGGTCTCAGCCGAAGACGCCACCTCTTATACGATTCTCACAGAAGTCACCGATAGTGGCATAGGCGTGGCCGAGGCAGATGTTCAAAATTTATTCAAACCATTCACCCAGCTCGAAAAGCCCACCAAGAAAAGATATCAGGGAACAGGCCTTGGGCTGTCAATAGCCAAGTCTCTGGCTGAGTTGTTGGGTGGCCAGATGGGCTACAGGCCTAAGCCCGAACGTAACGGCAGCATTTTCTGGTTTACGGTCAAGCTGAAGAAGATTGCCAATCTCGACCCAACTGAAGCTCTGGGGTTCCAACAGAAACAACAGACTGAAAAGAATCAGCAGGAAGCGGAGAAGGAAAGAATGCTGAAACGTCTCAAGGAGGTGGCGCCACAAAAGCGAATCCTTGCAGCTGAAGATAACGCAGTAAATCAGAAGGTGCTGTCTCGTGTTTTGAACTCTCTTGGCTTTCGGAATACTACCATCGTTTCCAATGGAGCAGAGGCCGTCGAGACATTGGGCGCTTCACCAAACGCATATGACCTGGTCCTTATGGACATCAGTATGCCGGTTATGGATGGCTTTGAGGCGACTCATAAAATCCGGACCTTGAAAAGATATATCCCAATCATTGCCATGACGGCATATGCCCTTAGAGGAGACAGTGAAACCTGCCTAGAAAAGGGGATGGATGATTATATCTCCAAACCAGTCAACATGAACAAGCTATTACAAAAGCTTCTTATATGGTTAGACTCGCCCGAGTGGTCTAATAGTTCGACAAACGGGCCACCTTAACAAGAGATACAAATCACGGAGTAAATTTGTTCTCTGTCTTTTTTTTTTTTTTTTTAGACTTGCGCCTCTGTCAGCCAAGTCCTCTTTCACAGCATCCCTTTGTCATGTTTAAACCTCATCCGAGTGGCCATGTATGCCATCGAAATTAAATTATACAGAGTCTTCTTACGAGGCCCAAGCCTTCGCCAGCATGGCCGGTCTTAGAATGGCCATTTTGGGCTGTTGCGGAATTACCGCACTCGGCAGTAGGGCATTTGCCCCCCCTCAAGTGAAGGCCGCCTTCTGCCTCAATCTCCATACGGAGGTGACTGGGGCACGAAGAGGTGACTGGATCCTAATTCAGAGGCCTCGAGGTGGGATCTCAGATGCTCAGGTCTATCAAAATGTCGAGCCGATTGGAGGGTTGTTTACATCTGATACATCTACCCTTGGTCTTGGCTGGTGAAACATTTGTTTTGTATGATGCTATGCTACAGATCTGTCCAGCAGTAGAGCTGGGCATACTCCTTTCAAGGAAAATCAGCTCTTACGATGTTTCTAATGTATTTGGATTTATTATATGGGATTATCTCGTCATGCTTGCGCGTCACGGATAGTAACTTGCCTCAGTTATGTTTCGTAGCTGTTAATTGATAGTGAGTTATCTGCAATAGTCGTGGAAGTGGTAAGAAAAATGCCTTAATTTATTTCCATTAGGAATAGAAATAGATTGACATACGATCAGCCCTCCATTTCCCGTCACCGTAGCCTAGTTGGGCAAGTTTAGGCATCTTTCCATTCAGCCGGCAAAACGCATTGTCAGCCCTGGGACGAGAAAGGAAAGTTTTACCACTTTCCCCGGAAACTAATGCGGCGGAGAGAATCGAACATGTTTCCCCGTGGGGTTCTCCACGCTGCACCTAGTCTAGCGTTGCTGTTCGGTTGCATGATCTGGTAAAAGGCTGGTAAAGACTCAAGATTGAGAAATTACTATATATGGAAGATGATGGAGACAAGTTCAAGACCGTTGTACATAATGTTGCATGCAATGTTGATCGAGTAAATCTTCTCAAGCTCAACATATTTGGCATTGCCACGATGGAACAATCCAAGGAGCATGTGCATGACCATGTCGAGAAAAGTGGTGACTACGAGGCTGCACAGCTGGCACACATCACCGACCAAGAGGATCACGAGACTGGAATATACCAATCTCTCATCCGTAACCCTTGGGCATCTGCCTGGTGCATATACGGACTCTGGACTGTGATTCTGCTCAGTTTCGATGTCCAGGCGTCGGGCAGTGTTGTTGGAATCCCCCGCTTTCGCCAGGACTTTGGATATCTCTTTGAAGGCGATTATGTGCTGCCGGCTCAATGGCAGTCTGCATTTAACGGGGCTCCCGTAGCCATGTGAGTATCTTGCTCCTCGACGTTAATAACGATGTTACAAGACGCTTTTCTGACATACTGAACTGTCTTTTAGGGCCGTCATCTCTTCTCTCGCTGCTGCGGAACTGGCAGATATTTTCGGCCGAAAACTCATGCTTCTCGTTGCCTTGGTTGTTTCTTTTGTGGGAGTCGGTGTAGAATTCTATGCGACTACAAATGCCGTCTTCTTCGCGGGGAAGTTGATCAACGGAATCATGGTGGGCATTGTTGCTACAAACATGATTACCTACATCGGAGAGGTACGCGCATCTCCATCTCTCTTCGGTCACTGCTGTGTACTAAAGAATCCTTAGATTGCTCCGCTGGCGTTGCGCGGCATCTTCACTTGCTGTATTGGCGTCTCGTACGGCATTGGCCCTCTGGTTGCCTTCTTGATCATCAATTACACGGGTCAGGTAGACTCCCGATGGGCATATCGCTCAGTGTTTTGCTCCCAGTTTGGGTTTGCGGCGGTCGCATTACTGCTATGGCCATTCATGCCTGAGTATGATCATCAAAGAACTAAGCTGAAACTTATAGCTAACGTCGCTCCTTAGATCTCCTTGGTTCCTGGCTGGTAAAGGTCGAAGCGAAAAGGCACTGAAGAGCCTTCGTAAGCTTGGTTATCCCGGCGAAGAGGGAGAAAAGAAACTTGCGCTCATCAACTTGACGCTGGAACAAATCCGTCAAGAAACTGAGGGAGTTACCTATGTGGAGTGCTTCAAAAAGTCAAATCTGCGACGAACCATCATCAGCATCATGCCTCTGTGCATTCAGTCCCTCTCTGGTATCGCCTTTGTTGCTGGCTATTTCACATACTATCTGCAACTCGCTGGATATTCCACTTCTATGAGCTACAAGATTCAGATCTCCCAACCAGTTCTATCGATTGTCGGAAACATCATGGCAGCAGCTGCTGTTGACAGTATTGGAAGACGCAACATTACTTTCTACGGCCTCATCATCCTTACCGCGATCCTCCTAATCACCGGAGCATTGGGGCTGAGCCACAAACCATCTGAGATAAAAGGTACTGTCGCGTTTATCCTCATTTATAGTTGGTGGTATAATGTCTCGATTGGTTCCACTGCGTTTTCTCTGCTCGCAGAAGTTTCCACGTCTCGCCTGCGTGTCAAGACTATTGCCATTGGATACTCTGTTCAGAGCGCAATTACTGTCATGTGGCAATTCGTCATTCCTTATTTGTTCAACCCGGACCATGCCAACCTAGGAGCGAAAATTGCATTCATCTTTTTCGGGTTTTGCGTTATTTGTATTGTTTACTTGTACTTCTATCAGCCTGAGACTGCGGGGAGATCTTATCAGGAGCTCGATGAGATGTTTGCCAAGGGGGTTCCTGCAAGGAAGTTTAAGTCTTATAAGACTGACATACAGATGCAGAATGAGGCTGCCGCGACTGCTCAGAAAACTGTTGTGTAAAGCTGATTTGTTATTATTATTCAACTTTGTTTATGGATAGTATAGTTGACTGACATTAATTTATTGCCATACCGCTCGCATCTATCTGTAACAATAAAGTCGGGATCAAACTACAGTGGAATGCAGTTTCTCACTTCATTGACAGCGCGCTGAGGAAACTTTTTGTTGGCAATTCTCTTTTGATGTGCTCAACTATAGTTGCACAAGATGTGTTATATTATTAGATACCGTGGAAAAATGTGAACATGTCATGTTTTCAGTCTTCAATCAATTCAACGCTTTCGGCAAACCTGCCCACCGAGTATGGTCCCAACAATGTAGTCACCATAAATGGCCATATAGGTACATACTCTCTACATATTAGTAGACCATATGAGGGCGAATGAGTGTAGGAAATGATTAAGTACAATTGCATTGCCCTATACTTTATTAAGCGGTGTAATGAGAATCCTACGGTAACTAGTCAAAGGAGGTGATCCGCTGTCCTGAACCTCAAGAATGAGATGAAGAAATTCGCCACGCGCAGGAATAGGAGCCAGCCTGGGGTCAGCATCGGCTTTCGGCACTGTTATTTCCACCTTCGTTCCAGCCGAGTCAAGCACTTTGATCTCCATCTTAGGCACCTCCCAACTATGATACGTCCGAGTAGCACTTGGCTCATGGTACTGGAACCACTTGAAAGATAAAGTATCTCCATCAGGATCAAAGGTTTCGGATGCATCAAAAACCAATGAAGAACCAGCGTCAGCCTCAACATAGATTGGACTTAATCCTTGATTCCCATTGATGGAAATGATAGGGTGATGATTTGCTTTAGTGAAGTCATTGGTCAAAGTCCACTGCATTCGAGCAGCGAAGTCGTCTTGAAAGGCATTTCTCCAGCGCCAAATCGTTGCCCGGTTCGATATATATGTCTGGCCATTCTTTCCAACGACTTCATCGGCAGTGTCACCAAAATGGCCTCTAGGGAAAGTAAGATCGACAGGGAGATAGCGACCTCCCCAGGAGCCGTAAGATGGCTGCTCTGGAAGTCCCAAGCCATTTTGTATCATGTATAGAAACGTAGGCGTATCTCCCTCGACAATGTACATGTAATCAGGGTACGCTGCTCCTAGGGGCCCGACTTGAATATTCTCTTTGATCCACTCCTTAGTGATTTTTGAAGTATCGGGGCCTCCTTGCTCACCAGGCGTATCTCCGGATATGCCTGTCCAAGTTGCTTGGCTGTATTGATTCCATCCATGTACGGAACAGATATAAAAGATGTCAGGCCACAATCGCCTCATCCAAGCCCCGGTATCATCTTGATCAGAGATGGTATACACTCGCAGCTTTGCTCTAAGCTGTTCAGCATCATCTCTATGGCGTATATGGTGTAAGACTTGAGCAAGGACATTACTGCCTCCCCAGATCAACACCCAAAGAGGGTCGCTGTCTTTTGCCAATAGCCGTTCTAGAAGTAATTGGGCACCATCACTCAGCGGGATATCGTCGCCAACTGCAGCCATTCCATACATCTAGTGATTGTTAGTATGAGATGATATGATTGTACTTGGGCAATGCTTACTGGAGGCCCTGAACGAACAATACTTCTGATGTATTCTGCCGAAGGATAAAGAGACTCAGGATGGACGTGGGCATTCAGATTATCTACAACCTTCTCATACGCATCGATAATTTCGTGCAGATTCTCTGGTGCCACTTTGTTCCTGAGCCATACTGAAGTTACAGCCACGATGCCTTCAGTGTTAAACTGGTTGGCGTACGTCAGGTATCGACAGAAGGATTCCGCATCGTCGGGTTCGTTGGTGATGTCCGTTAGGATGAAGATGCGTGGCTTCGAGGGGAATGCGATAGTTGTGTCTGCCATGGCTTGTTCACTTCGGTGCTACTGAGCCCGTTGAGTATACCAACGCTCTCATATCTACACTCTGTAGAGTATTTTGTTGTTATTAAATGATGCCAGCGTTTGTTTGCACCTGTCCCAATCGAGCGCACTTCCCGATGCGGCAACTTTAAGCACGGCCGCTGTATGAGCTCGGGGAGGGGCCGAAGCAAGCTCTCGTAATCAACTTCAGGATGGAATATCCGATCTGCTTACGGTTTGCGGGGGTCCGGGAGAGAACGAAGCTTGACGCCAATGAGCCGAATTTACGGAGTACAGCCTGCTGAATGGTAAAGTGGTGTCACGTAAACAGCGCCATACTCCACCCAGATCGTCAAAACGGTTATTCTTTGGCAGATTCTCATATCCACCTGGCATCTCTGACATTGACATCTATTAGCTATACTCCACAAATTAGAATATCTAATAGACATATAAACTCATGAGTGTCATATCATATTCTTCTTGTGTCTAGTGAAGCCAGAGCTCTCTCTTTAATACTGCTGAATATCCGTGGCGACCGTTGAGATGTGGTGTAAAAGATCGTCTTTGAAACAATCATAAGAGCAGCATCTCTGCTCTCGGGAAACCCTTTAATATTTCTCCTTCTTCTTCTGGTTTCTACACTCCTGCAGTACTAGAGAGATGCAACAATCAACAACAAAGTCTCACGTTCAAGGTTATTTAATAAGAGTAAAATGACCACCGCCACTCTCCCCTGCTCTGGGAGCTTCGGGGAATGTCGGCGTGACTCACGGGTAACCCACCATATTCTACTAACGGTTTAGCTGCCCAGACGGCCAACAGTGGAGGCGACACAGCATCGGGCCATTTAGTCATTGATAGTGATTTCATACATAAACTGACTGTATGCTTGAATTCTTGAAATCGATTCTCCTGTGTGACTTATCAAACCAAGTCTCGAATGTAGCCACATCTGCGAGCTTCTCGGAATGAGAACAACAGTATTTACCCAATTCGAGCGAATTCGTTGCAGCGGACAGAAGAATCCTCAGTGAAAATGTCACAAACCCAGTCCACGGTTGTCTTGCCTGTGGAGGGACACCACGAAGGCTTGATGACCTCGCTTGACCCAGAAACACCACGGGCCCGGGACATCACCGATGCAGGAGAACATTTGCCAGCACTTGGTTTGGAATTGAGCAACATGAGAAACAGACTGGTTGAAACGCCCATACTTGATCAGTCTTCGCCTGCCGGCCTTTCGGAAGAACGAGGCAGCCCGAGGAATCCCGTGTCTCAAGGCGTTCCGCCAGAGCTCGCCAATTTCCTTGCAGAGATCATCTTTGTGCTCGTCTGTACGGCTGGCCAAGTCATCTCCGCCCTGACTATGGGACAAGTCATCGTCACCCAGTTCGTGTTCCGAGAGGCATTGGGTCTGGTCCCAGCCCAGATTCCCTGGCTCGTAGGCTCTTCAGTCTTGGCAAGCGGTCTGTCAGTCATAGTATTTGGCCCGTTGGCTGACCTCGCTCCCCCAAAACCACTCATGGTAGGCGCTTTTCTGTGGGAAGCAGCCTGGAATGCGGTGACGGCTGCGGCGGTTTCTCCAAACCTCAAGGTCCTCTTCTTTGTGGCCCGAGCCATGCAGGGCCTGGCAGCCGGAGTGCTCGTTTCCGCTTCGATGAGCATTCTTGGACGAGTCTATAATCCGGGGATCCGTAAGACGCGCGTGTTTTCCTTGATGGCGGCAGGGGTGCCGTTTGGCTACTGGATTGGCTGTGTTCAAGGAGGTGCTCTGGCTGCTCATCTTCCCTGGATATTCCGCAGCACAGCCATTTTCCTTGGATTATGCGCTCTTGCTGCTTATCTCACAATACCCGATCTGAAACCAGCTGCAGACAGCTCCAGCGTAAATCCGCCTTCGATGAAGCAGTTTGATTATCTCGGCGCTTTGCTCGCATCGTTGGGGTCTGGCTTGATCCTATTTGGGCTTACTTAAGGTTCGGCGGTTCAATGGAGCCCATATACTTATGTTTCCATTATCCTGGGGTTTCTTCTACTTGTTGCCTTTCACTTTGTCGAGCGCCATGCCACACGTCCTCTTATTCCAACTGGACTTTGGCGAATTCCTGGCTTTGCGGCTGTCCTGCTTTCCTACATTTTCGGATTTGGCGGTTACGGTGAGTTATCTAAATACTCTATAATTATCTGTGGCTGTTTTTTTTTCGCTGCCATTTACTGACGAATCCTCCTCATCTAGCTGGTGCGTGGCAATTCTATGCCATCCAGTTCTGGCTTCGCTACCAGGGAGTGTCTCCGCTTACTGCAGCGCTGTACATTCTTCCAAATGGCATTGTTGGCGTTCTCGCAGCTTGGGTCGTTTCCAAGACGCTTCATGTGGTCCCTGGTCACTGGATCCTTGCCACCAGCATGATTTGTTTTGGTATGGGACCGGTATTCTTTCTCCCTCAAACACCAAACTCCTCGTACTGGGCCTTGTCAATGCCAGGCGTAGCCTTGGCTACATTCGGACCTGACCTGAGCTTCGCAGCGGCAACCATCTTTATTACCTCGAGTGTGCCGAGATCGTACCAGGGCTCTGCTGGTAGTCTTTTGGTCACCGCACAAAACTTGACTCTGGCAATCATTACTTCTGTAGCTGGCTCTATAGGGCTCAAGGTCGATCAGCTTCCTGATGGAGAGGTGGGACTTGAAGGGATGCGCGCCATCTGGTGGTTTGGCCTTGCTTCCGCTATAATCGGAGCCTTGATTACCATTACCATGGTCCGGATTCCAAAAGCGGAAGAAAAAGAACATGTACAGTAAAGAACAAACAACTGTCATTCGGGGCGATTGTAATTCTATTCAACACTGGTATCAATCAGTTCTATCCTACGCCAAATACACTCTCCAGATCTCTCAAGTTGACTTAGCGCCGGAACTCCCTTCTACGTTCAAATTACCATAACTCTCCACGAGGTTCGTCAATTTGTGAGAGTCTATATCTTCCTTCTTTTTGACCACGCTCACTGGCCACGAACTTCGCACCTCTTGCACCATGCTACTCTTCTCATCCCATTCACTCTCGTCTATCATCATCGTATTCTTCAACAGAGAAAGTTCCGACGGCCGCATTCGTCCCCGGATGACGCGGAACAGTGCTTCGGCTAAATAATGATTTCGGCGTTGACTGTTCAAGCCCTTTGCTACCAAGATAAGCGTAGAGCGTAGGAGCTCTAGCTCGGCTGCGGGTGTTTGGTCATTGATGGCTTCGATGCAGTCGGAACCGGCAAGCATAAGCGGTATGACGACGAAGAGGTCCATAGCATCGTATCCGTGACGGAGATAGTAGAGTCGGATCAGTGTCTGAAGGTGTTTCTTGGATTCAGCAACTACTTGCTGCGGTGGTGGCTCTTGGTCTGTTTGTGCGTCCACCAAAGGTTCAAAGATTGTTATGATCAGATAATGATAATGAATGCTATCATTGTGTCATGTTAACGCCACTCAATTAGTAGACTGCAGGTGGCCTTGCAGATATTTATGGAGGCTTACTGAAGTTGCAAGTGTGTAGGGAGGACGATTGTCTTTGGCTGGAGTGGACCTGGCAAGCCGTGATACCAGTGCTTCAGTCTCTTCAGAAGTTCATAGGCCTTTTCTACAGCTACCTGAGAGCCTTCTGAATATGCTGTGCAACAAAATTTGTTCATGATGATTCGGAAATGGGATTTTGCTCGAAAAACGGTGCCGAAATAAGACGGCGAAAGGGTATCGGTCAACGGATATTTGAGCCATATTTCCCCATACCAATTCCCATCTTGAGAAGGATCCGGCAGAGCCCAGTTTGGAGGCTCTTTGAGGAGTGGGGTGAACATGAAGGAGAAGGCAACAAGCCTAGAAACTTCAGCAAAGGCCAATTCCAGCACCGACGGATGTACTTACGTTTCCCAATTGAACAAGGTCCATGCGAGGAACGCCATGCTCCTCTGCATTTTGCAGCTGCGACCGCCTACGGTGCTGTCAAAGAGCTGTATTTGATGGGCTAGGTCTATGGCCTGGATCCTATATGCTTGTCCGATTTCGTCTAAACCGCAGAGATTGTGGAAGACTGTGAAGACTATTCCGGCTTGAATTGTTGTAATCCGTGGCACATGGCTTTCAAGTTCCCATATGCGCTTCGCTTCCATAACGAAGCGATACACAAGCGCCTTGGGATTCCAGTATTCGGCACGGTCTGGGAAACCCGGAAAGCAGACCTGGACTTTATTAGCAGAGGTGCTTCATAAAACATGGCGGAAAATTAATAAGATCAACGGGGAATACCGCACGCAAGAATAAGCAAGAACAATATTGACGAGCAGGGATGAGCAGAAGTTTTTTCGATTCGCCACCAAGTCATCTAAGAAATAGTCTTTCTGAAATGCTGATGTCAAATGATACTCGCATCTCAAAAAGACTGAGAGAAGTTGTCGCATAAGCCCGTCGTCTTTGCAAACAGCGGTCCACGAGGAAATTTTCGCATCAGTCAGCCGAGGGTCAATAACTTCAGCAGCATGAAATGGCTTCAAATAGGCGCCTTGGTATTGGTTTGATGCCCGGTTGCCGGCACGACTGGTGGCCGTACGATCCGAAATCCTGGAGCGCTCGTCTTTGGGATAGAGCGAAGATGCCCCGTAAATCATTGAATCGATATAGGGATTGTCGCCAAGATAATATGCGGGCATTTCTGTTTGATACGGGAGTTCATACCGAAATCGCGTTTCGGGAGCAACAGCCATTTGCAGTAGCAGATTCCCTGTTTTGAGGTAGTTGAGAAGTGACATCGCGTCCACCCCGTCTCTGATTTTATGCCAGACGTGGCCAGCTTCTTGATCGGGCAAATTCCTCAAGAGATCAAATAGTTCTTCGTGAACTGTTGTTATACGCTGCAGGTCCTTGTATCCTCGTCGCCATGCTTGAGATTCCGTTTCTCCCGGCTGTGTGGTGTAGTGGCATTCAGAGTTTCGCTGGACGCAGCGACTACAAGCCGGTCTATCGCCAGAACACTGGAAGCCGAGTTAACAATCACCATTCAGTACAAAATACGCGTAGAGAATCAATCCCAATAAGGCACCTTTGTCTTCTGTTTGCGACACGCGCTGCAGGCTGCGGCCACCATGTTCTGTCTCGTAGAAACTGGGGGGTCCGGAGCTGCTGGCACCGGTGGCCGCTGGGCTGGTGCCGGTAGCACACGGCGCAGTTGTTGGGTTCTTCCCTTTGCGGCGTACTCGGGCATTGTAATCCAATTTCATAGTTAACGTTTGTCTTCTGGGTCAAGGTGTTTTGAGGAAGTCGAGTGAGTGAGAGAGGCGAGTGAGTGAGGGAGACGAGTGAGCGAGGGAGACGAGTGAGCGAGGGAGACGAGTGAACGAGGGCTTCAAAACAATGAGATCACTGGTCTGGCTAAAGCGTGTAGGCCGTGCCAATAATACCGCGTTCTACATGTCAGTAACAGTTGATCCCACAACATAGAGAGAGCTTCCATGCAGAATCTCACAGCCCAAGGATGCTCAAGTATGCCCGAAGCTTCTATGAACCCCTCACTGGCATTGCTTTGGCCAGCGCATGATACGTTCTGGCGTACAGGCGCATCTTTTGCTGCAGGGAATCATACACACTATTCGATGTGATTGGCCTCAGTTGTTCGGAAATCACTCCGACTCCGCGTTGTGGGCCGGCCATACACTGTGAACCCTGCATATTCTCCTTTTGCTTACCTACCCGAGGAGCACATTGGCACAGAAAGAGTCTCGCCTGGGAGGATTCCAATAAGAATACGTCCCGCATGCATTTGCATATGCAGGTTGTGCCAGATCCATCCACCACGGTGAGCAACTCAAAGCGACAGCCTCGCCCATTTTGCGGGAGTAAACAATGCAATGCTTGTGTTACCTGAGCGGGGCAAAGCCTCCATATACGAGTACGGTAGTTAGCAGACGGAATACATGTTAGATTTGGATGTTGTCCAAGCTGTTCCCCCCCTCCGCACATCGTCAGCATAATGGAATGCCACAGCGCCATGCAGTCATGGCGATAACAGATCTTACAATGGCGAAAATCTTAATCAAGCCTCGCTCAATTATCAAATTCAATCATCAGCAGAAAAGAAGACTTTTCAAACATGCTCGGGCCATTTGCAAACTGAACGGGATGCTGTAGTTAAAGCGCGGTCGGCCTAGCTCTAAGCTGTTGCACCATCAACCTCGTTTAATTCGACCGGCCTATTCAGCTTTCATGCAGGGCAACATGTGGGAGGCCTTCGAAGCAGCAGCTGAAAGACTCGAAGCGAGACGGCTGAATGTACTCGGTAAGCCTAAACCACTGCTTTATAAATAGGTACGCGGTAATAGGCGGCACTTACATCCTACCTTAAAAGACGGTATACACGCATGCAGTTCTATTTTCGCAACATCTGGTAATGGTGTTGCCAGGGTCTATATGTTACTTCTTAAGCATCATAGCTATGATTTAATTACTAATACATTCATTGATGAATCGAGAGGTTCTCTCAACAATCTTTGAAGCGAGTATCCATGCATACTGTTAGTCTATTCATAATCAATGTCCACATACTCTATTCCATCGCGTTCTCGTTAGCTTCGTCTACAATCTGAATCTTGATGCTTCCGTTTCTGGGGTCGGCTGCCAGATGCAGAGCGTCCATCGCACCCTCAAGAGGATAAACATGAGTGACTAGGGGCTTCAAGTCGAGAATTCCTCCACTGAGGCACGCAATACCCGCCGGCCACGTATCTCGATACCGGTTAATAAACTTGAGCTCAATCTATACGTATTTCATCCAATGTTGTTAGCAAGCCGACCCTGGCATAACCCTCACATTATCAAACTGCCGTGTTACATACCTCAGCTAGAGAAATATGCATAAAAGGCAAGTTATTCATGATCGATTTACCGACTCCAATAACGCAGATGGTGCCGCCCCGTCTGACTGTAAATGCTGCTGTACACACGCTGCTTTCCACACCTGTGCACTCAAGAATTGTTCGCGGCGCATAATATTCTTGGCGAAGGTCTTCGACAGTGTCTTGTGATATATCGGTATCGGCATGTCGAAACAGCCGCCGGATTCCGCGTCCATTCTCTTCAGCGCTTAGAGAAGGATCTACCTGGTAGGTTCGACATGATGGAACAAACTCTCGGGCAAATTGAAGTCTCTTTGGCTCAATGTCTGTTATCACGATCGGATGTGCGCCAGATGCTCTTGCGGCAGCCAGAGCAATCAGCCCAATGGGTCCGGCACCGCAGATAGCGGTACCACAACCAAGATTTAGACCGGCAGTGCGGATGCCGTGAAGAACAACGCTCAGAGGCTCGAGGAGAGCGCCCTCAGCAAACGATATGTTGGCCGGAATCCTGTAGCGAGAAGTAAGCCATTGACTGCGATCACTCCGCTCTTGTTTGGAGGCTTACTTGTGAAGCCATTTGGCTGGGTGGATTTTGTATCGCTGAATCGTTCCCGCGTAGGGATAGACGCCGGAGAACTTGACGTCTTCACAGAGATTATACTTGCCGTCTAAGCAGAGGAAGCATTCTCCACAAGGAACACCCGGCTCTATGGCCACTCTATCACCTTATTTTGTCCTTTAACACTAGCCGTCGTCCGGGACGCTCTTTGATCACTCACCCGGTACGAGGTTCGTAACACCTTCTCCGCACTTGAGCACAACTCCAGCAGCTTCGTGTCCCAAAATGCAATCTCCTTCAAAGACCAATGAGCCTATCCGCCCGGATTTCCAGAAATGGACATCCGATCTTTAAATGAATATGAATAAGTTCATCGGTGTTTCTTAAAGTCGGTTTCTTTGCCGCTATCGTTACTCACCCACAGATGCCAGAGGCCTTGATATGCAACAGCACTTCTCCACGCTTCGGTTCTAAAACCGGAGCTTCAACCATCTTCAACTTGTGGTCGGCTGTTGCTTGTAGCGATGGATTTGGTCGTGAGGTATGGATAATGCTTCCGCCGTTTAGAGCTGTGGCTGCTACATCCTTCAGCCCTGTCGTAGCTGATATTTCGGGCGAATCGCCATTGGAAATGATTGCTGGAGCCATCGTTTTGAATAATTGAAGTCAATAAAGTAGTAAAGACGAAAAAGTCGATAATATGGCGGCGGTTCTGGGTTCGGCGGAAGTATGTAGCTCGCCTGATCTGAGTTGGGAGCTGGCGTGCAATGTCTCTGAGTCGGAGAGGTTGGCGTGCAGCGTATCCGAGTAAATCTCGTAAAAACAATTATTTTTTTCACGGCAAGAATTTGTGTAGAAATCTTGATGGGCAAGATGCCCTTGTAGAATTCCCGGAGGAGCCCAATTGTTGGGCTTCAAGTCCTCCAGACGGAGGGTGGCTAAAGTTTCCCTTTTAGGCAATCCTCTCATAACGGAATCTCACCGGATTCCTCAAAGTGGACGCATTACCCTCTACTGCTTTTCTGGCAATTATAGATTGGAGGATTGTAAAAAGTAATAATGTGGCTCATTCAAGTTTTTCCTTCTTCTTGTCTGTAGCGGCGCTCATTCTGACTGTTCGGGGTGCCCGATCATCTCAATCACACTGCAGCATTTCTCATCGTGGAACAAATTACATTGCTTTATCTCGCCCAACTTTAGTAAAAATGGCTCCTGGAATCCTATCTCCCGATAAAACACATTCGACAAACGTTCTATCAAGCAGCTTGAAAGAAGAGTCTGGGATTAAATCTCAGCGAAACAAAGAGCATGAACTGGTTCTCAAAACCTTTCGACTGCTCATCAGCGATCTCTGTCAGCAGTTCAATGGCGGCCATCCAGGCGGCGCCATCGGTATGGCTGCCATCGGGATTGCTCTTTGGAAGTACGTGATGAGATACGCGCCGCTTCAACCAGAATTCTTCAACCGAGACAGATTTGTGCTCTCAAATGGCCACACCTGCCTCTTTCAATACACTTTTCTGCATTTGACGGGATATCGCGATATGACAATGGATCAACTCAAGTCATATCACTCAAAACGCTGGGACTCCATCTGTCCCGGCCATCCAGAAATCGAGATTGAAGGCATTGAGGTGACAACAGGACCTTTGGGGCAAGGGGTTGCCAATGCTGTTGGCCTCGCGATGGCGACAAAGAATCTTGCGGCAACGTATAATCTACCTGGATTTGATATTGTATCGAATCACACATGGTGCATGATTGGCGATGCTTGCCTGCAAGAGGGTGTGGCACTGGAGGCCATCTCCTTCGCAGGTCATCTCAAGCTAAACAATCTGACAATTATATATGATAACAACCAAATCACCTGTGATGGTTCAGTCGATCTGACCAACACCGAAGATGTCAACGCTAAAATGATGGCGTGCGGCTGGGATGTGATAGATGTCGAAGATGGGTGCTACGATATAGACGGCATTGTGGCCGCATTAGAAAGGGCACGAGCCTCGGCAGACAAGCCAACATTTATCAATGTCAGAACAATCATCGGATTAGACAGCTCTGTTGCCGGACAAGCGGAAGCTCATGGAGCTGCTTTTGGCGCCGACGATGTCAAGCGGATGAAACGATCATACGGCTTCAATGAGGACGAGTACTTTGTCGTTGGGGACGAGGTCCGCCAATTCTTTTCGGACCTACCTAGCCGCGGAGAGCAGATTGTATCACAGTGGAACGATCTTGTAAAAAAATATGCAGATGCTCATCCTCTACTTGCCGAAGAGTTCCAACGACGTCGGAGTGGAAAGCTTCCATCTGATTGGAAGACTCTGATACCCAGCCCTGACAAGTTTCCCGACAAACCACTGGCGACCCGAGCATCGTCTGGCTTGATGATCAACCCTCTTGCCAAGGCGATCAATTCTTTCATGGTAGGGACGGCGGATCTTTCACCATCCGTGCATATGGCGTGGGACGGTAAGCAAGATTTTCAACACGTAAGTGAGATACCAAGCGAAATATGCATTGTTTGAACGATTTATTAACGCCACATGTAGCCTAATCTTCGGACAGCTTGCGGAATCAACGGTTCTTACGCCGGTCGGTATATTCACTACGGCGTACGAGAGCATGCCATGTGTGCGATCTCAAACGGCATGGCAGCTTTTGCTCCTGGTACCTTTATCCCAATTACCAGTTCGTTCTTCATGTTCTATCTATATGCGGCGCCAGCTGTACGAATGGGTGCTTTACAACGACTCAAAGTAATCCATGCAGCGACTCACGATACCATCGGAATGGGAGAAGACGGGCCAACTCATCAACCCATCGAGTTGGCGGCACTCTTTCGATCCATGCCAAATCTGCTGTACATCCGCCCTGCAGATAGTGAAGAAACAGCCGGTGCCTGGATTGCCGCCATCGAAGCCCAAGATGCGTCGTCCATCATTTCAACCTCGCGACACAAAGTGCCACAGCTCAAACAGACACGCCGAGATGGCGTTGCAAAGGGCGCCTATGTGATTCAAGAAGACGACGATGCTCAACTCACACTCATTGGCGTCGGCGCAGAATTGTCGCACGTCTTAGATGCCGCCGTCGTGCTGCGAGAGACAAAGGGCATTCGATGCAGAGTAGTCAGTTTCCCGTGCCAGAGGTTGTTCGAGAGCCAATCTTTGGATTACAAGAGAAATACTTTACGGAGACACCGCAACATCCCAGCAGTTGTGGTAGAGCCATACGCACCTAACGGTTGGGAAAGGTATGCGGACGCAAGTATAAGCGTGAGACGATTCGGACACAGTCTTCCAGGTCCTGAGGCATACAAGTATTTTGGCTTCGATGTTGATAGCATTGTGTCCAAGGTGTCGGATTATTGGATGAGAATTAGTCAAGATGAAATTTTGAGACGAGAGTTTGTCGACTTGTAGAGCATATAGCTTCATTGACAATCGGGTAGAACAAAATACGGCATTATAATAGTTTAAGTTGAAGACAGCTTTTTGAAGACAGCTTTTTGAAGACAGCTTTTTGAAGACAGCTTTTTGAAGACAGCTTTTTGAAGACAGCTTTTTGAAGACAGCTTAAACTATTACGCAGTTTGTCACTAGCCAAGAAATTTACTGGTATCGTAAAAGGGTTTATCTGCGAAATAAGACTACGAAACATGATCTAGATAGTAAACATACATTTTTTTTACGCAAAAATACGAATAGGTTGCGTCAGATAGAATCCCGGATCATTGAACCGTAATCCTTGATCAAGGGCAGAAATATCTTCCAATTCGTCTTTCGTCAGGTCAAACTCCGTAACTTGCAGATTCTGCCCCAGTCTCTCGCGATTGTTGGATTTTGGTATAACAGCCACGTTTCTCTGGGTTGCCCATCGCAGCAGTACTTGTGCAGGAGTAACACGATATTTCTTAGCCGCCTTCTTCACCGGCTCCGTATCAAAGAGGAGTGCTGTTACCTTGGCTCTTTTGGAGAAAGCCGGAGGTAGCTCTAAGAAGCTTTGTGGTCCAAAGCTAGAGTATGCTGTTACAACAATGCCGTTCTCCTGAGCCATGGTGACCAGGTCTGACTGCACCAGGTATGGGTGGTGTTCGATCTGCAGCGATGAGATCGGATGGCGTGTGTAGGATAGTATGTCATAGATGGCCTGAGCTTGAAAGTTGGAAATACCAATGCTGCGTGCGATGCCCTGATCAACTACCGTTTCGAGGGCCTCCCAAGTCTCGCGAATTGCGACCTTGTCCAAAGATATGGTTCCTTCTTCGTCCATCCACCATGCCTGCATTATTAACACACTGGAGGTTAATAGATGTTCTCAAAAGGCCGGTAATTTAAGAAGAAAAAACTCACAGGAAACTGCCGAACGGCAGGATCAATATACTCCAATGCACAGGGGAAGTGAATGAGATACAGGTCAATGTACCCCAGACCCCATGCTTCATTCTGCTTTTTTGCCATGGCTAACGCATGCTCTTTTCGGTGATAGTTATTCCATAGCTTTGTGGTGATGAATATGTCTTCACGCTCAACCAATCCCTCATCGATAGCTCGGCGAATACCTTCTCCAGCCTCCTTTTCGTTCTGATAGTCATAGGCACCATCAAAGAGGCGATATCCAACTTTGATTGCCTATGAGAGAAATAGACGGCGTGAGTCAGGTTTCGTATATCTTTTCCTGCATATAGGCACTGGTGTTACTTACATTGTATACTGTCTCTGCTGCCGTTTCTCTGGGAACTTTCCAGAGTCCGAACCCGACGAGAGGCATTTCACGGCCGGAGGCCAGAGTCACAGTGGTTTTCCCCATTTTGCTAATTTGCTTTGTTGCCTCGTCTGTAACTCAAAGTGTTAGGGTACTCCTGAAGAGAGTCATAAAATAGCTTATAGGCTCGTCTTTGAAGGCGTATAACTGCAAACTTCATGCAGCATCTGATTCTCTCGGGTTGCCATTTTCGGCATGTATAGCCACTTCTCTTCTGGCCCAGAAACCAAAGCGTGTGTGCCGTTTCGGCTGAATCATCGCATCACGGATATAGCGTCAAAAGAGAACTTGGGTGTTTCGAATTGCCCTTTCTTCTGCGTTAACCTTTTAAACTATGGGGAACTACTCGATTTCAATTCCTCTTTAAACTGCTTCGTTTCCATCCACGTACAAGAACTCGTCGCCTTTCGCATCGCGTGCATCGCATGTGGGTTGCATCCAGTTTAGTTAATCAATAGCGTCTGGTAGCGTTGAGACCATTTAGCCAGTGACGCCCTGGTGATGACGGCTTATAGCCGTGTTAAATTAACCGAAGCTGTGCCTAAGTCTACTGAAATAGGGAAAAGAAATCACTTCGGTCAGGAAGCAATCATCAGCGCTGTGTCAACGCCCATGCCAGCTTACGGACCATGTTGAGCTCCTCAAGCTACCCGCTGCGTGAGATCGAGAAATTTGCCCGAAACCTCCTTGTCAGGCATCTTGCAATATGTCATGGCGCATCAAGAAACTGAAAGTCCCAATCGCGTGCAGAAGAAGCGAGCGAGAACGGGTTGTTTGAGGTGTCGCACTCGGCGGCGGAAATGTAAGATAAGAGACACAGGTGTTGAGCTCTATGGATCTTCATAGCACATATCGTTCATCACTCAAGGTTCCACTTTCATCTGCGCGCTTGCAATTACTGTCTTTGAATACATGTATGCCTGAATAATCGATCTATGCTTCTGACTCAACAATAGGTGATGAGCATAAGCCTCGCTGCCAGCGTTGTATCGATGCCGAGGCAGAATGCGTCTATGGCCCGCGCCTCTCATTTTTGCAGAAGAACGCTTTTACTCTTTCTTCTAACAGTCGAAATGATACTTCGCCAAGAAAGCTGGGCGGTCCTCCAAAATACTCCAAAGTCCAGGTCAATGACTCCTCTGCTCTCTTTCTAGACTTCCATACTAACGGAATACCAAATAGTTTGTAGATAATAGATCTGCCCAGCAGAAAGAGGCCGGTCGGAATGAAGAGAGTCAAATTTCCATTCCGTCTCCTCTTTCTGTCGAAAGGGAAAGCAATGATGCCTATAATGATTCACCTCCGAATAACAACCCGGCGGCGACTCCAAGCACATCTATTGAGGAACAGCAAGGCCTTTACCTAGGTTCTGATAACCTGTATCACGATTACGGCGGAAATTTCGAGAAAGATCAAGATGCGCAAGCACAAAATGATGCCACGTCACACCTCAATGGAGACAGTCAGGACCGAGATATAGGAGGAATAAGACAGGGAGACAGTTATGAGATTGCTCTGGATGTACTGATGACTCTTGGAACGGGAGATCCAGGTGTGGATATAGATACACCTACTCCCATAGCTCCGGTTCTTAAGGACATCGAAGAGATCAATTTGTCATCTCCGCCATCAATACTAAAGAGCATCGATGATATTGGGCCAATCAGCGCCCAAGCCGCAAATCAAGTCTCCCGTGGACGAACGATTGAGCTTCTGAGGCATTACAGATATAAGATTGCACCATGGGTAAGAAAGGACTCTTTTATCTACCATTTACAATAAGATTCTAATAATTCTCTGATATCAAGCTCGATATGTGTGATATGGGGCAGACCTTTGGTCTCGTTATTCCGCATCTTGCAATGAGATCCGGCATGTTATTCGATGCACTCTTAAAGTTATGCGCTACTTCATATTCAGCTACTTTTTACTCCTCGACGTCAACCAACAGTCCAACAAGCGACTCGAGTCATCTCGTGTATCCTATTGAATATCATCTTGAACATGCAAAGATGTGGGAAGTCAAGCTCTGGTCAGTGCTAACAGCCGCGGAGGGCTTCCTCGTCGACCCTCCTAAATCATGGGATAACGCACTGGCAGGGAACAATTTTTTGCACATCGTCTATACACAGATGGCAGAAAATAGTCCATTCCGAGTACTGAACGAGTGTATGTTTTGGTTGCTTGCGAGATTCAGTGAGTGAAAACCTTGTTTGCAGGTTGACAAATTTGCTGATAGTCGTAGGTGTCTCTATTGCTTTGCTAAAAGCAACCACTTCTACCATCAATAGCAGCCTGCTAAGAAATCTACTTGAGAGCTCCCCTGGTAAAGGACGCAAGTCAGGGCACATCAGCCTCCATTTCGCGCATGAACCTCTTGTTTTATGCACCGAAGTGCTCGATTTCTCATTTGGAGATGAAGAAGTAGCAAGAAGTCTCAATGCCGAACCAACAAAACCCCGAGCGGTTCGTTGGAAGTCTATTGTTGACAATCTCAGTGATTGGTATACAAACAGACCCTCTACATTCCGTCCCGTTATCGAAATCAGCAACGACGAATTCTCATTTCCAATCGTATACTTCACCAGCGGTGCAGCGACATTTGCGAATCAGTTATACCACACCGCAATGATGCTAATACTAGCTCATAAACCGAGGACACTGCAGCTTGATCAGCGTCGTTCATCATCATTATCGCAGTTGTGGCATGCGCAAAGGATATGCGGTATCGCCATCAACAATAATCGAGGTGAATGTTGGGACCCATGTCTCCTCACATCGTTCTATCTAGCTGCTCAGAGAATGACGCACGAGAGTCAGCAAAGAGAAATACTGCTGGGATTTAAGCACATTAGCAGTTTGGGTTGGCGTACTGATGGCTTTATTGAGCGCCTGAATCAAGACTGGCACACTTCAGGGCTTCTCGGATGAGGATAGACTGGTGCTCTTTCAGTAGCATGTACAGTTTCATCCAGTTTGGGTATTTCGCGGCTGTTCCAGAAGAACATTTTTTGAACGAGAAGACTTCCGGACAGAATACCCCCATGCCGCTCCTAGATCGGGAATTCTCCAACAGGTTCCCCATCCCGTCTTGGACTCAATGTCACGAATCAGATCCACGAGTATCGTATGCTCTGATTCATGGCTAAGCAGTCTACCTGCCAACCACAGTGGCTGAATCGCATTATTTAGACATCCATGGTGAGGATTGGTCAAAGAAATTCCGCAAATGCGCTTCGCGTGCCAGATAGATGATCCCGTCAAACCAGGTATAGGGCTGTGTCTCCTGGGCATCGATCCGAGCATCAAAATACAAGCAGTGTGGTATAACTGGTTGGATGAAATAGCTGCCCAGTGAAGATAAAAAATTTGCGGGAAGGGCTGCGATTCTATAGTTTGTAGCGGAACCAGCTCATTGGGACGGTCATCTAACCAGGCCTGTAGATCGTCCCATAGTCTGGTCCAGCGTGATGAAAATACTTCGGCGGTGCATCCATTGGGGGCACCTAATTCATCATGATGAGTGCGGTCTGAAACAAGTTCGCAAGCTTTGGCGCAGAGATAGACTGCATAGTTGGCGTGCATATCGGGACTTTGTATGTTCTTAAAAGTCTCACGAGCATTTGACTCGTCCGTGCCTGGAGGTAGCCAAGCAATAGGGGGGATTATGGTGCTTTGAGTCCCGTCCGATATTAAAGCACCGCATAAATCTAAATCATATGCTCAATTAGATGATTAGTGAAATAGTGAAAGGAAAAACGGTAAACGTACCCATCCTCGCGTGACACCAAAAGACAGCTTGAAGCAATCCGCCACAGAATCCATGGACTTCGAATGCGTCGAAAAGAGCAGCGCATCCTTCTAGATGGCGGCGCCAATCTCTTGCACTTGCAGACATCATCTCAAGGCAGCAAAGTATTACACAGATGGGAATTACTGCTTGGTCATGAGCCTGCAGAAGTGGCGTCAGAAGCCGGATCGCCTCTTGATACAGCTCCAGGCTGTCAAAGCTCTTCTGAGGAGTCGATTTTCCATCTGAAGCCTCTTTGCGTTCTTTCTGTCGCGCTGATATAGCCAAAATTGCACATAACAGAGCGGGAGAAGTCTGCGCGAGAAGAGGTACTTGCATCCCGAATGCACGAGAGCTATCAAACATATCGAGCTACCCTCAAGTCAACACAAGTTCGGAAAGGGGCTCAGTGGGAGAGCTTACCCATGGCGCAACTTGACTAATGTAGTTCTTGAGGTATTCGATTCGCCTGCCTTGTGATAGGAGATGTGAGGTTGTGTGCTGTGCCGACGACCGATCTTCGCCACTATGAGTGTCCAACCCAGATATGAAGCTGTCGCCGTGAGCTGGAGATGGTGGTGCAGTTTGTGCAGTGTTTAGCATCAACCAGCGCAATTCTTCTCGAGACGCAACATAGCCTGGGTCGAGCACGAAGTCGTCGAGCTGCCAGCCCGTTGAGGGGGTTGAGAACTCTTCAATGGAAAACCTGTATTCAGCATCTCGTGAGTCTTCATCTGCACCACTAGATCGACCCTGGCCATCTAATGTGCTCCTCGGAGAAAACAGCGGAGATGCCATTTGAGAGGCGAGCCTTTCGGCCTCATTTAGAAAGCTATTGCTGTGATCTCAATATTTCTTGATGGGCATTCAAGAAAGTGAATGAGAGCGAGTACAGGCTAAAAAGAGAGGCTGCTGGTGGCCTGTCCAATCTGCTGTCGTGATGAATAAGCCCTACCGAAACAGGCAACTCTACGCACCATGAAGGGAAGAGCCAGTTGTACCATCCATAGCAGATGAAAAAAAACATTTACATGCATAAAATCACTTTTTATTTCTCTAAATTCTCTAAATTCTCTAAATTCTCTAAATTCTCTAATTGCATCTATACTATGAAAAAGAATTTATTCTCAGCCTTACCAATCGTACGAAATTTTGGTATCAACTCCCGGGGCGAGAAACTTAAACTTGTCTTCGACCCCCTCCTCTTTTACCACCTCTTCTATTTCGCTTTTGCCCTCCTTAAACAAGCTCCATCCCTCGAAATGCAACGGTATAACAATATCTGGTTCGATATCGCGCATGAGCTGCACAGCTTGCTTACTATCCATCGTGATTTGAAGCATGCCGCCCCCGGGTTTGGGAACCATGGCCTTGCCGAGACTGAACAGGGCAACAGAAACGTGAAACCGTTCTTTAATCTTGGCGAGCTCTTCTATGTAGACAGTATCGCCAGAGAAGTATATGGCATTTGGCTTTCCGTTTGATGTACCAAAATGCTCTGCGGTGACGATAAATCCAAGACATTCGCCGCCCGGAAGATGCTGACAAGGCGTTGCTGTAATTTCATACCGCGGCCCGCCACCGATTTGGAGGCTCACCGTTTCCCATGGCTTCATCCCGCGCACTGCTTTTCGTGGAGCAAGATTTCGCGCTCCATCAGTGGTGGTGAAGACGTGCCGCCCATTGAGAAGTTGACGGCCCAAATCGTCTAGATTGTCTTTGTGATCTTCATGGCTCAGAAGAATGAGATCAATCGGTGGCAGATCTTCGAGACCAAGGGGCGGCTGGTATGAATTGACCAGTTTAGCGCCCGATTTGCCAATCCATTCGGTGCCCTCCGGAGAGAAATAAGGGTCGGTGAGGATGGTGAGGTTGTCGAGCTCAATGATGGCAGTTGCCGTACCAACATGGGTGACGCGAACTGAAGAGTTGAGATTTGTGATGGTCATCTTAGCAATCTTCGCTTTGGTGGAAGGCCGAAAGTACGGGAGCTTATTCTCAAGGATTCGTCAAGTTCCTGTCAGAGGTTGAACAGATGATTTATGACAATGGTGGCTGACAAAGTTTCTGGATTCTTTTCTCTGTGAGCTGGACGGACATCGCCTCTTTATAAAGAGTTACAGGAAGATTCTGGTTTATTAATATGAATATGGGCTACATACGTATAGCCGCCCCGTAGCCGTCCGCCACCTTACGCCAATTCAACGCAAAGTGCTCTTAATCCGGTCACTTGATTGAGTGACGAGTGTTTTAAGTCCGATACATTAGTCAACCGCATTATTCTGATGTGTAGACAGGTTTTATGTGCCACTACTGGCCCGACTGGTACCTGGAATTTAAAAATGCCTAGCCGGTTCTTCATTTATTCCACTACTGGGCTGCACAATTCAGCAAAAACTATTTCTAAGTCGATCCATACGCATAAAGTTTCCACTATGGAATGGTTACAACATCTAGACTAACTTCTTCAGAGCTCTCCTGTGAGAAATTGTGCCCGTCCGTAGCCGAAGCTCCAGTCCTCTTTAGCGTTGGGAGTAACAGAGATGAGCAAATCATTGCCCTTTAACCCACACTCCTTTTCCAGCCTCTCTCCCAAAGCTGCATACATCGCCATCTTCTGATCGCGATTCCTTCCTTGCGCAAAAATGTGGATGCTGACAATATCATCCGTACGTTCAAAGCCAAGACCAGTATCCCAACAGATGACCTCCCATGGCTCGTGCTGGCTGAAGATCTGTAAAATATTAATACTGCATCTGTATAAAGCTCGGGTATAATTCACAAGCCTGGTATCTATCCCTTTCGGGAGCAGCGAATGTATCGATGAGGACTTGTTGGATAACATCTCCCATCTTCTTTAGTTGTTCGGGGCTTCTGCGTCCCCTGATGACGTCAATCTTGACAAAAGGCATAATTGATGAAGTAGTAATAGTTCGGAGATTTAGGTAATTTAACTTTAAGATACTGAAATATTACTGGTAACGTATTCCAAGTTGATACCTGCAGTATTTATCCTTCATTGATATCATCCGCTTGTTTCGCTAAGATAGCTTCCCTCGACTATTTTACCGACACATCATGACGGCGTTCTACGGCAGCATAACTGGCCACCCATTTTTCATGAAAATTTGCAAATCTCAATCAACTTCTCCATTTTGGTGCAATATAGAACAGCTATTATTCAATATTGGTCGTTGTCAAGTTTACAACTGCCCATTATAGTATACTAAAGAACTTGCATCTCTTGTTTTACAGGACAGATGCAAACTACTGATCTGAGCAGCGCCCGATTCTAATCTCCTACTAGTTGACACCATTCTACTTTGGGGCAGTAGATCCCTTGTTTCCATCCTCTCTTACAGGACTCTAGCTCTGTGCTAGTCAGCATTTTTGGAGCTATATCGCCCTATTAATCACTTGCACGTACTGTAAACAGAGTCTCAGTAAATGGCTGTGTGGGTTCAACATCACAAGGCAGCACAGAACTCCAAAGGTCTACGTAAAATTGAAAGGCATTTGTAAGCCAAAGATTCAGTATCATAATTTTTGGCTTTGCTTTATTTTAGAATGATATTTAATAATCCGGCAGTTGATATTCGGCGAAAGGATTTGTCAGAGAGCGGCGTAATACTCCTCATGCGAGACGAGACTCACAGTCCAAACAAGACTTTTTGAAGAAGCATCGTTGAGCTCTCGTAAAGCATTTGTCAACGGGAAATCTCTTCATTCGTCGTATGACACTATCTCCAGGCAGGAGAAAATTTCATTCTTGAGCACCATTGACGTCTTGACAACCTTTCCGCCATGGAATCGACACCATCAATTGCAGACTTACTAGAGCGTAACAAGTGCGTATGCCCACCATTTACTTCAACTGAAACGGAAGACTTTAACAATTTTCTAGAATAGTAGCAGAGAATTACAAGCCGTCACCGTATCACACAGAACCTGGTTACGGCAAAAATCCATCTTTGATCAGTAAAGGCCCTCTTTTTTTCTCGAAGCCTGAAATAAGTTCTCTGATGATATAATGTCAATTAACTTACATGGAAATTTTCCAGTTACATGCAATGATCGCCGGTGCATACCGGAGCGATTCTTCAATATTCAACGTGGTGGTAAGAAAATGAATGCAACAGTAAGAAATGGCTATTAACAGTTGGCTCATAGAAGTTGTTGTTCACCGAAATGCTGGTGGCAGCGTTCAGCACGCCCTCAGAGATATTATCATCCTAGATGAAGTCTTGGGCCTCAAGGAAATAGCTATTGTCCACCACACCGACTGTGGCACCCTTCGATTTAGAGATGAAGACGTACGGAAGTCTCTCAAAGCGAAGACCGATCCTAAACACTGGCCGGAAATTGATGCGATGTATATAGGTGCAATTACAGAGTATGTTCTAGGACTGCTTTTGAAGGTGATGATGCGATAACGTTAACCATTGTCATAGTGTTGAACAAAGCGTTCGAGATGACCTTGAATGGCTCCGAACAACGCCTTTTGTGAGGAAGGATTTGGTTGAACGAACATTCGGCTTCATTTTTGACGTTAAAACAGGGTTAGTTAGTCAAGTGTCGTCCAGTAATCAGGCATAGCAAGAGAGGGAGAGGACAATTTTGAATGAGAGTGACCATGGGTCTTTGCGATGAAAGCACTCATCATGAAACGATACGTTGAGAACAATTAGGTATAAGAATCAGGTTGTTTTTATTCATAGTAGAGTTGTTTGTGTAGAATTTCCTACTTTTTTTGTGTGACGATTTTATCTGAGCCCGTTCAGACAAAGAATACTCATAAAAAATTGAGCATTCAGTCATCTTCAGCATCGCGAGGATCATGCTCCTTCCAAAACTTCTCATAGTCGTCCCAACTCTGCGAGGGGAAAGCGAGTGGCACAGTGATAGGGCCAAACGGAATACCAGCCTGTTCAAACTCTTTGAGGCGATCTTGAGTCGCTTTTCTGGTCTTGTTGACGCTGTACACCGAAATTCGGTGACAAGAATGCGTAACATGTAAACCCCAATTCCAAGCTGTGCGAATGAAAGTCGGCTGGGTGTTCAATGCACTATCCCAACAACGGCACACAATCTCAACCCAGCCCTCGACGTCGCAAGGAAGCTCGTACTCCCACGTGCGCCATGTCCACTTCCTCTTCTTGGAGAGATTTTCGAGCGGTATAGTGTACCAATTGAATCCGCCGTCTGCCGACAGTTCAACACGTTCAGGCCATCGACCTCCGCCGGAATAAGCCCAGCCCTTGCAGCGGATCTTGCCGTTGTGGATGCAAACTTGTTTGGTCCACGGCGACATGATTGCAGAACTAACTGGCATTTCTTGGATCTGAATACCATCCGTCAACTTGAAGTTGTGCTTTCCGACCTGCTGGGGGAAGTAGAGGTATTCTTGGCTCTGGACTGGTGCTCGGGAAGGTTCCTTGATGGCCTTGATGCGGTAGAGCCATTTGACACTTCTAGCTCCAATGTATCCAAAGACAACAATGCGCAGGGGATATCCATGAATGGCAGGCAAAACCTCGCCATTCATTTCCCACGCAAGCATGACTTCGTTTGCTTTCACCTTGGACCATGGAACACTAACGAGATAGTTCATAACCTTGTCATCCTTGAAATAGGTGTCGGCGCCATAGAACTCCAAATGCTTAGCCCCATTAATCAAGCCTCCGCATTCTTTGATGACCTTCTTAAGACTGATACCAACATATGAAGCAGTGCCAATAGCACCCTCAGCCCAAGGTGCTTGAGGCACTTCGTCACCCTGGCCAGGGTATAGGAGAATCTGCTCAATACGGCGGGTTCCGGAGCACTGAATGGTGATGGTCTTCTCCATACGCGGAAACCTAGACTCGTCCATAAGGTCGTCCAGCGTGTATTCACGAGGCTTTGCGACAAGACCATCCATCGTGAAACTGAACTTGTCCTTGTCGATGAGCGGAATGCCTCCGTGGTTCCTCACGAAATGAAGCGAATTAGGAGTGATCGCCTTGTCGGTTACAAGACGCTTGGGCGGCTCTCCATTATATGGGAACTGCAAAAGATGGAGCATATCGGGATGCTTCTCCTTGAGGACCGTGGCCCATGAATCGTCAGGAATATCCGTCAGTTCACCACCAACGGCATGATGCCACATCTTCCAATGAGTGCCCGGAAGAACCGGGTTGGTTCCGGGAATGGGACCAAGCTGGAATTCTGGGTTAGGTGGAAAGGTCTGCGAGGTCAGAATCTTGTGCGCGGCAGCCTTTTTGTCAGGATAATTCTCCCACTCGACGAATCTTGATTTGGCGCACATATATAGTCAGTATAGATGCGATCCAGGCCATGGAATTTATTCACAGGACCTCTCTCTGATAAGATTTTTAAGATGACTTACCCAACCCATCCCTCGCGCTCTCTGGTAAAGAGCTTCTCTGGATCACCCACGGCTTTGATAGCCTCTTCATTCTTGCTCAAGGGCCCAAAGGTCTGAATAGTCAGAGGCTTGTTTTTGGGCCCGGTCATGTCAAGGACTGGGAGCTCAGCTCCAGCAAGTCCTTGCTCAATCTTCCACTCATCTGGTCGATTTGTGGTCTTCATTTCTAAATCAGGCATAACGGCCTCGATCTTTTCAACTTTTTTCAGAAGGGGCCCAGATGAGCAGTGTGTATTAATTATGCTTGGGATAGAATCGTCACTCTGCCGGCCAAGAAGCGACAACTCGATCTTATACCTAATTCACCCGCCAAAGCGAGAATGTGCGCCCAGAAACAAGCTCCATTGCTTCAGCTATCAATTAGCTTTCCATGACCAGAGCTTCACAATCTGCCAATCTACGAGCGAACGTCATGGCGCATGTAACACGATGATCGACCCAATCACCTTGAACGCAATTCGAGATATACTTTTCTGCATGTGGTGGCTTGACGAGCTCCAAGCTCTTCACCCGTCCGGATTGGTGTGAAATCCACGTTTCGCGTCAGACCTGCAGGCCAGCTTGCAAACTAGTCGAACTCTGCGTTGTTAGTTTCATCGCCAATTCTGTCTGTGGAAGACGCGGGACGCGAGGCGGGGGAGCTCAGCCATCAACCTTCATCGACAGCGATGATGAAATTTCGAGCTGAGACTGACGGGTTACAGAATGTGCTGCATAAAATTACAAAAGCCAGCATATCTGGCGGCCGTACGATGGGAGACCTGGAGATGCTGACCATCCCTAGATTCATGGTCAATTGAAGTTGAAATATTGACAAATACCATGGTAAGATGCACCCTACGCACCTTTTGTGACAAAATCTGGACTTTGTGCTAAATAATTCAAGTCTTTCTCTAACCCAACTGCCACTTTGGCCAATGGTAAGGGACCAATTGGGGCATTCTTCTAACTACCAATTGTTTATCTTATGTTAACTGTGAATCTCTAGGCCAGCCAGCCAATCCAGGCTCCGTGCAGCAAGTCCGCTATGGACAAACCAACGGTGGCTTGGTCCTCTTGAGCGATACCTATACTATCGAAGTCCTCGCTCATTTTGCACGTGAACGCATTCCAGAGCGGTAGGAGAAGCTTCATTGCTACAACACAAGCACATGGCTCATTCTCTTTCACAGGAGCGTGCACGCAAAGGCTGCTGGTGCCTTTGGCGAGTTTGAAGTCCTCGAAGACATCTCTGATTTGACCGATGCAGACTTTCTCACTGGCATTGGAAAGAAAACCAAGGTTCTGACTCGCATCTCCACAGTCGGTGGTGAAAAGGGATCCAGCGATACAGTTCGAGATGTTCGAGGTTGGGCAACAAAGTTTTATACTGAGGAGGGTGTCCAGGATTTCGTCTTCAATGACCTTCCTGTCTTCTTCATCCGGGACCCGATCAAGTTTCCTTCCATGAATCGAAGCCACAAGAGACACCCGCAGACCAATATTCCTGATAACTCCATGTTCTGGGACTTTCACAAAAACAACCCGGAGGGTATTCACGCTTTGATGCACTTGTTTGGACCGCGTGGTATCCCAGCTTCCCTGAGGAACATCAATGGCTTTAGTGTTCACACTTACACCTTAAACAAATCTGTGAGTCAGGTCTTTGATCTGATATGGCACTCATTCAAAAATTAACAATTTATAGGATGGAAGCTACGTCTATGTCAAGTGGCACTTCAAGCCCGACGATGGGATCAAGAATATGGACCCAAAGGTCGCCGTCCGCCTCGCTGGCGAAGACCCAGACTACCATGTCAAAGATCTCTTCAAAGCCATCGAGAAGGGCGATTACCCAACCTGGTCGGTGTGCATCCAGGTCATGAAACCAGAAGACGTCAAGTCGGCGCCCATTGACATTTTCGACTGCACTTATACTTGGCCATATGAGAAATATCCTCTGCGTCGCGTTGGCCGCTTGACCTTGAATCAAAATGTTCGTGACCGTGACGCATATACTACTCCATACTCAGAATACTGATGTTACGTCTTCGTAGCCGAGCAATTATTTCCAGGACATCGAACAGGCCTGCTTCTCGCCGTCTAACATGGTCCCAGGCATCGGGCCCTCCGCAGATCCGGGTATGTACTCTTTTCGCTCTCGTTTGAGAATTCCGTATCATGGCTAATAGAGATAATTGTTCAGTCCTTCAAGCACGCATGTTCAGCTACCCAGACGCCCATCGCTACCGTGTTGGCCCCAACTACTTCCAGCTCCCACCCAACAGGCCAACTAACAAGGTGTACGCACCATATGTGCGAGATGGCCCCGGAACCATCAACGGGAACTACGGGGGTGATCCTGATTACGTCTTCTCAGAACTCCGTCCAGTTTCCAAGAGCGCTAGGTTTCAAATGCCGCTTCAAGAAAAATGGAACGGACAAGTAACGCCTTTTACGACGTCGGTTACCGACAAGGACTTTGAGCAGGCTCGCAAGCTTTGGGAGATTATCTGCAAAGAAGAGAACGGCAAGGAGCAGCTCCTTCATAACATCCTTCCCACGCTGGTGGATATTCCGGCAAGCCTGAGGAAAGAAGTGCTGAGTAAGTCATATGAATGATAACCCTTATCTATATTCTTACACAATTCTGACGCTTGTGAAGACTACCTTGGACGTGTCGACAAGACCTTGAAGGATTGCCTTGAGCAAGGACTTAAGGGCAAATAGTGCGAGTCACTACCTGAAAGAAAAATTGGCCTGGAATATTGTTATGCATATCACAGAATGATGGATTGACTTCATACCTATTGTAGTCTAGGACCAAGTGAAAAATAAATTCAAGTATGATGAAGCGTGAAAGTTTAATACTTCTAGTGAATAAGTGAAGGCTGTTAATGTGGTACTATGAATAAGCAAATGAACTGTTCAAACTCCAAGCATCATTTACCAAAATGCAATTACGCCAGCCCGCCGATTCTCCTCCCTTCTCGTGATATCGTTAATCAGTCAGCTCGTTGAAGTTGAAAGGCGCAACACCGTTTACATTCCTGTTCTCCCGAGCTCTTTACACCAGAGTCTAAACTTCCACTTCTCAATCATTGATCTTTGCTGCCCATCCTGTACTCCCGCTTTGTTTATTCCTGTCGCAGTTTCGCACCACATAGTCTTTGTATTGACGACAGCTCTGGCTACCCAGATAGTTTGCGCCATAAACAGTCCTCCTGGAAGGTCATTTTCCTTGCATGGAGTAGCAGTATCGGAATCCAGTCCCATGGCCAGTCTAGCCAGTGATTGACACTCCAACTCAATGTGAGGATAGCGAGTTGGCGCGAGGGAAGTCAGTAGCCGCCTCTTTAGCATACTGCACATAGTATGAGTACCTAGCAAGACTTGCCACGGCATGTACCTTCTTGATGAGTCCCAGTGAGCAGCAAACTTTGCTGCCATCAAAGGACTATCTTTTGCACAAATTCTCTCTGCTACAGATTTGTGTCGTCGCAGTAAGCCTGCCCACATGTCCAAGTGATCAAGATCCCTCTGAATACGCTTGATTGTCGTTTCGATGATGGATTGCCGGGGCTCGATGGGTGCCAGGACCAAATCTGTGACCAGCTTGAATATGTTTGGCCCATAGACGAGACTGGACCACAGTTCATGCATAAGCTCGCTCTGTGTTGAGGGTATCGATGGGTCGTTGCAAATGGCGGCGCGAAGGACTCTTTTCCATGGCTCTTCGGCCAGGAAACAGAGTTTGTTGCTGAGGAATGCTTCGGTGACCTTGAAACACGACAAGTCAATCATACGCCTCTTTCTAACTATGCCACCAGCAATGATATGTAGACCTACTATCGGGCCAATATGGGCCATGAACAAAGCCAATTCAAAGTCTGTCTGAAACCTATCGGGGCCACGAAGCTGAATCAGCCGGGCAGCGCCTCCAGCATGACATATCCAAGAATTCATCTGCGGTTGAGGATTCAGAAGCTATACAAGATAAGAGAATATGGCAGGTTAGCAAAGGGACTAATGCGACATCAGTCGAATGTTGGTCTCATCAGCGCCGTACCTCAAAGATTCCAAGCAACTCTGTGGCGTACAACGTCTCTTGAGACATTCGAAGTGCGTCGTCATCAATTGCTTTTTGAACTTCATTCAGAGCCTTAGCGTAGTGACAAAATACTATTCCATCTTCTTCCTCAGAAGCACAGTTCGCGACCGAAGTCCGCGTAATCTGGTTCAATCTTGCCACAAGGCAATCGACGGTGTAAGTCAAGGCGGCGACCTTTCCATATCGACTAGGCAAATAGGATAGTAACCTTCGGCTCTGAAGATGTGACAATGGCGATGTAGAAAGCACATCTCCAGCCCGTCCGGAATTGGAGGTGAAGCAGGAGATGCTGGCGAATCCGAGATGCAAGCTTGTTAAGGGCGCTATCAGTTCCAAGATGGGGAACCCGGTATTCATTTTTCGTTCAACGTCATTGACAAATATCGTATGGAGGCGTACAATTTGCTTCGTAGCTTGTGTGTCGTCGTCTACCGCTTTCTTCTTCTTCGACTTATGCTTGCGTGGCTGGCTTTTGCCTCCTTTCACAGAGGGCTTGGAGCCATGGCAAAGAATTGGATTATCTTCTCCGCGTAACACGGACTCTGGATACTGGAGGACATTCCCGCGATAATTTTTCCTTTGTTTTCTTGTGGTGGCCACATTCTTCATGGCATGGCGCCGGATCAAGGTGCGCGACTTGGGATCCTGAGGGACTCTGTGATTGTCGTAACTCACCCAAGAGAAAGTTGCGGATCCCTCCATTCTCACTCGATGTCGAGGATTTCTAGAAATTGAATAGTTGGCTGTCAGTTAGGATCAATTGCAATGATGCCAACCCGATTTGGACACATGTTCTTCAGAGAAATACAAGGGAAGAGTCATAAATTCGTCTGAAATGGGGAATGGGAGCTACAACTACTCGACTTTGGCAATTCGTCTGCCAAATCATCGAAAAGAGGATTACACATCTCGGAGTTGGAATTCTAGGCACTATACTATTTTAGGGCAGTAGATGCCTTGTTGTGTTTGTCCACAGTGTAAGCCACTCAGACTCTAGACGACTTTTGATGATTGGACTGCTGATATAGAGGAACGCAGTACCCAAAGTTTAAAGATGAAGCTTCCACATTGATATATACCAAAAAGGTATTCAGCTTCCAAAAAGGTACTAAATACGAAATGATTTGAGATTCGATAGGTGATACGCAATTAATATCAGAGGTATCCACCGAGTCTCGTATCAATCAATTACATGTTCTGAACTGCATTTTCATCCAGCATTCCCGGGTAGGCGACCACTCGTGAGAGCTTCAACTAACCTCAAGTTCCACGTTCGTGTAGCTTCAAAGACCATTAAAAATCGAGAAATGAGAAACTATATTAACAAATTTGTTTCTTTCTATTGACTGCACTCGTTCTCCCGACTTATCCAGTTCGACGAAGCTTCTTCTTCGCTCTACACTACCGTCTACTAGGTATATCGGAATGGCCGTACGATTGCAATCTGTTCTGACAGCACTACTGGAAGGATCAATGAGATAAGGCTGGCCCGTCGCATTGATGTCATCAGCCCAAACTTGCCTCATTTCAAACAATTAATTAGCTGTTGTAGATCGGCAGCGGACTTGTTGAGCTTCTTGTGCTAGGGGGGCTGTTAGCTTGGGGCGTCGTGTCGCTGTCCAGAGACTCCAAACGTATCACCACAGTCGCACAAATGCCGGGCACAATCCCTGTCTGTATGCGACAAGCAAGCAGCAGGACAGACAGTCTATCGGGATTGTCCAGCTTGTACTTTAACGGCTACCTTATTTATTTGCCTACCTACCAATGCACAGCTTCGGCATTGAACACAGGCTGCATGTAACTATGGACTTACAGTAGCGTGCAGCTCAGCTATCACGACGAGAAAAGAAAGAGGCTCGGAATGGGGTCAACTTGCAGCCGGCCCGGACCCCTACAAGCTACAAACCCTTCCAAGCTCTAACTCGTCCAATCCTTCTCCACCAGACTACGAGAAAAAACAAATTTTGGAATCCCTGCCCACGCCACCAAATCAGCGGCCGCGACTCCGTCTCCAGCCCGTTCGCGCGGCCGAATCAGTGCTTCGATCGCTTCTCCAGCCGCAGGGGCTCTCGTGGGATCCCGGTCCCTGCAGCAGCAGCCAAATCCGTGATCCCGTGCCTGCAGCCAGAAACCTGAGGTGATGATTGATTGGTGTGGGCCGGGCTGTCGAAAGGGGGCCGTCTATCAATTGTCAAATCTCCCGTGAGCCCGCTAACAGGCAGCTATTGAACGATTGTGCTGCTCTGTTCTGCTCTGTTCCGTTCCTTTCTGTCCTTGTTCGTTCGTGATTGCTGCTGGCTGGCTTTTTGTCTTGTGCTTTGTGCGTGTCTTTTGTGCCGCGTGTCTCAGACACACAGCAGGCGTGAATATCTCCTCGACCTTCTGCAGATGCGTGAGTGCAACCTGGATACACAATTTGCATTTGCATTTGCGTTTGCATCTGCATCTTGAATAGACGACGCAGCTAACGTTTGGACTGTGCTAGTCTCCGGTCAAATCTCCCAGCCTTCTTTGTCTCAAGCGCCGCTGAGTTGACGGTCCATGCCCCGAACCGCTCGCTCGTCTCCGCCCTCTTTGTCTTTTGGCTGCATCCGAGCTCAGACTATCGCACGCCTCAGAGCTGAAAAACCAAAAAAAACCCTTCTTTTTTTTTTTTTTTTTTTTTTGTCTCTCGACGGCCCGGGTTCACTGGCATTGGTTGGATTGCCCTGCACCGTGTCCCGTGTGCGAGTGCGAGTGTGGGGGAAAAGGGAATTCATTCATGCACAACCAAGACGCTCACAGACGTTTGTTTGCTGCCGCCGGGGCCAGAAGAACGTGGCTGCGTGCGCCAATTTCACCTGCGTTGCAGCCAGGCGAGACACTCCCGTCGGTCGACATTAGACACTCGCCGTCTCAGGCCCGTTGGACACGTCGCCCTGCGGCTGGCCGCTGCTGCTGCTGCCCACCATGGATCGCACCTCTATAGATACCATGCCCCCTATCCCAACACGCACCCACCGGGTTCACTCGTCCCAGCGCAGCCGCATATCGTCAACGCCCACCTCTGCCGCCCGGAAACGATACGCCATTCCTCCTGGCAGCCCGGAAATCATCTCCAGCCTCATCCAGAGCCTTAGCGCCATTGCCGAGCCTGCCAACCACCACTTCGACAACGGCTTGGTGCCCACGAACCTGTCCCTGCCAACGAGCCCAAATCCCGGTCCCCATTCCAGTTCTAGGCGCGGCTCTGGCAGCTTCGGTGTCGACTACGGAGCGTACAAGCAGCGTTCCCTTCATGAAAACTACACTGAGCCCGTATCCCTCGACGATCTTGCTGCTAGCCCGCCTGTTGTCCGCACCTCCAAGCCCCCGAGCGGCTTCTCCCCCTTGACCGCTCCGCAAAGCCCTCGGAGCCACCGCAGCACCAGCCGTGAGAGTGGCTTCAGATCCTTTATACGTAGCGCCGCAACCTCTCGCCCCTCGTCAACGGGCTCCTTTGCATCCAAGAATGATGATGCCCGCAGTATCGGAAATCTATCTGTAGAACGTGGCTCAGCGCCGCATCCGGAGCTTAGGCCACGCCGGTCACTCGATAGCTGGGGGAAAAAGTCTAGCCGGGGCAGCAAGGTGCTCAGCTATATGGGCTCTAAAGAGCACCTTCGTGAGCCACAAATCGATAGGAGACGAGCTTCTTCTACCCCAATAGTTGGCGGCAGTTCAGCAGCAGCAGGGAGTAGCATTCACAGCGCAAGCAAGACGGATAATTTCTTTGCGGGAGGCGCCATCAACGAGGAACCAGCGCCAATTACTACTGATGATTCCCTACTGGGAGACGGCCTGCATCACATCCCGGTTCGCGATTCGAGCCTGCGCAACTCGAGCTCAAGTAGAAAACGAGCCAGCACCCGACGATCAATGAAAGAGGGCGAGGCATCTATAAGTGATAAGATCGTCGAAACCACCGAGTCGGGTTACGGTCGCGACTTTTCGAAAATGAAGCACCGACGCTCAGATTCAGACACCGGCAAGACGTTTTTATACGACGTCGAAGAGATTGCTCCCCCAAAGCTAAGGACAAAGGCATCTAGTACGTATCTGAGTGTGGATTATATCGCAGAAGAGAGACCGGACGAGCTCGAGGACGATGGAGCTCCCTTCCCATCCGTCTCGCAGGGACGCCGACGAGATGAGCTTGATCGTAAAGACCATCGGCTTTCTACCCGTACACACCCCGGCCCCAACGAAGGGCTTCGCCTGAAGCGCAGCAGCTCCAGACTGAAACGTCTCTCTGCGCCGCTCACTCCACAAGAGAACAAACGACCCGAGGAGCCCGCTCAATCTGTCAAGCCCACAGGTTATGAGCGACCCCAATCTGCTGATTCGATTGATGATGCTGTTGAATCATACCTTTGCTCGCCGCGGTTATCCCAGAAAATTCGCCATCCTCAAACCGGCCGAATCATTTCGTTCTCAGAAGTTGGAGACCCGGAAGGATTTGCAGTTTTCTGCTGTGTAGGAATGGGCTTGACAAGATACATTACTGCGTTTTATGACGAGCTGGCGTTGACGCTGAGGCTTCGTCTTATTACACCTGATCGACCTGGGGTGGGAGACAGTGAGCCATATACTGACGGGACAAGCACACCCCTCAGTTGGCCTGGTAAGTTGCGACCCCTCACGACATTGACGCAACCTTGATGCATGAATGCCTGCTTACCGATAGATAGATGATGTATACGCAATTTGCCAGACCCTGAAAATCACCAAATTCTCCCTCATGGCTCACTCCGCTGGCGCCATCTACGCCTTGGCCACGGCTCTTCGCATGCCCCAGCACATCCGAGGCAAAATCCACCTTCTTGCACCTTGGATTCCGCCTTCACAAATGAACGTTTTTGGATCATCACAGGCTAATCCGCCGTCACACACGCTTCCGACTGCCCAGAGAATTCTACGGGTGTTGCCGACCTCTTTCCTCAAGGCAGCCAACAGCAGCTTCATGTCAGCAACCAGTTCATCCATTACAAGCTCTCTGCCAAAGAACCCTCGCCGGACGAAGCGCAAAGCGGGACAGAAGGATGGTAATAGCCGAAATGCCACGCCGTCCACGGACAAGGAGAATGCGAACCAAGCCGCTGATGGCAAGGACTCAAACGGGACACTGGTCAATGACGGGGATTTGGCGGCTGCCAATACCGCTGACGGCTTGGATAAGGCGCTGCCTCAAGTTCCCGCTGGCAGCGACGCGCCCCCAGTTATGGATCCCCTCGCTGAAAAGGAGCGACAACAAACTTATGATATACGACTGACACATGCCATTTGGGAACTTGCCACGACGAATGCGAATCCAGCAGTCGATTTGCTTATCTGTCTGGAAAGACGACATACCATTGGCTTCCGATACGTCGACATTACCCGCCCTGTGATTATTCGCCACGGCAGTAGAGATACTAGAGTACCGGTCGAGAATGTCAAGTGGCTGGGCAAGACCATGCGCCGGTGCGAAGTCCGCGTTCTCGAAGGAGAAGGCCACGGACTGATGGCAAGCGCCACGGTCATGGGCTCTGTGTTGATGGAGATTAGCAGGGAGTGGGAAGACTCGGTGAAAGCAGCGGCAAGTGAAGGAAAGGAGCGCGAGAGAGGACGACGAGGAGCCCCAAGCAAGTAGCTTGCGCAGTCTTTGACATATACTTCTTTTGATCGAGATATAACTGGTCATATATTGAGAGGATTTTTTTTTACTTCAAGTTTAATACTATTTAATTGGGAGGATGGAATACGGAGTTTTTATGGCCGTTGCTAAGCCTTGGGACCGTTTTGGATTTAGAGATTTCCGGCGGCAGATGGCAAAGGAAGAAGAGAAGATAGATACCCCCGAGAGTGGAGAGGAGGAGCAAAGCGAAGCGAGCACCTATGAGAAATATGCGATGACCATCTTGTTTTACTATTTTTTGTTCTTATTATCTACGGATTGCCATCTTTATGTCAGGTCTGAAATGCATCAGCGTACATGGCGATATACTTCTTGTTAATAATATTTCTCTTCTTGCTCACATAAATGAATTTAGACGCTGTGCTTGAGTTTCACCTGGATTTTGATGATTGTTTATAGACATGATCATGCCAATGAATGCCGCGACTCGTTCAACCCTTTAATTACACCGTGTAGATAATGTTCATCGAGACTGATTAGATGGTTCATTCCCTCTTACGCATCAGCCAACACTCTCGTCCAGTCAAACTTCCTCCATCCCTTCTTAAACCCATCAACCCTATTATCAAGCTTCGCCCACCGCCCCTGCTTCTTGATAATGTGCGCATCAGCATCCACAATCCCGCCAATAATCTCCCTCGCAAAAAGATCCCCCTTGGGCCAACGATCCGCATTTTCAACAACATGACCCAGACCGCCATCCAGCGTAAACCACACGTGAAAGTAAGGCATCTCCTTGGCAATACACCGGCGAAATGCCGAGCGGCCCATGCCGTCCCGAGCCTTGGCGCCCGTGTCGATGATCTTACGATGCTGAGACCATTCTTCGTCAGACGAGAGAAAGGCCTCCTTGAAGAAGGCCGGGGCCATGGCGCCTTGGTCGTAAGGGATGGGAATGGCCATCATGGCGGCGTGAAGGTGCCTGTGCGGCGCGGCGGCGTTCTCGTAAAAGATGACTTCGCGGCCTTGGTCGTGGTACATCCTCGTGAGGCTCTTCATGAAGTTGCGAATCTCCTCCCACTCGTCGTCATCGCATTCGAGGAGGTTATTCCGATGCGCTGTGGGAACGATGACGGCGCCTCCTTCACTGATTTCGGGCTCCGTGGGCAACGTCATGAAGACACGAGTAGCAAGCGAAACGACAGGCGCAATGGGTGGCAGTCCCTTGTCCTCCTTATGGCATAGGGGACAGTTCTCCAGGATGCGATTCATCTTCTGGAACTCGCTGACGGCCATGTTCTTGAGGTTGACCTCGCTCTTGTGCACGCGCTTTGCGAGCTTTTCGGCGTTTTCATCCATGTACTCGAGGTCGTCGTCAAACTTGGCGTCTTTGGCGATTCGCTCGGCGAGCCGCAGGCCTTCGCCTCCAGCTTGGCCCTTGGTGCGGCGTTCCTCCTGGAGCATTTGCTCAATCGTCATGTCTGTGTTCTCTTCGACGAGGCCGCGCTCACGTCCACGCTTGGTGTCGACAGCCTTGACCTCTGCGCGAGTGCCGGCGAGCTGGCGACTCTCCATGACGCCCAGCACGACAGCTTCAGGTGCATTGGAGCGAGGAGCTGCCGCCGCGGCGGCTGCAAGGTTGTATTCTTCTTCTAACTGGGCGGCATTGGGTGCTTTTCGTAGCTTTGCCTTCATCATCTGTGCTCGCAGTCTGTTCAACGCCGTTTGGTCCATCGGAACAACAGCAGGCTGGGCTGGGTTTTCTTGTATAATCTCGCCTTGGCGGATTTCTCTGACAGGTTCCGAAGCTTTCTGATCCTTTATCCGTTCTTTGTAGAATTCTCCAGTAGGTTTGTCTTTTGTTTTGGCATCCTCGCCGTATAATCGCCTCCGTTCCAGCTCTTCTTTTTCCTCGCGCGCGTCATCGAAGAATTCTAGGCTGCCGAATCGTTTTAGAGCAATCTCTTCAACTGATTCCCCCGTTTCCTCAGCGGTATTGTAAACGGCTTTCAGCTTGGTCATTCGCCATGATGAGCCAGCGTCGCCAAAAATGTAGTCGACTGTCCTAGCGGAGGGCTGCTCCAAGCCAGATGACGACTTGCCGCTGTTTAGGTCCTCAAGATGGCCTCTGTTAATCTCGCGACTAGATATCACTCGTTTGGGAGCTTCTGGAGTCGGTGATCGGGGCTTGTTCTGTCCAGGGCGATGGACATGTTCGACTTCGAAGGCAGATGGCGCCGTCATCCAGGCATCTCGCTCCAGAGGCTTTGAGTCGCCGGAAGGCTTCTCCTCGTCTGATGGCTTTTGACGTTCATCGTCTCGATGGCGCCGGCTGCGCTGCTCGTCGGCATCGGCATCGTCGCGTGAATGACGGCTCCTCTTGTGTCGACGATCATCGTCATCGTCCTCGTGGTGTCGGCGACGGCGATTGTCGTCTCTGTCTCTGTCCCTATCCCTATCCCGATCTCGTTCGCGATCTCTAGCTCTGTCTCTGTCTCTGCCTTTGCCTCTTTCATGATCCCTCTCGCTGTCCCGATGCCGATGTCTGTGTCGCTCCTCGCGTTCTCCGTCTTCGTCGTCTCGCTCTCGACGATGGTGGTGTCGATGCTTGTGATGGCGTCGCTCGCGATCCTGCTCTGACTTGTCGCGCTCAGCCTTTTCGGCGGCGAGATTCTGCTCGAATTCCTCTAGGCCATCCATGGCGTTGGGAGCATGAAGCTTCAATTGAACTGATGTCTTGGCCAAGCTGGGTCGAGCAAGCTCTAAAGAATTGATGGAAGCTGGAGCTCTGATGGAACTTTCTTACGTCAGGGCTCTTGGGGTGGGTACCAGCTACATGCAAACAGGTGCTTCTGTAGCTTTAGCGCATGAGCCCTGTAAGGTAGCATGACATTCATGGGAGTCACGCAATCAGATTCAATAGCCTTGATGTGAAGCCGGCGATGATTGACGAGTCCAATGGAATATGCAAAGATAGAAAATATTATTCAGGTAACATGATATTAAAATTAAACAATTGACAATATTCTTCTTAGAATTCATGGCACCAACGTCACCTATTCAGTGCTACACCAGCTGCTTTCCTAATTTGGTAACCTCATGCCATCTATGGACGCCGAATATTGGACTTCTATTCTTTTTGTACGCTTAAACTACCATCTATTCTATTTCGACTTGTCAAAATCACTCAACATCTTGTCAAGCTCTTCATGTCTGCGAATGGCATCTTCCAACCTTGGCCAGTCTCCTCCAACCGGAGCCGCCTCCTTGTCGCTTTGCTGGTACCATTGAGCATATCTGTTGTACATCTCTCCCACCAATTTCCCTCCTGGCACCTGCAACTCTTTCTGAAAGTCCTTCCACTCAGACTCCCATGGAATTTCCGTTAACTCGTCTGTAATGGCATCGTGAAGTTCAATCTTAACTGCGGGAACAGTGGCAGCCTGGAGAATTGGCCCGATCGGGCTGGTAATCTTTAACTCTCCCTTTTCACCTTGGATGTACCATGTGTATGGCAATTCGCCCTTGAATGTCGGACCGCTTCTGAAGAACGCGGACAAAGTTGCACCCTCCTGTATGTTTGCAACTCCAGGGGCAAGCTCTCCTTGAACGGTGATCAGATCCGGGATATCACTTTGTCGTGTGCGCAGTTTCACGCCATCCTTGTCGACGATTTCGACTTCTGGCCATCGGATCTGGAGCTTGCTCTGAAAATCCTTGAACTCTCCCAGCACAGAGTGCACAAGGTCAATCATGTGAGCGTACAAAATGGAAAAGTGGTTGCCTCCAATTGCTCGTTGCGTAAACATGTCCTCCGTGCCACCTTCAACAAGCGTTCCTGGCCGTTTGCCGTGCCCCATAGCGCTGAAGCCACGAACTTGGCTATCAAGGACTTTTCCGATTCTACCGGATGCCAGAACCTCCTTGACCTTGGATGCTACTGGTGAGAGTCTCCCTTGCAGGCCGATGATGCTCGTGTCGCGGCCCTTGTTCTCACCCACCAAAGCGACGCTTCGCTTCAAGTTCTCAGTGAGAGGCCATTCCACGTACACAGCCTTTCCTGCTCTAATAGATGGCTCGGCTGCGGAATAGTGCTTATCGACCCGAGTAACAACTGAAACAAGATCGACTTCATCATCTGCGGCAAGCTGGGCGGGATCACCATATGCCTTGACTGTTGAGGGGAGATTGAAGTGAGATCGAGCGTTTTCGGCTGCCTCTTTGCTAGAGTTGAGAAGAGCGACAATTTTATATTGAGTTTGACCTCGAGCGGATTGGAGGTATGGCAGATGAGCTGCTGCGGCCCACGAGGTAGTTGCGTTGGCTGAGAGCCCGACCAACGCAACACGGATAATTTTAGAAGACATGATATTGAAGCTGCTGTGAAACTTGATGATGACAGTAAATACCTATGTATGTACAACAACGACAATTGAGCTGATTTTATATGCTCACTTCTGGACACCTTTTGCCACTTAACGCCGAAGACTCTGATGCAGTATGAGTGGTGATAGGGAGAATGAGGTCAGCGCTACAAGAGCAGCGAGATCGAACTAGATCCAATAGAGTATTTGCACAGCTGGGCAGGCCAATCAAGCGACTTGAAATCTTGGTTGTTCACTAACTCCTTAAGCTCCGGGAATCTCCGCATTTTCTCGACCAAATCTATTTGTCTTGCCATACCTGCGCCATACAATCGTGTCAGAAAACAGGGTTCCTCATGCTGATTGGCCAATAAAGATTAAGGAGGCCTATTTTCCATGGAAAACAGTAAGAGAGGATGAGGGGGCGAAATTAAAAGCTCGCGTTGGGAAGATGTGTTTGCTTCCGAGCTGCCTTTGTTTCGGAGATTTTGTAATCAGATACGAGTATGCGATACACTATTGTGTCATTAAGTTTGTCATTCAAATGCCTATTACAGCAGCGGCAGCATCCAGACGAGTGACTATATGTATGTTATAAGCGTCGCTTTTTTTTTTTTTGGTCTAGTGTAATCCTCGTGAAAGTCGAAGATAGATGTCAGTTTCTCAATCAACACAATTTCTCCACATGCCTCTCCTACTTGGAGTGTTTTCTGTTGTGCACAAATAAGCTGCAGCACGGTACTCAAAGCTTGAGTTAAGTTACGAGCCATCAACTTGTTTAAATACCCCATGATTGAAAGTAGTTTCATCCCAATCATGTGTCCCGAATAATTGCACAACTGGTATAGGTGTGCGAAGATGATCACATTTGTACCGTGGGATCTACCATGACATGACAAACTTAATAAAACTACCTGACCTATGTACTTGAAGTTTTTCGCCGCCAACCCTCCAAGACTGATAAGCTGTGCATCGTATCCGGATGTTCTCCCCCTAGTATTCGTTCACTGGCGGAGACACACTCCTCCATCAGTGCTATGGCATCGGAAGATCTGCCCAGCTCCTCTAAGTCGCAGGCCACATTATGTTTGCTGAGAAGAGTATCCGGATGCTCTTCCCCCAGTATACTCTTCCTCAACTCCAAGCACTGAATGTCTAGGTCTCTTGCCTCCTCCAATCTCTGTTGTTTCCTATAAATTGATGCAAGGATGCCCATACTAATACACGTGTCTGGATGCTTCTCTCCTAGCACTCGCTTCATTACTTCCAAGACCTGTGTCGCTAAGTGTTCTGCTTCCGTCAATCTACCTTGATTGGCAAATGACACTACAAGGCTATTCATGACAGTAAGTGTATCCTGGTGCTCCCGCCCGAATATTTGTCTCCTTGTCTCCATCAATTTTATCTGCAAGTCTTCTGCCTCTTTCCATCTCCCTTGTTTCATGTAAACCTGTGCAAGATTGCTTTTAATGGCTAGCGTTTGTGGATGGTCCTCCCCAAGTACTCGCGTGCTTAAATTGGTTGCATGTGACCCAATGTCTTCTGCTTCCTTTAATCTGCCTTGTCCCTCATATGTCGATGCTAGGGCTGTCATACCGGCAATCGTCGCTGGATGGTCCTCTCCCAGCTTTTGCTTCTTCATTTCAGTTACTCTTAATGCTGAGAGTTCTGCCTCTTTGAGTCGGCCTTGGTCCAAATATACCTCAGTGAGGCGGCTTATGCTTTCAATCGTATATAAATGGTCCTCCCCTAATACTCGCTTGTATGCCTCAGATACCTGTACCAATAGGTCTTCTGCTTCCTGAAAACGGCCTTGGCGCGGATATATGAAAGAAAGACTTGCCAGATAAGCAAGTACATCTGGATGCTCCTTCCCTAGCACTCGCTTCCCCGTCTCAATTGTCTCTAACGCAAGGTCTTCGCCGTCGTTCAACATACCCTGTTGCTCGCATGTCAGAACAAGATCAAATCTGATATTAAGTGTTTCGTGATGTTCTTCTCCAAGTCCTTGTGCTTGTATATTTGCCGCTAACCGCAAATTTTGCTCCGCGTTCTTGTATTCTCCTTTGTGGCAATAGTACCTGGCTAGCTTACGTAGGAGTCCGGCCTTGGCTATTTTCTCGGACCTTGAATTGGTTCCGTCTCTAGCCAACACAGAATTGACATGAGGAAGATATCTTACGCATTCTTGATAAGTGTCAAACTCTCCGATTGGGTAAAGAAATTCCACGATTGTGATAGCACTTTCAGCAAACTCGGCCAGCCGGCCCTGGTTGACGAGCCATTTTCGCGTCACTAGCTGGACTAGCCGGTGCATATCTACACTTCCGTCCTTCCCTCCGGAGATGAATGAAAAGGCCTTAAGAGTACCTAATGCCTTTATGAGTCTTGCTGACACGCTAGCTTGAGCATACCCTGGCTTGTGTTGGCAATATTCTTCTATGAAGGTTTTCGGAATTGCTTGTCGATGCAATAAGCTCAAAAAACAGAGGACGTCGCTTGCTAATGGCTGAGTTCGTTCAATCTGTCGGAATGAAAGAATCCATGTTGCCGTGACTGCATGTGAGGTCTCAGAGTCTCTCCCTACAGGTTCAAAAGACTCGCTGAGCTGATCAACGAGGACATTATCTCCCTCGTCCAACAGTTGAACGTAGTCGCTAATAGATATGGTGTTTTCTTGAATAAATGATAGTGCCTGTGCAAGAGCGAGTGGCATATGTTCGAGTTTGGACGCCAAAAGAATAGCATCATGTGTAGATACTTCCGTCTTTAAGATGTCTCGCACAAGCTGGTGCGCGTCGTCGTCTGTCATCTTGGTGACTTCAATCAGAGGGCTTCCTTGCTCGAATTTGACTCCAACTTGCTTATTCCTTGTTGTAATGAGAATAGATCCGTGATTGCAATCAGGTATGTACCGAGCCAGCTTGTCGCCTTGGTGATGAGCTTCTGGATCGTCGCTTCTCTGAGAAGGGAAAAACAGTTCAATGTCATCAACATTATCGATGATCATAAGCCATTGTATTTTATTCTGCTCCTCCAGCCACCTCTTGACCAACAATAAAATGTCAGCTTCGGGGTGGTCTCTCCCTGGCACGTTGCATTTCTCGGCGATGAAAGCATAAGCTGCGCGGAAACGGTCGGCATTGCTGGCATGAACCCAGAAGACGGAGGTATCTGGGTGTATATCACGTATCCAGTACGCGTAGGCTAACGCAATTTGCGTCTTTCTGTTATATGTTAGAAAATTGTTCATTATTAGCCAAGATGCAAAACGTACCCGACACCGCCGAGGCCGTAGAGCGAGACTCTTCTGCGTGGTTGGGAAAGATCATGCTCCGGTTTTTGGCCTAAACCGAATTGTAACTTGATTTTATCGAGAATATCTGATCTTCCAACAAAATCTGGGTTTTGTTTATATGGAACCAGAACTAGATTGCTCTTAGCAAAAGTTGCCACCTAATCTACATGCATTTATCACGTACACTTTGACGTTGTCGTCTGTAAACGATCTCGAGCTCTGATAGCCCGCCTTGAGAGCCCTCCGATTCTCATCCATACATTCCTGTAGTCCGGGTCGTGTGGCCCAAATTTGACCATGTCAGAATGTGTACGGGCAATGGCGCAGATGTGCTCTGAGCCATCTTCCCATGGGCGACAGTGCGTTGCCGAAGATTTGGTAACAAGAACAGCTGTAGGTCCAATCATTTTCCATTCGTCACGTTTGTCCTGTACTTCGGTTAGAGTAAATTCAGCTGTATGATGGTATTTATTTGGAGGCATTTACCCGTTGTGCTGTCGGCGACTCCAATGTTTCGTAAAAGCAAAACACTTCCGAATCACCCTTTTTGCCTAGGGCATGGTGAAAATCCCGTTGCTGTATACTAATGATCTGCGAGTTGATGCGGCTGATAGACTCAACCAAGAATCGGTTCGGACCGTCCCCAACCATGGGTATGAGAGAGCTAATGTCCATCCCGTCGTGTGGAGTTCCGAAGAAGATGACTCCGTATACGGCACGTATGAGTTTCTGATCGTCTGGAATGGTCGACCTTGATAGCGATATTAAAGTCTATTGTATCTGTCAGTAATGCGAATCATGGTTCCAGAGATTTATTTCTTTTACCTGCTTAATAATGAGTCCTCCAAGGCTGTGGCCAATAAGGATGACTGGCCTGGTCGTTGGACCGGCTGCGAGTGCAAGCAAACTGCTATGAAATGTGGTGGCTAAGTCCTCTAGATTTTGTATATTTTTGCTTTGAGCAACAGCAGATTCGTAACCGTATATCATAACCCTCGCCATTGGCTTATTATCGGTCTCTGAGGTGAGATATCCCGGAAGTGAGTCTCGTAGCCACATGTGAGTTTCTCCCCTCTCTTTGAATGACCCAAATGCGTGGCCCCCGAGGCCAGATAAAGCGATAACACTGAGAGGGGATTAGAAACCGACATAATACTAAACATAGATACTTACTCAATCTTGTGATCTCTCGCAGGCGGTTCATAAAGAGTTGTTAGGCCTATAAAATCCTTCTCAACCGATACGGATCGATTGAGGTTCAGGAAGTCATTGTAATGCTCCTCAGATAACGTGAATTGGCGACTTTTGCCGGGCCACTGTTGCATATAAGAGTTTGTCAGTGTAACCGTGGCGGTTTGCGATTCAATGTTGGCTTCGCGGGCAATCGAATCTATAGTAATCACTTCTGCGAGCTCTCTGCGCTTTAAAAAGGTTCGCAATTTCTCACGATCCCAATCCAGAGGCACTCCGCTAACACGATATGTGCTGGTGTCTCTTGACCGTATCTGTTTCTCGGGGCGTTTGGAATTAGTGATTAATGCTCGTCTTCGCAAGACGCAATAGCCGGTCACGATTGTCAAAACACATGTAGTAGTGATAGCCAGAAGACTCATGTTGGCTTCGAGATTAGTTAGGCGCTCCTTCAAGCGTGAGGCCATAATATTGGAATTCTCAGTGAGGTCCATGGTGTCAACATTGGCTGCAGCATGAGGAGGGGCTTGAATAGAAAAGTGAGCAGCCTTGAGCCTCAAATATACAAGTAATTGAAGCGGGGTCGGATGATGGACAGCCTATGAGGACCATTCACCTAATATGCGTGATTAGATTGGGCAGACAGAGTTAGTCCAATAACATCGTCTATTCATATTGTATTTACGCGACGCGTGGACACTGTAATCCTGGTGTCTTGCTGCCTTCTTTGCTTGGCATTTGGATATTTACGTGTAGTTGCTACACCGACGATAACACGGAGGTCGCGCACCATATCCCGCCTCTTTCACGACACCATGTAACTCTCCGATCACAGCCTCACTTTCGACTTGTAAATATTAAACCTTGAAGCCACTGGCCCTACATTCCCTATATGCCAATCTGCCATTCTTCACCAGAGTCTACTAGACACGCATAAACGCTAATAACGGCGCCGTCTTGGCCGTCTTCTCTCAAACTTTGCTAGTTCAAAACGTTAGGCTTATAGTCTTGCTTGCGTCGCCAAATGTCAACTAGCGACCTTAGCTCAGCTGGGAGAGCGTCAGACTGAAGTATCAACTTCAATCACCTGCTATCTGAAGGTCGTGTGTTCGATCCACACAGGTCGCATAGTTTTTTTGCCTTTTTTTCTTGAAAAGTCATTTCAATGTTTCCTTTTTATTTATTCTACTAGGCTGCTTGCTGTATGGTGATGACGGATGATAGGGCTGTTCATTTGAAATAATATGCTTTTTTTGCCGTGAGCGCAAACAACATGGGCACTTGCACATGATGATGGGTGCATTACTTGCTGATACTCATATTATACGTAGGCGACATAGATAGCGGTCAATATTGTTCATGTATGAGTGTATAGAGACAGTTTCTATAGATACATGATAAAGAACCTCCACGCAAACAATAAACACCCGTATCGTTTTGTTGAAAACCGTAAATCTTTACATCGTACCTCTATTGTCTGTCCGTCTTATGTACACAAAAAGACCAACGCATCTCGCCATCTACCCCGCTCTTTGTATCCAAAGATTGTGACGCATAAAACAGAAAACCCCAACCAAATGTAACCCAATGAAATGGTATCTATCCTCTAGGATATACAATCCAAATCTCAATCAATGTCAAAAAATCAAATTGCAAGTTCTCCAAGACTCCCATTGATGCAAGACGACCTCGCGATCCAGCCGCTTCTTGTCTACACGTGCTCATAGGTCTCCACGCTCGGGGGAACTTCCAAGCTTAAACGTCGTCATCACAGCGGCGTGATCTGACGTCCACTCGTTATTGCTCTGATTGGGCTCCGGAGTGGGCTCGCCAGCGACGAGTGTTTCCGACTGAAGAACCTTGAGGCTCTGGCCCTTGTGGTACACGAAATCAATTCGATCCAACGGCTCGGGCCGACCGCTGTTGTTGAGGTAGATGGGGGACCAAGTGATGCCGGGCTCGGCGTTGGGGTCGGGGTGCGCCTCACGGAACGAGTCAATCAACCCGGATTGAATGGGAAACTCGGAGCTTGGCCATGGAACAAAGCCAACACCGCAATGGGCCTTTTTGGTTGCCTCTGTCCAGTCTAGGTGTGACGGCGCGTTGAAGTCACCAGTCATGAGAACGGGAATGTCATCAGCTTCAGCTAGGGCGTCTTGCATGGCGCTGACGATGTCCATGATTTGCGGCGTACGGCCGGATTGGTACTCTCGGTTAAGGACTTCTGCCAGAGGCTTGTTGTCGAAGCAAAAATCATAAGGTCCGTATGGGTCGAATCCGAGATGCACATTCCACATGATGAGCTGACTCTTGGGGTCGCCCAGCTCGATGCGAATCGATCCACCAGCAGACTGTTCTGGGAAAACCTCGACGATGGGGTAGCGGCTGATGATGCCGACCTCGTTGGGGCTCTGCCAGTAATACCACCCGAGCGCCTGAGCGAGACGAGTCGCCTGGCCATTCCAGCTCTCCTGAAGGCCGACGATGTCGACGTTTGTGTTGATGAGGAAGCGCACTTGCTTGTTGTGGTAGTCCTTGACGTTGGTGCCGCCGAACCACATGTTGAAGGACATGACCTTGAGCTCTTCGACGAGCGCCTGACGGCTGGAACGAACGGGGATCTGGACCTGGATTGTCGCAGATGAGCCATCGCTTGCCGTCGCCAGGACCACAAAGTTGGTGCTCTTGTCCTTGGGCCCCGGAGTGCCAGTGAGGGTTCCATCCGAGGCGAGTTTAACCCAGTCGGCGCCATAGGTGGTGGCCTTGGTGAACCTGGTCTTGCTGTCTTTGGGATTGGCAATCAGGCGACCAAGACTAGCCTTGAAGGGACTTCCCTGCTGCGCATTCTGGGTGATGATGCGGTCGTTGATGAACTCGATTGGCCCAGTACCGGGAACAATGACGTCGATGGGAGTCGCAAGCCACTGGTAGCCGTCCTTGGCGAGGAAAAAGGCCTTGTAATAGCCAGCAGCCAGACTTGAGATATCGACCTGCACCTCGCCGTTGCTGTTGGGCGCATATGCCCACGTCAGAGAGCCGGCGACGAACTCTTGGTTCTCGGGACCGCCATAGTACGTCTGGTAAACGCCGATCCAGTTCGCGGGGTCCGGGTTGGGCGTCGAGTATTTGAATGTGAAGAGCGACTGTCCGGCGTCAAGGGCGAGGGAGCCGGGAAGCGCATTACGAGGAGCCATGATGGCGGCAGCGGACGATGGGGTTGCGAAGAAGAGGGAGACGGCAGCGGCAGCAGCAGCCGCCGCCTGAAATAGTGAAGGGAGCCTCATGTTTTGCTGTGAGGGCAATACAGACGATGGGAGCGGTTTAATCTCTCACTTTGGCCGCAGATCTGGCAGACGGACGCTGTCAGATCAGCGGAAACGTTAGTACATGGATCGGTGGGAGCGATGTTAGTGAGAGGGGGCGCAGATCGGTTTTATACGAAGCGAGCACGGTCCATCCGCCACGTTGTGTGTACGTATGCCCATTATGCTGGGAAAAAGTATCGGGCAAAGCAAAAGTGGTGATGGCGTCGTTACCTCATTGACGTCCCCATCCCGGTAGCGCCAAAAGCGAGCATCACGAGTCTGCCGGCACATTTCACTGAGACATTGTTGGACCTTGTGCCCAGCCTCTATCGATTTTAGTGTGCAGCTGGTCCATGCTTTTGAGAGACCCTGTGCTGAGATTCCCCCCAAGATCAGATGGCGGTGCTCAACCTTTGCGAACTTGCAGGCGGTGCGGCCGCTGTGGCTTCTGCAAACTCCAGCGACTGAGCGGCCCTAAGCTAGCGGGGACGTGGGGGAATACAGTGGATGACCTCCGCTATGGAGCCGCGAATACACGTATGGACTTGGACACAATGGGAAAATCGCCCAAATTGAGGGGAGTCATGGATTGGCAGCCAGTCGTCGCAGCACGAGCCTCTTGGCAGCCGTCCAGAAAAGCGCCTCATGATTCGGCATTTGCATTCACGTGGCGGCATTTCATGTGAATCCTGAGCAACTTCAGGGTCCTTTTTCTTGGTGTTGAGTGACCCTTATTTTCTTTCTCTCATGCAGCCTCTATATCAATTTTTATTTTCATTTTTCTTTTCCACCTTCTTCTTACAGTAACACGCGTGCAGGGAGTTCATGCGATGTTAATCCTGGATGTGCCGGACGAATCCTAATCTGTGCGACTGACAAGCTATCATTGGCGGTGTGACTCTTACAATTTCAACCTGAAATGTCAAATTGAGTAACGCGGCCATGTATGCCCAACGTTTGTAATCGTTGAGTGGTGTGTTTGTCATTTGAAAAATATTCCGTCTTTTCCCGCTGCTTCGACTGATGGCATCGCGATGTAACATCATGATGCACACAGCTGATTCCATCACCAGATTGGTTACCGAACTTTTGAGATATCCCATGATGTTACAGGCACTATAATATTGGTAAGAACGAATAATAAATGGTTGTTTTGCACGAGGTAGCTATAGTTGATGGGAGTTGTCGTTGAGGCAAGATAGACCTCTAGAATTCATCCGTGTCTCTAAGACCAAGTGGATTATGTGAAATTCCGATGCTAAGCTTTCTAATCTCCCAAGGCATAGCTTACTCGCGTGACCATTTCTACGTTTAAATGAATAGCTTGAGTGTGTACCGGGGTGATGTGTGGAAACCTGAGCAATGCTTGGGTGGTTCCCGTATAACTGATAGCATCTCACGTGCTTGAGCGAGTTGGACAGTATATCTCATCATATACCTCATTTTCATATTCCTACAGAAGTTCTAAAGACTTCTTCCTTCAACAAGCCATAATATTGCAATATTTCAATGTATTATGATTACAGCTGATAAAGAGTGCCTAGGTAGGTTACATGTCCATTTCGGATCAGGCAATAATAAATATAACAAAAGACAAGTTGATAATCGATCTACATTCAACCCGAGAATTGCTTTTAGATTTTGACAAGAGCTTTCTTCCGAATGAATTCACACACAGAGAAGCAATGCAGTGAAAGTTACAGCCACTCCTTTGCATTGATATAGTCTGGCTATCTATATGAAAGATTATCATAATCTCAACGTAAGTCATTAATAAAAGGACTCAGCTCTAATAGCTAACTCATCGCACTAAACAATGTGTTTTCTTTGTGAAAAACTGGAGACAGGAACGCCAAATTCATGTCTATATGAGCACAAGCCCGGTTATGCCGTATGGAGTCAACAATAGGATATACCGGCATTAACATAGCACATATGACATCAGAAAGAGCGGTGGTGATCTTCAGTCACCTTTCAATCAGTTTCATGCTGATCGCAAGCAGATATTTTCACACAATTTCTAATCAAACCCGCTTCCATAACATCCGGATGAGGTCGATGGTCACGAGGAGGTTAATAATAGAAATCACGCTACATCGACAGCTCATGCCAAATGCGGTGCCCAAACGAGTATCCATTTTTTCTCATTCGTTCCAGCTGTCGCTTTAGTCGAAAGCTTCCCATGATTTCCGCGTGCCAATATCGAGAGGGCCCCGCCAGACAAAGTGCCACCACGCCAACAATGGAGCACAGTAGGAATGCCACGGATCAGCGCCGATCAAAGCCCAGTTTGCCGTACAGTCTTTCGTCACATCTCGAGACTGTCTCGCTTCACATCTGGTGATGGCTGCGTAGCCAACGCGGGGTATCAGGCATGCGATTCGAGCATTTAGAGTTGATGGCCCTCATCATGACGTTGATGGCGACTGCGATCATGAGCTATAGGCTGATGACGAAACTCTGTTTGGCAGCTCTGCAAAGAGCTATAAGACAGCTTGCTTCCTCCTTTGCCACTACGCTGATGTTTATTCTCCATTGACTCTTTGATCTTGACAGCTTGACTGAATAATCTCAATATATATCCACAATGAATCGAAAACATTCCGAGACTGGCATCACTGACGAGGCGGCCATTGAAGGCCATGACCTCATTCACAACGCCGAAGTTGAGGAGCAGAGGGTATATTTCAGCCACTAACGTCTTACATTGGGTTACACGACTCTAATTATTTTTTATAGGCTCATGGCGACCAGGCATTGACGCAGCCAGACGAGGGTGATGCGCCGCTCAACGCAACGAAGCAGTCCGAGCCCGCCATGGCGGGACAAACCGGACGCCGCCATTCAGCGCTGGACAAGATAAAGGAGACTCTGCATCTTAAGAAATAAATGAGAGAAAAAAAAAAATGAAGCCGAAAACGATTAAAAAAAACTGATGATACCTGGCGGATGGGCAAATCTGGATGGTGGGACGAAAACAAAAGAAAACCACAAATAAAAAGGAAGGGCACGTGTGTGTCACGTTTCGTCAAAGTGTATTATATGAATTCCCCACATCCGCCCTCGATTTCGTTGTCTGATTCGGTCGCCGCAGTAGGATATTTCTTTTCCTCCTCAATACATGAATTATTATTATTGTTTACAATCTTCATTCATTTTATACCTGTATCCATTTGATATGAATTGTTCAGTAGATATTCCCACATCTTTCGTTATCTGGTGGAGCTGCCCACGTTTTTCCCGCGACGGCTCCATCGGGAAAGGCTGCGTCAGGCTAGCCCCAATCCCGCCTAGCCCGCATGAAAATCCCCTGACCACCAAATTTCCCCCAGATTTGGCTGCATCTCGATTGTCGAACGGTTTTTTTCTCGCTTCATTTCCTCTTTTTTTCCCTCTTTCATAAAACCACGCGAATTGGCGCTATTCCTAGCATCAGCTCCATCTTCCCTCCTTTCTCGCCGCTACGGCGCCACGCCGCCTGTCGCTCCTTTTTTTCTTACTTACACACTGAACTGACCCGCTGGCCCATGCTTGGCCTGTGATGACTCAGTGTCTCCATTCCTTATGACGACGCTCTCGTCAACGATGCTCTTCAGCCTCCACTCTCTACTGCCCTTGCTGGCAACTCCTGCTCTTGTTCTAGCTGCTTCAATCCCTCGCAGCGACAGCAGTTCATCTTCCACTACCGTCTGGGCGACTCCCCACGACAGCTACTCATCCTCTGTCGGCGTGCTGGGTTGCAAGGTCAACACCAACCGTGTCGCTTACTGGCCCGACTCAGTTGACTGCAACAACATTTGCGTCTCTCTGCAGTACCAGGACCGCCAAGTCTATCTCCTGCGCGTCGACCAATCGCAGGGCGCGCACGACATCAGCTACGATGCCTGGAACTACCTTTACACGGGCTATTCGGCAACAAAGAAGCCCTTTGCCGGAGGACCCGTCGCGATGACAACGCAAAACGTGGACCCGTCCAATTGCGCGAGCCTGATCCATACAAAGGGCAGTAAGCTCCCTCTCAGCGCGGCAAACAGCATGAACTTCCTTGCCAGCTGTCTGGAGCAGGAGAACTCGTGGGTGGGCAGCAACTATGTCCTGTACAACATCCTCGACTCCATCTGCACGCTGGGACAGGACCAGACTTGCACGTTGGACTGGCCCAACGCCAACCAGCCGTCTTGTCCAGGCACCCTCGGCGTGCCTGATGCCCTCAAGACAGATCCCGTATGGAACATCCAGTACCCTTCTGGAGATAAAGTTCTTGCTGGAGCGCCACCGACGGTGCCTACCGGAGTTCCAGTGCCCGCGCCGGCCCCGACCCCGGCCGCTGATGCAGACGACGAAAACGGTGCACGGAGTCTGACGTGTCCGGATTCCTTACTTTGGATATCCACCCTTTCATTACTTTCCATATTCTACATTCTCTGATGTTGCAGTACCTATCATGAAAATAACCGTCCCCGTCGAGGGATAGCTTACGTCTCGGATATGATGTTTATTCTTTGGTCAAATATACCCCCTTGTTCATATTCTCTGTATATTTTTACCAGACCCCTTTGAACTAACATGGTTCATAAAAATTTATTCAAATATTTTGGTCTCTTTTTCTCTTTTTTTTAACTATACTGTTTATATCTTGTTATCATGCGTGTTTGTTTGTTATGATTTGGGTATCTGGGTATCTCTGGTATCTCGGTTATTTCGACGCCTTGCATAATCTCGCTGCTGATTCATCCATCCCATATACATGCTCTTCATCCTCCGGTACGCCGACCTGAAAGCCGGTAGCCATGCCTGTTCCCAGGTGTACCAACATATGGCAATGCAACATCCACATTCCAGGATTGTCAGCGACAAATGAGAGCACCACGTGCCCCCTCCTCGGCACACTGACCGTGTCTTTTCGAAGTGGCTTCTCCCGCTGCCAGTGATCTTCTGAGTCGGCATCTGATGTCTCGAAAGGGTTGTAAGTCCCAAGTTTGGCCTTGTCAGCCCGGAACGAGGACAGCACGTGGAATGAATGTCCGTGAAGATGGAAGGGGTGAGAACCATCATCGAGATTGTTGATGACAAGCTTGACCTTGGTGGGCTTTGATCCGCTGCCAATGAAGGGGATGAGCTGGTGGTCGTCCCAAGACGACCGGTTTTGCGATAGCAGCGGCACCGACTGGGGTTGCCAGATGGTATGATTTACAAAGCCAAGAGGTTTGTTCCCATGCACCGCAAGCTTTTGAGTTGACACGTAAAAGAGAATCGTCTGCTCTTCCTCTGCCGTGACAATAGGAGCCGGTTCGTGTGTGGCGGTAAGTGTGGCAAGGTCAAGGTGACTGCTACTGAATTTCAAGAGGGACGCGTGGTCCCGATCATGAGCTGTGACTGTTTTAGGGAGAGCCGGGAAGGTATGGTTTGGGTTGAGCGCCGGGTTACCGAAGCGAAGATTCCTACAACTTGTTAGATACTGTAACCACTAAACTGATATCATGAAATGTCGAGGTGGGTTATGACAGAACTCACTCATGATCCAGGTAGACGTTGAACCATGGCTCTGCTGCCTGGTCACTCTTCCACTTGAGTAGCAGGTCAACTCTCTCGCCGGGATAGAGAATCCCGACGGAATCAGCTGCCTTGGAATCTACCTTGCAGCCTCCATCGACTTGCGTAGGCTGAAGTGAAGCACCATCAACACCGAGCGTCAAGCCGGCGATTGTGCCCGTATTCACCACTCTAAGCAGCGTCTCTCCTGTAGACCTCCTGATCATCGGGGGGAAGTTGCTCAAGGATGTCGTCTTGCACTGGACAGGTCTCGCCGGCACAGCCATGGAGCAGTCGTATCGGCCGCGGCCGTTGATGACCATGGAGTCTGGGACAGGCTCGTTGCCTGCACTCGCCGGGCTGCTATACCAAGCGAGGACGTCGTCGTGCTTGCGATGGAACCAGTCGCCGATGAGCAGTAGAGCTTCGTCTTGCACGGGTGCGTCTGAGTTGTGACGGCGTGGCTCGTGGATCACTAGACCGCCAAAGAGGCCGTCTGCTCTTTGTAGCTGGGAGTGACTATGCCACCAAAACGTTCCGTACTCGTCGTCGCGGATGCGGAAGTCATAGACGAAGGAACTGCCGGCGGGGATGGGACACTGCGTGAATCCCACAGCGCCGTCCATGTTGTTGAAGCCCTGCATGCGCAGGCCATGCCAGTGTAGTGAGACACCATCGTCGTCCTTGAGATCATTATGGACACGAACGATGATACGGTCCCCGGATCGGCCCTCGATGGTTGGGCCGGGGAACTGTCCTGCACTCAGAGTGTCAGCCAGCCAGCCAATGAAACGAAACCGAGTACCTAATGTAAGAACTCAGTGTGAGTGTGTCTGCCATATCACCCACCATTGATCAGATAGACCTGCTTCTCCACCCCATCCGGGGCCCGGACACCCAGTGTGACGTGCCAGTCAAAGGTCAAGGTGGTAGGATCTCGTGTGGAGTGCTCGGTCGGGTGAAGAGGAATAGCGAGCTGGTCGTCCAACGGGGCGACGCGCCGGTTCACGGCGAACAGCAGCACGGCCAGCGTGCCCAGGCACAGCGCCACGACGAGGCCCGCGATCCGGAGCAGCGTGAAGCTGGGCTTTCGACGCGGGCGGACGACGACGGGCTCTATCTCGTCGTTGTCGTCTTGCTGCTCTTCGCTTAGGAGGACCTCGTCGTCGACGCTGAGCTGCGTGGCAACGTCATCGCTGTCACCGCCGTCTACTTCGTCGAGTAGACGACGCTCCTCGGGTTGGTCCTTCATTTTTTTTTTTTTGGCTTTCCCACTCTTCGCTCTCACTCTCTCGCTTCAGCTTTCAACTAGAAGAGGTTCTGATGAGAAGATATCGTATCGTATCTCTCGCCAAAAACTCAACTAGTCCAGCCCATGCGAAAGGAGAAAGCAAGCAGCATAAAGCAGTTGGACGAAGTGAAAGGTACTCGTAATAGCGCGTCACCGGCATGTGGGAGGACAGAGGGGCCCGAAAGCTCAAAGGGCGGATGAGAAGAGAAACCATCGCATCATCGGTATAAGAACGCGCGGAAGATTCGTCACTGCGAGTCGGCATTGACTGCCGAGCACTGACCAGCACGTGGGGACGTTGCCCTTGATTTGTCGATTCCTGGGTCTGGCGGAGGGCCCCACAGAGTTGGTGAGGAAGCTATCCAAGGTTTGGGGACTAGTACACGAGTACTAACGCCGAGACGCCGTGCTAAGAAGAGAAATTTCAAGGGTCTGTTATCTTGGGTTTTGAGTTTTTGATTTTCGCGGGTGGCTGAGTGAGGAGGTCCGTACTCGGGAGTCTATCTCAGCTCTTTCTCAGCCTCACCCGCTTGCGTTATACTACATCATACCACATCCCGACTTACATGACTCGATGACCCCTATCTCGTCCAGCAAAGCCACAACATGAAGTAGACTTAACTCTAGACTCAACATACTTCTCTCGCCCGGGTACTCTATCCTCAGCCAATCCCTACTACTACAGTACCTAGTATGAGGCTTTTCCCGTCTTTATCGCTTAACTCTGTCCAAGAGTCTCCACCAACACTCACCTTCACCTGCAGCATATCACGGCCTGTGGAACCCCCTTCTTCGCAGTCCCTTGCACTAAATCCAAGCATCCCTGCAGAGCCTTGCAGCTCCAGCCAACCACGACCGCCATCACGAGGGCCGCCGTGCCGATGCTATTGGCTTCTGGAGGGCACATGTCTCAATCGCCTGGCCATCTCGCATCTGGCCTTCCCCCTCCGCCCAATCACATGCCTTGGTGAAACATTGACAGCGGACTAACATGTGGGAAAGCTCTGGTCTTTATTTTTCATGTTTATTCTCTTCAGATTTTTTTTTTCTCAACCACAGCATTGTTGGCCGATGATCTGCGCATCTCGTCGCCGCTGTGCTGCACAAGTTCCTACGCTATGGCCGTTCTCTGCCGCTGTGATCATCACTGACCTTCCGATTCGGGCTTTCGGTAACAGTTGAGAGAGATGCAACCTTACGCTTCTCTTTTATCCATTGCTCTTTAACCGCACGACGAGCTGCTTGTGCTCGGCACGGACGGCCGCGCTTGAGGCCGCAATGCTACACCGCGATGGACAAATCACGTTGTCGGGGTTAGACATGAGGGGGGCGGTCTCTGATTGTATGCGCACAGAGCTCAATCCATAAAATAGTCAATTAAAAAGATCCATGATGCTTACTTGAGCATAGTTGCTTAAGTACCTCGCCAGTCCTCTGCAGTGAAACGGGGTGGATAGAATTGGTTGTGTTCCAGCATTCTTCCGTATTGCTTCATTTTCCCAGTCACCAAGAATGCCTCTCCTCAGGAGCTTAGGGCCGGCTTCGGCAAGCCTGTTTTGCATCATTGGTCTTGTCCGAGCTGGAAGCTTGAAGGATATTGACCATGTCGTCCTCTTCATGCAGGGTATAATCATGTGTCTGAACATTATCTGTGAATCAGCTTGTTGACATTGGAGTTTAGAAAACCGTGCGTTTGACCACTATTTCGGCACCATGGCGGGTGTTCGAGGTTTCGGCGATGCGAACCTGCAGATGAACAACGGCGTCCCGGTCTGGAAGCAGTTGACGAATTCCCAATTGACCAACGAGACGGACTACGTGACGCCCTTTTACATCAACTATCTCGGCGGCAACTGGACCGAATCAACCCAATGCATGGTTTCGGGGAGTAACAGCTGGCAGGAGAACCACGCCGCGTGGAATGGCGGTACCAATGACCATTGGGCCGTAGGCAACAGTCCTTACAGCATTGGGTTCTACAAGCGTCAGGATATTCCTATCCAATTCGCTTTGGCGGAAAACTTTGTCGTTGGAGACATGTACCAGGCAGGCTTACATTCTCTGAAAGACTAGACGAAACAATAACTAATACAGAATCTCAGGAAGGTGTTGTTGCTGCCACCAACCCCAACAGAGTGACATGGCTCTCTGGCAGTGTCAACGCCCCCGGTGGTCCTCAGACCCCGGATGAAGGTGGCAATCCTTATATCGACAACAATATTACCCCGGGCTGTGAAACTGGCGGCTTCAACTGCTATCCGCTCAAATGGAAGACTGTTGGCGAGTACTACGAAGACGCCGGTGTCTCTTGGCAAGTCTTCCAGAACGAGGACAACTTTGATGACAACTCGTATGCCAGGTTTCAGCAATTCCAGGATGCTGAGCCGGGATCCAGCCTGTACAACAGAGGCATGAAGGGTCTCTCACTCGATACATTCTACGCTCAGGCTGCCAACGGAACTCTGCCCGAAGTCTCATACATTGTCGGCCCCATGGAACTCTCTGAACATCCTCCTTATTCTCCTCATGACGGCGCTTGGCTGCAATACCAAGTCGCCCAGGCTGTTCTCAACTCACCCAAGTATAACAAAACAGCCCTCATATTCTCCTACGACGAAACTGGCGGCTGGTTTGACCACGTTAGCCCTTACCACTCCCCGAACGGTACATCAGGCGAATGGATCCAGGACCCGTACGGCGAAGTCGGCTACACGTTTCTCGGCCCTGGCTTCAGACTGCCCTTTTACATCGTCTCCCCGTGGACACGCAAGGGCGGCGTCTACACGGCTCATAGCGACCATAACTCGCAGATCAAGTTCGTTGAGAAGTGGCAGGCTGCAAAGGGCCGTAACGTCACGACTGATCAGATGGTCGGGTGGCGTCGTGACCACATGTCCGACCTTACTGATGCCTTTGATTTTGACAATCCCGATTACTCTATCCCGACTCTCCCCACGCCGCAGACGCCTCACACTGATTCTAACGGCGTTTATGACGGTTCGTCGTACTGCCAGTCTCTGTACTCGGACGTCCAGCCTCCCATTCCGTATACCGGCAACGGCGTGATAGCAGACATGCCCAGCCAAGTCGAGCAAGGTTTCAAGCCCATGCGCGGAATGCTCACCGAGGGCCGCCACATCGTTCTCGAAGCAAACGGTTTCGCACTCGCGCAAAAGACGACATATGCCAGCTCCCTCACCGTCAGCCGAGCTACTGCACGACACGACACGCCGTCTCAGCGCTGGATTGCTCACGCGGTGCAGATTGGAGGTGCGGATTTCACGCTCTCTGATGATTCTGGTAGTAGTTACATTTGCGCGTCTGGGGTTCTTTGCAAGAATGCACGGAATGCGGTTGTCTTTACTGTGAGCTACAAGAGCGGGAAGGGATATGCGTTCCAGGTCAAGGGCACGCAGAAGTATCTGGCTCTTGGCGGGCGTGGATCTTCGAGCTATGTTTCTTTGACTGGGGGGTTGGGATACTGGCAGGCTTACAGCGTGAGTTATTGAATGTCTAGGAATATATAGCACGGCTAGTATTCAAAGATGGATTCAACGAGTAGCAAAAGGGGTTGGGATTAGACAAAGAAATATAAATAGCATTATTCATTCCAGCCACCCGTCGTTCCACATGGCATCTATATAAAGTAACACGATAAGAGAGACCCTCTTGTCTTGCAGCCCAGAACAAGGGGCAATATAAGACAAACAAGTAACTCACTTCACCATCAATCCGTTAACCAACCGTCGCAATGCTATCCAACTGCTGCGGCGCCGGCCTCAGCCCAAAAATATCCCCCCCAGGAGGCGCAACCAGCTTCGACACCACCTTGGCAGCATCCCAGTCGCCCTCCTGCGCCGCCGCCCTGACATTATCCGTCGCCGCGTACTGCGTGAATCCCAGCTCCGGATACGTCCACTCGCTCGCACCGCCCGCCGCCGCGGGAACAAGAAACTCGACGGCCTTGAACAGCGTCTGGCCCTGCGGCCCTTTGTACTTGAACAAGTCGACGCCGACTTTCCGGGCGATGAGCGCGAAGCGGAGATGTGCCGTCAGGTCAAAGTTGGAGTAGTGGAAGCTGCGCGTGCGGGCGAGTTCTTGCGGCTGCGACCCGTTGGCGGTGATTTGGCTGTTGATGAAGCTCTTGGCGAGCTGTGCGCGCTGTACTGCGAGGGAGATGTTGCCCGTGAAGAGCGCCAGGGCGGCGATCTGCATGTTGGCAAATGTGCCGTGGTTGTTCTGGGCGGCGGCCTCTTCGACGCCAAAGGGCGAGTCGGCGAGCCACGTCAGGAACTGCTTGTTCCAGCTCACAAAGGCCTTGCCGTCGGACTTGCTCCAGCCGGGGGCGCCGGTGTTGAGGATGGCGACGGCGTCGATGACGTTTGTGTATTCCTGGCTGAAGTCGATGATGCCGATTGACCGGCCGGTGTTGGCGCAAGGGATGATTTGGGCGTGGTCGAGGTTGGGACTCATGGCCGTCTTGGGCTCGAGGAACCAGGTCCGAAGGATATCAGCCGCATGCTTGGAGTACTTGGGGTTGCCGGTGTAGTACCAGGCCAGCGACAGGACATATGTCGAGTTGAACATCATTCCAACCGACACGCGGTCTTGGTACTGGTCGACCTCGGGATTGCGTACGCCGTCCTTTTGAATGTAGGGACATCCATCTGGCGTGTTGGGACTGGGCCACCAATACGGTGCTTGAGACGAGTAGTCGTGAAGTGTGCCGTTGGGCGGAGCTTTCGTCTTTGCGGTGACGGTCCAGGGACCTTGGTTGAGCCAGCTATCTGCCTGAGCAGTGAGATGCTTCAATTCCTTTTTAAGGGTGCTATCACCCAAGGTAAGTCGCAGCTTTGCTTCAACAAGGCGGTAGCCATCAATGACAATGGTGTTAGGAATCTTTGACGGCCAGGGCCAGATATCTCCAAGGCCAGGCAAAGCGTTGGCCACGCCCGCGGCAGAGAGCAGAGCAACTGAAAAAGAAGAGAAGTGCATTGCGGCGAGTTCAATTGATCTCAGAACCAGTCAGTTGAAGTCGTCTGCCCTTCCAATTAAGCTTGATGGCAAGATTAACGGCTGCCGGCTTCCATCTTATAGACAAAGGAGCTCACCCCTGTCTTTCCCCAGATTTCAACCCCAGATTCCATCGAGCCATCCATCAACGGACGGATACTTGTCCGCCAATTACCCCATCCAAGTTGCCCAAGAAAGATGAACGATGCAAAGTTGCATCATGGCAAAAGCCAGATTGGGGGTTCGGGCAATTCTTCCGAGCAAGCTGTTTGCGAAATGTTCCACCAATCAGCTATTTAGCCTGGCATCGCAACACCCTGGTTCCTTGACGACTCCAAGTCTCCAACTACATAAACGATGCCTCTTTTCTCGGAACTAGAGTAGTGGAAGGATGATGAACCGTCAAATAGGAAAAATACGCACGCCTTTGTCGTTTACACATGAATGTCATTGCACAAATAGGATAACCATAGCCTTAACACTAAATCAAGAATGCCAACTCCTCCCTCCACTTGCCGTTTATTCCGTTCCTCGCATTAAGTTGTGTGTGGGGTGGTTCTTCACTCCTTGACGACCTCGGACAACTCGTCTGCTACAGCTCGCCCAGCTGTGCGGCCGGAAAAGATGCAGCCTCCCAAAAAGGTTCCCTCGAGCGCGTTGTAGCCGTGAACGCCTCCACCGCCGAATCCCGCCACTTCACCGGCGGCGTAGAGCCCCGGGAACGGCGTCATGTCTTTCCTCATGACGTTGCTGTTCAGGTTAGTCTCGATGCCGCCGAGGGTCTTGCGGCTGAGCAGGTTGAGTCGAACTGCAATCAATGGGCCGTGGGCAGGGTCTTGCAGGCGGTGAGGTACCGCAACACGACTACGCTTGTCTGGCCAGTACGTTCTCGCGTTGTGGATGAGCATGGCCTGCGCGTCTTTTGAGTAGGTGTTGTTGAATTGATCGTCACGAGCGTCGACAACCTCCTTGATCTTTTCGTATTCCAGTATGGGGCCATTCCGCTCCTTGGCCAGCTCGTTCATGCCAGCCACCAGCTCTTTGAGAGTATCCCGAACAATGAAATCCTTGCCGTTTTCCTGGAACAATTGCACATTGACTGTTCCCTTCTTGCTAAAGATTCTGTTCTTGAACACCTCCCAGATGCTCTTGGCCGTCAGATCAGGGTTCTGCTCCGAGCCAGAGAGGGCGAATTCACGCGCAATGATGGACTGGTCAAGGATGAACCAGCTGTAGTCGTAGCCCGTTGCGCAGATGGCCTTGAGCGTGCTGAGGGTATCAGATCCGGGGAACAGATACGGTGGGAAGCGTTTACCAGAAGCGTCCAGCCAGAGAGACGAAGGGGCCGGCAGGATGCGGATGCCATGCTCGGGCCAGATGGGATCCCAGTTTTGCAAACCCTCGGTGTAGTGCCACATGCGGTCACGGTTGACAATGTTGGCACCAGCACTTTCCGAGATGTGAAGCATGCGGCCGTCGACGTGAGCGGGCACTCCGATGACAAAGTAATCGGGCACCTTTGGTCCCAGTCTTTCAACGGGCCAATTCCGCTTCACAGCCTCGATGTCGCCGCCAATGCCACCCGAGGTTACGATGATGGCAGAGCCGTAGAGCTCGAAGGAGTCGACAACAGTCCGTGATGTCTTGACGCCTCTTGCCGAATCATCCTCCTCCAGAACACTGCCCTTGACACCGACAGCTCGTCCCGTGCCGTCAACGATGAGCTCGTCAACCTGATGCCGGAACTTGAACTGCACCAGCCCCTCCTCCGCCGCCTTCTTCACCGGATCCGCAAAGATGCGAACAACTTCCGGCCCAGCTCCCCAGGCAATGTGGAAGCGCGGCACCGAGTTTCCATGGCCGTCAGACCTTCCATCGCCGCGCTCAGCCCAGCCAACGTTGAAGAGGAATCCCAGCCCGCGAGCCCTCACGTACTCTTCAAACTCGTCTGCAGCAAAGTCCACAAAGGCCTTTGCCCACTGCCGCGGCCAGTAGTCCTCGTCACGGTCAAAACCGGCAGACCCCAGCCAGTCACGCATGGCCAGCTCTCGCGAGTCCTTGATGCCCATGCGGCGCTGATAGTACGAGTTGACCAGGAACAGGCCCCCCAGGGACCAAAAGGCCTGACCTCCGAGGCTATTTTCATTCTCCTGGTCAATAATGAGCGACGGAATCTTGCGCTCGGCCAGCTCAAAGGCAGCGACAAGGCCGGCCAGGCCGCCGCCGACGATGATGACGGGCTTCTGCTGACTGTCGTCCTCCGAACCCATGGCGGCAAAACGAGGAGCTGCTCTGCTGATCTGATCTGCTGCCTGCTGAGAGGGTGAAGGAGAAGCGAAGCTGAGAGGTGTGATGAGATGAGTCAAAGACAAGTTGAGTCTACGTGTACATATCTCGCATGCGGGATATTTGCAGCTTTATCATGCAGAGGCGCATGTACATGTACATTCAATCGATTGGTATCGGGTGATGCGAGTGGTGTGTGTTGCGTGTGTTGGTACCGGTACGGAGGGGGAACATTGGCACCTCCAATTAATTTGCATGAATACAGCTGCTTCAACACAGCTACAAGGGAATGCGAACCTCAAGTTAACACAGCACTGGTTTGTACAAGCAAACAGCCGAGCCTAGGCACATCCATTAATCTTTAGCACCCGGATGGACGACCGCGGGCGCCGAACGTTAGCGCATCTCCTTACTGAGGCTCTGGAGAAGCCATCCATGGATTGGATCAATCAAATCCCAGCTTGTCGTCCATCAATTATCCTGGCTGTTTTACCCCGTATCGAGCGCTAGGAGGATTGAGTTTCAATGGAGCTTACACGCTGCCTTTGAGGGGCCGATCGGGTATCAACTTGGCCTGCTCAAATCAAGCATTGGATTGAACATAATTGTCCCCGCAACCCCGCCGAGGGGCCACCGGTGAACAATGGAGCAAATTCTCGCCCAGCTCTTGTACGAAGGATTTTACGCACATACGGCCGTGTAACTCTCTGATATGACAACAAGGAACAGGTTTTCATAATGTAACGACATCAACTCCCACCAACTTTTAACCAATTCCAGGCTCAATTCATGATTTGTCTAGCTAAACAAACGGCTAATATCTCTTAGTACTCGTAAAATCGCATAGTAGGTCAACACCATCACACAACAAGCGCACCTTCGAGGTACCTCGGCTGCCCCGCCTGGCAAAAGTCGCGGTACCTCCGTGTACTCTTACGTGTCCGAACTTATTCACTTCACATGCAATTCCCCCGCCCGCGTCTGCTCTGATTGGGCGGCGCGATCTGAGGTGACCATCGTGCCACTTTGTATCAGAGGGCATGACGACTTGTGTGACTCTGGCGTGTTTCTGCTGGTACTCGGCATCCCTAGTACCAATGGAAGTAATTCAACTTTGAACTTGGAGTTGATGGCATTCCTCCTACGGAGAACCAATTGTGATGCAAAATAACTTGCCCGATTTGATACAAGTCAATAGATACACAAGAGCCTAGTAGATGTACAGTAAGAGAAAGCCGTGTATCAGTTACCCCGCTATACGACTAAATGGCAATGCTCTTCTCATGGAGATGAATCATTGTAGTGAGTACCAAAGGTCATTAGCAGTAAGCAGTTGAAGAAATTCCATTTACGTCAATGGGCACAAGACCTATTACTTTGTCTATCTAAATCTAGGCCTATTTCAGTATGCAGATCGACCGCAAGGCTCACCACCACACAAAGCTCCGTATGTCCAAAGCTACCCTATAAGCCATTATAACAAGCTAATATTCCCATCACAATACTACAATAAACAAACAAATACCATCTCAATGGCTGAGGCAGAGAAGGGTAATGTGAAAATTAGAAATTAGACATTAAAACTATCTCATCAACAGCAAAGCAGACAATTCAGCCTCATATCCAACAAACATCACCAACCACAAATCTCAACCTCTCTCTCTCTCTACGATACTTCCTCTCCATCGCCCATACTCCCTTACAACCCCCTGCACATCCTTCACCCTCCGATCAAACATTCCCCCTACCCACCCTCCTCTCCAACCTCCCCATCCTCTCATGCTGCCTCTCCACCAACCTCACCAGCGTCTCAATCATACTCCCCTGCTCAACCACAACCTCCCTCAAACTCCGATTCGCTCCATCAGTGCAAACAAGAGTCGATCTCTCCTGCAAATAAGACGCCTGCGTAACAACCCCAGTAACCTCATCATCCTCCTCGCTCTCATCACCATCATCATCGTCATCGTCCTGTGCTTCTTCCGGCTCAACGCCCTGCTCCCGCTCAAATCTCCTCGCTCGATCCTCACACGTCTCCTCTTCCCCCGTGAATATACTCTCCCCTCTCGGACACTTCTCTTTCCCTCCCTACTCCCTCCTCACCGTCTTGGGGCTCGAAGAAGAAGATGTACTCCCCCGACTCCCCCGACTCGCCTTATCCGCCTTCTTCTTCAAACACCACTCACACCCACAACCCCTCTCCCCATAAACCCCATCAACCTCCATCGTCGGAATCTTCACAACAGCAGGCCCCCTCATCCGATTCGTCCTCAAAACCTCATCCACATCCCTCGGCACAACCCCCGGCGGCGCATCCTCCCCAGCCCTCTTCTCGTACCTCCCCTTAAACTCCATCCACCAGCTCTGCCTCGCGCACTGCGACGCCCCAAACATGACCCTCAAGATGACGAAATGGCCCCAGCTCGGCGCGTTGCACCGCATGTACTCCGCCAGCGGATGGTCCAGCATCGAGTTTTCTCTTTCTGTGACGCGGGCCCTGGGAACCCACTCGACAAAGTCACGGCGCTCGCCCTCCGACCATGACTGCGATTCGGTCTTCCATAGGCTTGTAAGACGACTGTAGATGTGCCAGTCAATAATGTTGTACCCACTGTAGGGAGGAAGAATCGTCATTCTTCTCGCCGAGTTCATCGAATTCACCGCTCGAGATGGCGTTGTTGAGGAGCGGTTCGACGTGCTTCGGCTACGACGACTGTGCCAGCGACGGCGACGCCGCAGTAGTACAGCTTTTCCTTCTGTATCCATTGATTTCCTGTCGATACCGTCTCTGTCACTTCTTAGCTAAATCCCACAAAGTACGGCTACAATATAGTTAGCCATCCGGATATCGCCCTTCACGATACTAGGTGCTCCGCGACTAACCTCGTTAGCAAACTATAGTTCTTCTAAGATCAAGAAAGCCGATAGATCGTAAGAAAAGTTTCAAGCTTCAAAGAAGAGTTGACTAGAGGGTCATTTAGTAGCACCAAGAGTAAATAACAAGCCTTGCACCTCTGGCATTACAATAGACAGACAAGGAAAAAAAAGGTTGACGAACTGAGGATTGAAAAATCACAACCGATGCAATTTTGACAGTGCTCGGTCCCACATTGAAGCGAACGGTTTGAAGAAAATCGAGCCCTGACAAAAGTCACTCGTGGAGGCCAATTGCAAACAGCCGTACTTTTGCGTGGCCATTTGCATATCGGCCATATACCCCTACTGTTTGCTGTTTGTATTCGCATCACTCAATTCAAGAGTCAACGTCATTATCCCTTCTAAACTCTGTATTAATACTATACCAATAATTGTATACCTATACTACACCAGAAAGTAATGAGAGATGAGGAGGGAAGAGAAAACCTGTTTAGCGAGCACCGTTGTGAGCAACCAAATTGGGGGTATCGCTCGTGAGTTCCTTCGCTTTACCCTCGACGCCCAGTTCCAGGATTCTGTCTCTCAACTGCGTTGCATTTTGCGTGTTTTCCAAGGCAGCCAGATACAAGGCAAGTCCGGCAACGTGAGGGGCCGACATTGAAGTGCCACTCATGGTGTTGGTCGCGTTCTCAGTTCCAGTGAAGGCTGACTCTATGTGGTAACCAGGGGCTTGGATGTTGACTTCGGGGCCGAAATTGGAAAAAATAGTCTGTGTCCATTCGCTGTTGATGGCACCCACAGCCAAGGCCTCCGCTGCTGATACAGGAGACATTTTTCGGGCCTCCATTCCTGCGTTTCCAGCTGCGACGACGCTGAGGATTCCCAATTCAAAGGCAGCATCAACGGCACGATTAAATGCGAAAGAAAAGGGACTTGCTGTCTCAGTGTCAGTTGATTCCGTCCATGTCCATTCTCATCAGCGTCACTCACCAATAGACAGGTTGATGACGGAACGGTTTTGGCGGCCTTTGAGCACAATGTCTTGGACCGCCCATGAAAAACCGTGAAGTACGTCCGAGACGAGGCCACTGCTGCCGGGGAACACTTTTACGCCGATAATTTCCGCCTGCTTGGCCACGCCAAAGGTCTTGCCCGCGATGATTCCGGCAACGTGAGTCCCATGTCCCATGACGTCCGACAAGTTGCTGGGATCTACGCTGTACCTAACCGAAGCCCGCCCACCGAATTCGTCGTGCTTGGTAAAAACGCCGGAGTCAACCACGTATGCAAATGTGCCATTGCCCGCGCTCTTGTCGTAGCGGTATGACTTGGCACCGGGCTTCTTGCTAGACAAGGCCGCAAGGCCCCAGGGGGCATGCCGTTGCGTCACAAGCTTCCCCTGTATAGTACAGAACTCGTCTAGCTCGATTTCTGCTACCTGAAGACACCCAGTTGCGTTAGAATAGACAGATTCATCGGCACGACTGGCTATACTCACATCTGCATCTTTCCAGAGCAAGGCGATAGTGTCTTTATCGAAGACTCCAGAATAACCCCGGTAGTCACCAATGGCAAATGTCTTCCCGACTCCAGAGGGTCTGTTCTGCTCATCGTTCAAGGAGTTGTGGTGGTAGGTGTCATTTATTTTGGCGAGGTGTATTGCGAAGGCAGAGGGCGAAATGTTCTTGTGGAGAGTCACAATGTACCTTGCCTCGTCCTCAAGGGCGTCTACATCCAGAACCGAGCCTTCTTTGGTGGTTTTCAAAGGGAGGGCTGTGACGTATGGCGTGACAGTGAACAAGAAGAGTGCAAGAGTCCTGAACCAGGCCATCTTTGCCGTTGTAACAGAACAGATGTGACCGGTGATGAATCTGATGAAAAGTAAATTATATCAGAAAAGAGTGATAACCCAAAAGCCGTATGCTCAGAGAGCTGATGTTTGTGGAGAGTGTGAAGAGCCCATGTTGAGTACGTAGCCGAGATATAAATACAGAGCATCTATGCGCCTGCCTGGATTAGTAGTTGCTTGTTTCCTTCTATGAGGCCATGCACCTGCATTTTGCCCATTCTCTTCGCCTTCTACAATCTTGCTAGCAGGCTCCACGCCTTCTATCTGCCACTGTAAAACCGAGCAGAGTTTGGGCATGTCGCTACTTTGGTAAATTTTAGTCTGTTCAACCAATCACCATTCAATGCAGTATCCTCTTGTCTTCATATAAGGGAGATATCACTGAGAGAGTCGAGCAAAGAGAGGTATGTGAATGTAGTCTTGTATATAGTAGTAGTATCGATATACCTAATGACTGGTGTATAAAAAAGAAAAGCAATACAAAAAAAAAAAAAAAAGAAAAAGACAAGCTGTCTATGGTTCCCGTATCTTAAATCCCAACCGCTGCTTCTACCCAATGTAATGCATCTTCGCACCATTTCTTTCCGGTTAGATATCCCAGGTATCATGCTCCAAAAGACAAAAGAAAAAAAAAGATGAAATAACCCCGTATCCATGCAGATATTACTATGTACAGGAATCTGCCTGCCGAAACTCATTGATGCTCGCGGTCAACAGATTCCATAAGCCCAGCTGACGCACGATAGCCTATGCCATGACACCGTTGGCTTCGAGCTTGCCCAATTCCACTCCCTTTGGCGTAGCAGCCACCTCGGGCTTCCTGACTGGCAGAGCAGGGAGGGCTTCGACCTCTTTGCGAGTAATGTTGAGCTTGTCCTGCGACAAACCCATTGACTTGAAGAAAGAGACGGCCTCCTTCCACTCATGCTGCTTTCGATCGCCGGACCACTTGAGCTCTTCACCCATGACGTCGATAACACGAGGCAGTGCGCGCAGTGCGTTCTCAACGTCGAGGAAGGCAAGGCGAGTTCGGCGGGAGATGAGGTCGGCAGCAGTGCAGGCAGCTTCAGACCTCACACCATGGCGGATTTCGGCTTCGATAAAGGGAAGCGTGGGGATCAGGCGAGTGGCGGCAGAGTTGGAAGCTGATAGAACGGCCCAGGCGCGGTCGCCGTAGTTGTGGGCCAGATGATGGGCAACATCGGCATCGACGTGGTGAGCCTCCATGAGCTGAGAAGCGAGAGACGTAGAGTAGCCATGGGCTCCGATGAGCGGAACATCCTTGGTGATGCAGCGGCCAGTGGTTTGAACGCCAGGGAGACCGGCGCCGCTAATATCGGGGAGTGCAACGGCAGCTGGAGCAAGGCTAAATGTCTTAACAGCCTCATCGACTGCGTCCTCAGCCATTTGGCGGTAGGTGGTCCATTTACCACCAGCGCAGGTCAGAAGACCGGATGGCGAAACGGTGACGAGATGGCTTCGTACGAGGGATTCGGTGTTTTTGGCTTTGGGGTCTCGAACAAGAGGTCGGATGCCTATATATACTTATTAGTCAAAGGTCTTGATGTGGCTGCAGCAGGGGGAGGGGGGTTATGCTTACCAGACCAAGTTGCCAGAATATCAGATTGGCCAAGCTTCGCTTCGGGCCGCAGAAGCTTGTTGACTTCCGTCAGGATAAAGTCCACGTCTTCCTTCTGCGCTACCGGCTCTTTCTCGATTTCGCAAGCGTTGTCTGTGGTTCCGGCAACAGTGTATCCCTGCCAGGGCAGCACAAACACGACTCGCCCATCGGAAGTTGCCGCCTCGAGCATGCCCATGCCGTTCGGGCACACACTGCCGGGAAGCATGACGTGGGCACCGGAAGCGGGAGCTACAAGAGTCATGCGCGATGGGTCGTCCATGCGCTCGACAGCGTCGGTAAAAGGTCCGGTGGCGTTAATGACACCCTTGGCGCGCACGGTGAACTCTTTGTCGCCGTTGCCCAAAACATCTCGGAGGGTCGCGCCGCGGATTCTTCCGTTCTGGTCCTTGTCCAGGCCAGTGACTTCGACGTGGTTCAGGACAGTGGCGCCGTACAGCTGGGCAGTAAGCGCAAGAGAAACGTTCATTCGGGAGTCGTTGTGCTGGCCATCATAGTAAATCAGCGCGCCAACCATGTCGTCTGAGCGCAGCAGAGGGAAGTTGGCGAGAGCCTTGCTTTTGCTCATAAAGTAAGAGCCCTCGATGCCCTGTGAGCCGGCCAGCAAGTCGTAGGCTTTTGTGCCAATCCACATGTAGGGGGCCTGGAACCAGTTCTTGAGGGGCAGCAGAATGGGAAGAGAGTTGGAGAGGTGAGGCGAGATTTTGAGGAACGTCTTGCGCTCGTGCAGCGCCTCCATCACCAGCTGCAGCTGGGAATAATCCAGGTTCATGACGGCCTTTTCGAGATAGCGCACGCCGCCGTGGACCAGCTTTGTGCTTTTGGAGCTGGTGCCCGCGGAGAAGTCATCGCGATCCACGATGGCCACCTTGAGGCCTCGAGTGACGGCGTCGAGCGCAATGCCGGCGCCGGTCGCGCCAGCTCCGATAATGAGGAGATCGTACTCTTCAAGATTCTCGTTTGCTTTGCTGTGTCGCTTCAGCTCAGCCAGCTGCTCCATCCGGGAAGAAATGGCGGGGAAAGATGGCGGAATGATGCGGCCATTGCTGTCTCGCTTGACTTCCGCGATCGGCTTGTGTGTAGCGTGAGATATCCTGGTGCGAGAGTAGAGAACGGCGCCTCCAGCCGTGGCGACGACGCCGAGGCCCAGCAGAGGCCGTCGAAGGCTTGAGAAGCCTCGAGACATTGTGAAATTCGTAAACGGTTGTAGGAGGAGGGGCACAAAGGAATTGCTGATGGCAGGGATTCCTCCAATGGCAGGGCTTGTGTGAAGTAGAGTGATTGATGAGGCTTTAGGTAGGAGATTTGTCGTGGGGGCGAGCGCCTCTTAAAGGAACAGGAGAGGAACGAGGGGTCCAGGTAGGATCTGCAAAACAGAGGAGCAAGGGGAAGAAGGAAGAT